ACCTACAAGAGCATGCTTCTTCCACAACCAATAGTTCCATCTTCCATACAAGTTAGCTCTATCGTATAATTTAAGCAATTATGAAAATAACCTTTTGCCAATGCTTTCTTTAAATAGGAACTTGAGGAAATGGAAATCTACATATTACATAAGGACCACCATGGGTGTCAAGTTGTGACACTGTCAATGAAGAGTACATAAATAGGCAACATAGTAATATAATACCTTTTCTCCTTGTCTTTCCAGCTCCTTCTCTTTTCTTTTGCTCAATTGGTTGGCTCCAATCCTTAAGTAGATGCAAAATAGTAATGAAAGTATAAGGTCTTTGCCCATGAATAAAATCTTTTCTTATAATAAAGCTTCAAAGAATATTCATACAGCAGAGAAGAAGAATTTAAGCCAAATTCCAACATACAACCTCAGATTTTGGGCCTTGATCTTCACTTCTTCTGTGATAGGAAATGGTTTGGTAGCATCCAAATTAATATCCACAGGTACCTGGGTGCACTTGAGAAGTTACTATTAAAGGGCCCAAAGCACAATTATACTTGTACAAAGTACATCACTGACTTGTATATAATATCTGGCCATAAGTTTAGAGATTTCAAGCAAATATGTTCTAATAAATATATCCTTTCAGTTAATCAATCTTGTTCTATCATTCATCATAGAAATCAGTAAGAAAGATATGGATAATAATAATAGACTTTCCTCAATCCTTGATCATATATTTCCTCTGAAAAACATAAACTAGAACTAGAAGAAGGGGAAAGATCTCAAGATAGGCAAATGATAAAGAAAATTTCCAATCATTTATCATTCAGTTCGGCCTCGTTGAATATCAAATCCCTATTGATTGTAGCAAAAAAAAAAAAAAAAAAAAAAAAAACATCAATTGAGAATTTCAACAAGGTTATTTCAGGGTGAGTGGATCACTTGTAACGAAGATAATAAGCTTTGAGGGGGGAAATTTGGAGTTATTATGGTACCAGACACAAGATAGGTCTCTCAAACAACATGATTTTTCTCTTACAAGCCAATCGACGAGAAACATTAAATCTGTAATTCTGTAGGTAAATAGTTGACAACTTGACATAAGATGCAAGGGAAGGACCCTTGAAAAAATGACAAAAGAATATCTTACTAAATTTACAAGAGAATGTGAGAGCTTGAGAGCATGTTTGAAAATTCTCATGTTTTAGCATGCAACTCTCCTAGTCTCATCTTTGGGAAAGAATAGGCACCAAAAGTGGATAGGGTCTTTATTATATCTCGCTATGATAAAGTTGAAACTTAGAGTCCTACAAAGTATTCGAACCCTACGTATAGTCGTATACACATAATCAAGGAAACAGATATAGCTATTTATTTTATTGGTGGGGACATATTTCTCATGAAAACATACAGCAGTACAGAGCACAACTAAACTATTAGGCATTTCAGCATAGCTTGTACCTTCATAAAATAGAAAGTGAGGGGAATTATCCTTAAGCAAAAACAAAAATTAAAAATTGATATCATACCAAAGGAATCTCATCGATATCTGAGTCATTTTCATGCTCAACTATCCAATTTATAGCATCTTCCAGACTAGAATTTCCTGAGAAAAGATGAATAAATAAGATAAATATTTTGATGCCAGAACTGTGAGCTAAACTAAGTAGACAGCTATCCTCAACACTCCTAGTTCTAAAGTCGATTTTACAACTGCCCTTTTAGAGTTACAGTATCAAACCCACTTCCTTCCACTGTTATATAAAGCAGGCAATCATCCAACATAACAAGAGCAAGAAAGAACAAAAGGCAACATTACAGTAAAAAAAAAGTGACAATGATGAGAAAATGATAGTATTGTAGCTTAATTTGCAAATTTGATAGGACTTAAGTAATCAAAAACATAACCACTAACAAAAATTATTGAACATATATGCGAAATGTTCTTACTTGAAGCAACAAATTTATACTTTGAAATAGCCAAAAACTTCATTGACATAAGTCCACATGACTAAACTTGCTCCCTAACATTGTTAACAAAGTTACAAAAGAAAAACTAACTCACCAGAATAATGAAGTGACCGAATTGCTCGAGCTAATGAAAATCCCATTTCTTCCAATTGTTCCAGCAATTTCTTGTCTACTTCAGGAACAGCCATTTCTGAAACACAAAACATAAAACACATATTTAACATCTACCATCAGACATTTTGTCCTTCAATTTTGAAACTTAGAGATGAACAAGAAGAATCACCTAACAAGATCATAAGCACCACAATTCATAGTCACATATAATTAGATAACAAGATCATAAGTAAGAACAAAAGCAATCCATATACATTATCAAATAATATAACAATTAATATTAATAACCCGATATCAAATCAAATTCTTCAGCTGCCAAACAACAACAAAAAAATGAACTCCCAACCATCTATACCGCGAAAAGCCAATATCAAAATCAGCAACTGGGACTACCACATAATCAAAATTTAAAATACCCTTTAATCCACAAAACCAAATTTCAAACCCCAGTCATGATAAATCAGCAATTGAACTACAAAAAACAATATTTTTTTGATAAATTAGAAGTTTTTAACCCAATAAATTAATGCAAATTCACCGCATTTCAAGATTATATAGTCATTTCAGAACTTGAATTAACAAAACTAAACGTACCAATTCAACTTTGAAGTATTTATGAAAGATGAGAATAAAGAATAATTGCAAGTGAATTGGCTAAGGGGGGTTTATAAGGGTGGAGAAGAAGAAATTGATGGGGTTTTCGTAAGGGATTCAGAAGAATGGCCATTTGAGAGATTCTTTGAAAATTGCAGAGAATTGTGGTAACAAGAATCGAATAGAAAACCCTGGATTACTACTTCTAGCAATCTCTGTCTATCTCTACAAATTAAATTTTGATTCCAAATCTATAGGTTTGGGTTAACTATGGGCGTAAGGAAAGAATTTGTAATTTGTACTGTACTCCGTAATCTCCAATTCCATGCAAATGGCTCTCTGCTTATGCACCCAATCAAAATAAGCAAAAATATCTCAGTGTAAATAAATCAATTTTAGTGTAACTCCATTTAATAAGAGTTGTTTACTTATTTATAGAAATGTCTCTATATAAACATTTTTTTGTTGACTTGCATTTCTCTCGGTGCCATCTATTATATTTCCTCTAATAAGATCTCACCGTGTATTTTTTATACCTATAAATCACAAAGGTTAGTCAAAGCAAAGTTAATGAATAGTGTCAAAAGTCAAAACGTGTCATCCAATTTGAAACAGAGGAAGTATAATTTAACATTTGTTATTTTGGAAAAATTGATTCTAATAATTCCAACTCTAACCGGTTCGCGGTAAATAATCTCATATTTAGATTATTATTTAATAATCTCACCTTTATTGGGCATCTTCATCTATTGATCCCTTATGACCGGTAATTAGTTCTCTGGGTAAACTTTTTTTTTTTATTTGAGTGACACGTGTTACTAAATAATTGGTCAAAAAAATTTAAAATTAAAAATTAAAAAGAAAAAAGCCAGCCCATCCCCAACCCACAACGACCACCATAACCCCCACCCTCCGGCAGCCCCTCCTCCCCCACCTCCATTGTCGGCACCCTCATTCCCACCCCCACCCAGCGAAAACCGGTTTCTCTTTCCCCTAAAACCACCCCAATTCCTACCCCCGTCCCCTTTCCCCCCACCCGAAACCAACTTTGTGATTTTTGTGGGTGGAGGGTGGGAATCGGGGTGGTTTTAGGGGAAGGGGGGACCGATTTTCGCTGGATGGGGTGGGGATGAGGGGTTCCGGCGGTATGGGTGGAGACGTGACCTGTCGGAAGGTTGGGGGTGGGGAGGGAGGGCTGCCGAGAGGGTTGAGGGTGGTGGCGTGGGGGTTGGAGGTGGGCTGGTTTTTTTTTTTTTAGTTTTTTTTTTCCAAATAATTTTTTCAACCAATCACAAAGCGACACGAAGCATCTTAACCTATCAATACTAGTTACCAACACGTTAGGGACCAATAGAAGAGGATTTCCTATAAAGGTGGGATTATTAAAAAATAATCTAAAGGTGGAATTATTAGAATCAAATTTCCTTTATTTATTTATTTATTTCTAACTTCTTACTAGAGCACTTCAAAACCCAAATTCTTCACTTTTGTGCACTTTTTTATTTTATTATTTGCAATAACCTCCAATTAGATAACAACATATTATATTTTGTAAAAAAATTAAATTTTTTTTGAAAGAGGATCAATAACTACACATTACATTTTTTGGGGGGTTTTAAAAATTCAAAAGACATTTTTTTTTTCAAAAGACATTTTCAATAAGTGTAAATCACAAAAAGTTAATGTTCAAAAACTATAAATTGATTTTGTCAGAAAAAAAAAAAAAACTACAAATTGATACAATTTTAATTCGTATCCATGTAAATGCTTTTTTCCATATGTGTAAATCATTATAATTGATCAAAGTGCATCAATACGACACATAAATACTGGAAAAAACCTTTAAAGGTAGTATATTTTCTCAATCCCAAAATTCCCAACCTCGGAATTTATTTGTGGGACCAAATAACTAAACTAGAAAGTCAAGTGACACGGGAAACAAAATCCGGTTTAATGATGATCACGTGTACTAGTAATAATAAATACAGTCAAATTTATCACGCATGTCAAAATGTGAGTTTGACTATTAATATACTTAAATGTTATTAAAAATTTAGTATTACGAAACTTCACGTTAATATCTATCAAAAAATGTTTTACATGAAACAAACTACTTTATATACCTTACCCAAACACAATAATCAAATTTATTATATATGAATAATAATAAAAACAGTCAAAGTGTTTCAATTATCATGAAATAGAGGGAGTTCATCAAGTTGAGAGTAGGTAGAATTAGTGGATATGTCTTCACTTCTAAATTAGAGATTTGAGGACTTTTTTTTTAAATTTTGAAAGGCTCCAACAGCATAAATTAGTATTAATAATCAGCCAACATCAAGCTCGGCAAGGGAGACGACCCCTTGCGGAAAGTTATCAACATATAATTGCTCAAAACCACCAGGTGGATATTGCCTCGCCATAAGGTGAGCAACACAGTTTCCCACCCTTTTAATATAAACACAATCGAAGCTATCAAACTCCCTACTCATAGAACAGATATCATCAATAACAAGATCCAACGGAGCCATGCCTTCCTTTGCCGATCTTATCAGGTTAGTCACTGTAAGGGCATCAGCTCCAAATCCACCTTTCCATACCCAAGCTTACGCGCAACCTGCAAACCCATCCTTGCTGCCATGGCTTCTAACACTTTAACAGGATGCTTCCCTGCAAGTCGTTGCACCTTAGCTGCCACAATAACTCCCTGCTCATCCCTTAACACCGCACCAGTGCTAGCAGTAACTTCGGTAGTGACAGCAGCGTCAGAATTAATTCTGACTAGCCTAGCAGCAGGTGGCTTCCATACGCTCCTGAACACAGCAATAGGGGAACAAACACTCACCGCTTTACTATACTTCTTATAATCCGTCACCAACCCCAGGAAGCCTAGCACCCCAATATCTTTATTCTGCCAAGGGTTCTCAAAGACCACCGAGTTACGGTATGACCACGTTGCCTAAGCTAAAGCAGCAAACACCAACAACTCGTTCTTACTCATTTTCCCCTTCACCCACGCAAATCTGTCAAAAAAATTCACACTTGGTGCATCTCGAAGCAGTTCAGCAAAAGGAGAAAAATCCCACACTTGGCTCACATTCGGACAAAGAAAAATCGCATGAATTATGCTCTCTTGCTCACTATGACACACCCCACACAAGCCATCCTCCCTAACATGTCTTTGCTGCAGTCTACCAAGCATTGCCAAAGACTCCGTACACGCTCTCCACAAAAATTGACAGAGTTTGGGGGGCCTCCAATGTTCCATATTGAGTTCCAGATTTCGGCCCTATCACCACCAAAGCGTTCAGTCCAGCCACGTACATGACCCATCCTTGCCAACCAATAACCCGATTTGGTGGAATAAATTCCATTCGTAGCGGGCCACCAATATAGAGAGTCTGACACATTATATAAGCTCAACGGAATTCCCTGAGCTATAGTAGCATCATTGACAGTCAAATGTTGATGTGAAGCCTCAATGTCCCATGGCCAGCAGTGTCTTTCGTGGTCAATTAAATCCACAACACAAAGATCAGCAAGGCTCTCCACATTCAAAGTAGGAATTTTAACCCCATTGTCACTTGGCAGCCAAAACTCTTCCCAGACATTGATTTTTCCTCCATCACCCACCCTCCACCTTAAACCATCAAGCAAAATCAACTTCACACCCCAAATACTTCGCCACACAAAGCTCGGATCGTGACCCCTATGAGATGATAAGAAGTTACCGTTCTTAAAATATTTAGCTTTAAGAACCTTGAAGATAAGGGAATTCGGATTATTCATGAGCCTCCATCCTTGTTTCACAAGAAGAGCTTGGTTAAAAATTTTCAAGTCCCTAAACCCCATTCCACCAAGAGACTTCGGTAGACACAACTTTTCCCAACTCAACCAATGCATCTTGCGTTCCGTACCGGAAGACCCCCACCAAAAACGAGCAATCATGGCATGGATTTCATCAATAAGAGTATCCGGAATGTGAAACAAGCCCATCATATATGTAGGAATTGCTTGGGCCATCGCTTTGATCAAGACTTCCTTGCTGGCTTGAGAAAGTAACTTTTCCTTCCATCCTTGCATTTTCTTCCAAATTCTCTCCTTAAGGCAAGCAAACACCGCTTTTTTCGACCTTTTGATAATGGTAGGGAGCCCTAAATATTTCTCATGCTTCTCTACTTGTTTAACTCCAGGAACCGCTGAAATATCCATTCTCCGCATCACATCCACACATTTAATTACTAAAAGACACTTCAGATTTATCAAAATTAATTTTTTGCCCCGATGCTCTTTCATATATGCCAATAATTTCGACAATTTTCGAGCATTCCTGAAGTATAGCTCTAGAAAATAAAATACTGTCATCCGCAAAAAATAAGTGAGATACCCTAGGAGCACCCTGACATATTTGAGCACCAGTAATAATTCTATCATTAGCCACCCTAGTCAACAAAGCAGAGAAAGCTTCGGCACACAAGAGAAATAAATAAGGAGAAATCGGATCACCCTGTCGTAATCCACGAGAAGGAACCACCTTCCTATCAACCTGCCCATTCCATTTAAAAGAATATGTCACAGAAGACAAACGCATTAAAATTTTCTCAATCCATTCTCCACAAAAACCCATTTTACACATCACCTTCTCCAAAAAACTCCACTCAACCCGATCATACGCCTTACTCATGTCAAGCTTTAAGGCAATAGTTTCCGCTCTACCTTCTTTTCTTCTCTTCATGGCATGAAAAATCTCAAAAGCCACAATAACATTATCAGTTATCAATCTACCCGGAACAAATGCACTTTGATGATGAGAAATAAGACCAGGAAGAATAACTTTAAGACGATTTGCAAGGACTTTTGAGATAATCTTGTAGACAACATTGCATAAACTAATAGGGCGAAACTTAGTCATTTTTTTTTGTTCCTGGCATTTCGGAATAAGCACAATACAAGTCTTGCTTATCCCTCCAAGATCCCCCCCCCATTAGTCCACCAATTCTGAACACAAGCAACTACATCATGTCCAACAATATGCCAACATTTTTGGTAGAAAAGAGCATGCATACTATCAACTCCAGGGGCCTTATTCAGATGCATTTGCATAAGAGCTCTATGAATCTCCTCCGCCGTGAGAGTAGTAGTCAACATTTGATTCATCTTGTCCGTCACCAAACAATCAAGCCCTGCGGTAGCCTCCTGAAAATCAGAAGGCGAAGACGACTCAAAATTATTAGAGAAATATCCAGAAATAATTTCTGCAATTTCCTCTTCATTATCGTGCATTTGACCACTATTATCCTCAAGCTCATGGATGAAATTCCTTCGTTGTCTATAACTCGCCTTATGATGGAAATTAGAGGTATTCTTATCCCCATCCTTAACCTCATTAACTCGGGAAGGGGCATGCAAATACGAATCATCAAGGCGCTGCAATTCATCCAATTTCTTCACAATCCCCTTACTATTTTCGATCATATCCACATCAGGGTCCCGGCTCTGCCACTCTTGATCTTGCAACTCTTTCTCCTTCAAGGAAATTTTTTTCTTTACATCCCCAGACACTTCACTTGCCCATTTGCTTAAGTTATTTGCGCACACAGTTATGTTGGAACTAATGGGCCTACCCACATCACCTTCCCACGCATCTTTCACCACTGACTGAAAGTCATGGTTTAATAACCATAGCGACTCAAAGTGGAACCGCTTCTTCCTTCATTATTGTCGAGCAGCAACATTTGTTTGAAGCAAAATCGGTGCATGGTCAGAGTATGTAATTGGGTAATGTCGAATGTCAGTCCTAGGGAACACAACCCTCCACTCCTCACTAGCCAAAAACCGATCCAAACGTTCTCTCACCACCATGCTAAGGTCGGTCCCCCTATACCAAGTAAAAATATTACCCGTGTAACCCAAATCCTCCAAGAAACACAAATCAATAGTCTCCCTAAACAAATATATCATCCTTTCGCTTCTAGGAACCCTACCTTGCTTCTCATTCTCACTTAAAATCTCATTAAAGTCACCAAAGAAGATTAACGAAAGTTGAATAAAATTTTTAAGGGACTTCATCAGCTCAAAAGTCAAGTGTTTGTTTCCGTTTTCCGGCCATCCATACATATCAACCGCTGCCCATTTAGGAACATTATTTTTATCTCGAATTTCCACCGCAAAGTGATGCTCCGAGTATGATAATGTGTATGCATTCACGTCCTTCCACCACAAACCAATCCCACCCGAATTGCCAACACTACTCAAATAAATACCCTCCGTAAATCCACATTATTTCTAATAGTCTCCAATCTTCTCGAATCAAGCATAGTCTCCATCACGAAGACTATGTTAGGGCTCTCCCTTCAACACCATGTTTGGAGGGCACGAACTCTCTGGGGATTGCCCAAACCCCGGCAGTTCCAACTAAATATTTTCATTGTTTTTCGGAGGCTTGGCCATTGCCAACACCTCCTACTTGGATTTTGCTGTCCCCATAGCTCACATCATCATACTTCACTCGTTTTTCAAGACCCTTGGCACTACACTCCTCTTCCAGCTCACTACCAGCCCTTTTATTACTTACTACATCAAGCATTGCAGTATCAAACCCATCCCCCATATTGCCCCCATCTCCATTCCCCACCCCTCTTCGCATTATCTTCCTTTTCCAACCCGGACCCCCCCTTCTTCCCCACCTCACTCTCCCTCCTCGCAGTACCAGAAACTTGAGACATATTACCCCCCTGTTGTCACACAAACCTGACTAAGACTGTCGACTCCTAAGACACCTTCTTCCCTGTCATTCAACCTCGCCCCACTCATCCCCCCTTTCTGCACACCCCCATTATTCACCCCCACTCTCATCATCAATACCCGCCGCATTATCTGCCATGTTTTCCACCATCACACCTTCTCCCTTCCTCACCAGTTTCGGTCTAAGCACAACCTTCTTTGACCTCTCATCCTCAACCAAAGTCAATCGAACTTCCCTTTCCACATGTGTAGAACTTATTTCCTTCTCCATAGGAGAAGCAAAATGTAATTTGCGAGCAGCCCCCATAGGCCCGAGTCTAATAACCTTCGAAGTGCTATAAGCTCTCGATGAATCACTCTTCCACGCACTCAATTTCTCCACTAATTTTTTGTCCTTCTTTCGAGCTGCCAAAGAGAACTTAGAGAGTTTTAATGGGGAAGCCCTCAACCAAGGCCCGTATTGGTACACCACATCATCCATTGCTTCCCCATCCATCTCCTTCTTCGCACACTCTCTATCCGTATGATCGAGAATGCCACAGTAAAAACAAAAGTCAGCTAGGCGTTTATATTTCACATTAATCCACTTGGTGTTCAATCCTTCTGCTGCCAAAAATAAACCCCTTCTCAGCAGTTTCGTTACATCAACCAAACTCTCAGCCGCATAAACTCACCCCACCCTAGAGGATAAGTATCATCCAACTCCATGAATCCCCCAAGCATATTCCCAATCTCACGCATAACCGAAAGATCGCGCTTATTAAAGGGTATATCAATCAAGCGAACCCACATCGGCGTTCGATCAAATAACACCTCATACGGTTGCTCCTCACCTTGAATATCTTTCAAAAGCAGTAACTTCCTATCAAAGAACCATGGCATCCTTTCAATGACTCTTTGTTTGTCCTCCTTTGTTACGAATTGGAAAACGAACAAATTGGTGTCCATCGAACGAATCAGAATATTATCTTCAATTCTCTGAACATTCACAAGGGTTTTTTTCATTGCTTCCACATTAAAGGGCTTTACCGTACATAATTTTCCAACAAGGGCTAGTCGGAAATAGTCAGTTGATCCCTTACCAGCGTCATTACCCACCTCTTCGCCAACAACACAATTCTCCTCCACTGTCAATTGAAACTTTTACCAATTCTTAATCAAATCATCAGCCACACTCCTCGCCAAAGCAACGCTGAGACAAGATTGGGCACAAAAAACAACTCGAAAATCGAAAGAAATAACGGGAAATTGATTGAGAAAATCATAAAACCGCCAACCCTAAGCAAAGGACTACAAAACCCTAAGCAAGGGACTTTTTTTGTTTCTATTGATTTGAGGGCTTGATATCAATAAAGGTGGGCATAAGTCGTGTCATATACACCAGTGTGCCTCGTTCTCAAGCGGATCAGTCTTAAATGGGCCATGATATATTCGTGATGTGCATATATGAAACTCATGCCCAACCCAACCTTGTGTCAGGTGCAAATTTATGCATAAAACAAATGCAGACAGCCCAATCTATAGCAGCCTCAACAATTAGAGCCAGACCTAACGCTCTTGGCCCAGTACGACTAACCATTTACTACCACCTGCTCGAAAAAAAAAAAGATAAAAAAGGCAAGAAAAAGACTAGTGGCACCACCGTATAGCGAGCGAGGGAAGTCGAACTTTGTAGAATCAACACATATACAGCTTATAACATGGAAGACCCTTCTAGATAATTAGCCGTTCAACTTCATCTCTCCCCAAATTCTCTCTTCACCATTTCCAAATAATTCTATTCTACTTCCAATTTAGTAAGATGGAAGAACATCATATTACCAAGAAGAGAAAGATACAAGAAGAAATCAAGAACAATAAAAATAGTGAATTTCTGACAAGAAAAGTAAAGATGTATTGTCCAGCAGTATCAAAGGTAGCAGAAATTATGGCTTGGGAAGATCAAAGATTGGATTTTGGCACCATTGCTAGAGTTTTCGGGCTCGAACCCGAAACCTTGAAGCTTAATGGACATTTTATTAGTAGAGGTGTGGACCTTATTGCTTCCTCTGTTACATGGAAATCTTTACTTTCTTTCTTCTCTTCGAAGGGTTTGTCCACTGGTACTGATTCTTCTGGTGCTCTAGTTGTCGATGGAAAGCTCTTCAAGTCTGGTTCTAAGAGTATGTATTTATGTTTTTTTACTTTGTTATAAACTTTATGTATTTTACAACAAAATCATGTGTCGATCGGTGTTATTAAATGTTTGTTCGTGTGACAGAAAATGTACATGAGGAAGGTGTAGGAATAAGTCGAACTTGTGATGAAGAGATCGAGTCGAGGTGTAATAAGAAGTTGAAGGAGAGCCAGATGGCTAAATGTGGTGATACTGGATTGAAGAGGAAAAATTGGGTGGAAAATGTTAATCCCATGGTTAAGAGACCGAGAGTTAATGGTACAATCGTGTTAAACTCATTACATGTCTTATTAGTGTGGGCGAATTGTGTGAAATTGGTGTAATTAGTAACTGAAGATTCAAATGCACATTCTTATGCAGGTCATGAAGATAGAGAGTGCTGCATCAACAAGTTGCGTTGTGGCTATCAGTTGCATGAGACTATGAAGAGAATGAGAGAAGATGAAGTCGTCGCATCATCTTGTAAGAGAGCGCGATGAATGAAGTTCCAATTTTGCTGTTGGAAACTCTTGTTTGGTTTGTAGATTGATCGGAAACATACAAACAATTGTCCGGAGTATCCTTACATTTGATGATAACATAATGTTGTTCATCTTCATTTGTGTGTTGCAAGGAGGCGAGTGTACCTGTAAAAGTGTAAGCTCATTCTTCCTTGCAATGTGGTTGGGTTGGGTTGATTTTGTACACGTAGCGAGTTCTGTAGAGAAGAAACACCTGAATGTTAAAGTATACAAGTTCAATGTTTATGTGCAAGTTATAGTTGCAGAGAGGCAGCGTAATCAGTTCTTCCCTGAAATTTCAACTCAAGAACAGTCTCTTCGCTAACAAAGATAAAGTAAATTCTAGCAATTTCCACCTGTGAATTACTGATGTTCCAGTAATATTAGTTCATCGAAGAGCCCAAGATCAATTATATTATTATTGGACTAACAGAATTTATGAAGATTGAAAGGTAAAAATTTAAATCATGAAAACGTAGAAATCGATTTCACCAACATCATAATACAGGCTTTGAATTCACAATCAAAAGATATTGTTCCTTATTGAAGTATCAAGCTCACATTAATCGACCAGGGACAGGGTCTAGTGAACTAAGACGATTTACAGTTTTAATAAATAGCCACACAGTGTGCCAAGTAATACATGTTTGCAGATCAATCAGGTTGGTTGGCACTTCCAAAACTACAAGTATATTTCGTTCTAGGCTAAGAGAAGGTTGAGGAACTTGAAATATGAAAATACATCCCATTCCCAGCTGCAAAATTGTCTGATGTTTGAAGCCTCATGAAAAAGATATGACTACGAACATGTGAAGGTAACTCTGCGTAGAATATCACCTCATCATCATATCCTCATCGATTGATTGGGGTGTGCATCCTCTCAACTATCCGGTTCACAGCAGCACGGGACATCACCAAAGTGTCGTGCTGCAAGATGCTATAGACATTCAAACCCTGAAAAAACAAATGGCTCATCATCAGTGGGCATAGGCATTAGCAAGGTTTATGCATCAGCAAGATTTTTTAATATACCAAAAAGCATAGCTTAACCAAATAGCAGCTAAAAAACAAGACTCCAAATAATGCATCAACTCCATTATTTAAGTCTCTTACCCCGAGTCCCTCCCGTTCTCAACCACAAGTAAGAAAAAAGAATTGAAATCCTCCGAAAAAGAGAAAAAGATATGAATTTTGTTTTTGTTAGGGTAGAGAGCAGTGACTTGGCAGGTTCAGCGGGAGAATTGTAATTTTTCCATAATTACCATGTTCACACACATACACAAAAAGGATAGAACGCTGTAACTTACAATTGTAGGCAACACATTAACATAATGTATGTTCTGTGTAGCCAACTTCAACTTTTCATTAATAGCACCATCATCAACCAGCAGCAACTTCTTCGAATCATCCAGCCCGTTGACCCAATTAACAATGTTTTTGGTCTTGTGAGTAGGGACCGACAGATCATCAAAAATCACAAGCTGTACAGAACCAAACTAATCAATGCAAATATTGACAAATAATATTGTAACCCACAAATATGCAACTCAATCTGACCAGTAAAAAATTATAACTCTCTAACTAGGTAAAGCGATGAGGAGGATAATACTTAGTCCACACAAACTCACAAATCAGCCAATATAGACTGTATATACACAAGATGAATAAGAAATTTTTCATAGGCTATTCCCTCGTACTTTTCACATAACATAAAAAGATGTTCTCTTATATCTACTTTGTGGACAAAATACCCCTAAACTTTAAATTATGCATAGCATGTGCAAAAACAACCCAATAATCAGTATAATTTGACACAAACTAGGAGTAATGACTTGTACCCAGTGCACAAGGCTCTAATAGGACCTGGGATAGGTCCAGATACATGCAGCCTTGCCCTTATTTACATAAAGAGGCTGTTTTCAGGGATCAACTTTGTGATCTGGAGGATAGAAAGTGAACATTTAACCATCGCACCAAATCACAACCTTCTCTTTCATTTCTTAACATATTTCATTTTATGGACACAATACTCTCAACAATACATAATATTGTGTTATTTTACCACATAACCCTCAACTTCTCGTAAAGGGAAAGGACAATATCAGTACTATTTCCACTTAACCACATGGGTACAAAAGATTTATTTCAATCCTTCTCCTTGGTTGTCATTTTTTTTATGTTGCAAGTAGCCAAGTATTGAGAAACAAAGCACATGTAATTTTAATTTTTTTTTTTAAAAAAAAACTCTCAAATGTAAACAATAATGGTTTACCCAAACACAACGTTAAAGTAATTATATTATACGAAAAGGGATCTTTGGATAAAGTTGCACAAGCCATAAAGAACAACATTGTACATGAAAGCAGATACACACACTTTATTTGACCAGATCAGTGAGAGAAACCTCAACAAGACCCAACCTGGCAAGCAACCCTCACACCCCCCCCCCCACCAAAAGAAAGAGTTTCAACGCCATGTTCTGTTTGGATGGTTAAACCATTCCAACTATTTAGAACCAGGACTCTCTCCAGTCTCCACAGACACTATTTTACAAGAAAACCTTCATGCACTCTATGATCAACAACGTATGCTGCAGATAAGCCAAAGAAGTGCCATATATTTGAATAAATGCCAAAGAAGTAGATTAAGATATTTTATAATAATTCAAATTTATACTTGTCCACCAAAAGATATCAAGCCATCAACCACAGATCCATAAAAGATATTATTACATAATAGCCTAAATAATTACTTCGTAGGTAGTAGCAGAAAGGCAGCAGATCCATTTATTGAACCTGTAAAGAGATTTGGAGACTAGTAAAGTAGTACTATTTATTTAACATTAAAAAAAAGCCCAGCCCAGCCTTAAGACTCAAGGCATTCCAAGATCTGATATAAAATGTTGACGATCAAAGATGGATAGAAAGAAAGTCAAGATATATATTACTCTTGTATTCATGTGAAGTACTAAAATATTGCATGGTATTAAATTCGTAAGCATCTTGTGTAAGAAGCAAAGCAAAGGATCATACCTTCCCTTCCGCAGCACGTGCAGATAATGCAATCTTCAATCCCAAACGCCGAACCTTTTTGTTTAGTTTAAAGGCATGACTCCGTGGCTTAGGACCATGCATGGTAGAACCTCCTCTCATCTGTCATTTCCAATACAATTTGGCAAATTATTTCAAAGCTCTGACTGAGGAACTGTTATAAGCATTTGTATGGTCAAGGCAAAAGCAAAAAAAATGGATTAATGGACCAATAAGAATAATATTTCATTACATGAGGACTACGTAACGATCCCTGCCTTGCTCGACCAGTACCCTTCTGCGGATGTGGCTTTCTCCCAGTCCCACTAACCTCACTGATTGTTTTAGTGGAATGGGTTCCCTGAAATCAACACATGACATGCTTTAATATAATAATTATTGTGTTAGAAGAACATAAGAAAAAGGATCCATAGTAACTAGTAAGGAGAAAACAACATTTCAAATATAATAAACATAATTAAAGATTGCTGGCATAAGAGAACTCACTCCAACACTTCCTTACCTGAGCATGGTCACAAGTCTCACAACTCACAGCACCCTCCCTAAGTTATCCTCAAAATAAAACTTCCCTAACACATAACCATTACGAATTCTAGGACCTACGATTTCAGGCAGAAAAAAAAACCACAAAAGTGAATTTCGCCCTTATACGAGTAAGAAGAACATTGATCGATAGGGGCCCTATTAAGTTTGTACATACTCAAATCTGTTGGAGGGGGGAGGGGGATCACAGTCATTTAAGGTCAAAACATAAAAAACATCAATCACCTGTTGACGCTTGGCAAGCTGCCATCTCACAACTCTATGAACAATATCTTTCCTAATTGGTACATCAAAGACATCCCCAGCTAATGCCAGAAGTCCCTTATCTTCATAATGAAAATTTGTCACAGGGATTACCAGATCCTGGTACACTCCTACAGAAACAGCACAACAAATCAGCAACAGCAAAAAGCTTTCATTTTTCTGAACTAGTCATAAGCTCACTAAAATTTAATTACCAAGAATATGCAATGCAAATTATTATTACAGCTGAAATTGTGAATTCCCCGACTCACAGATAATATAAACCTAAGATACATAAAATATGGAATAGGAACAAAATTAATGGTCAACGAGCCAGATTAGATGCACTTTTACAATTTGATTACACTATTATCTTTACATTAGATGCAAATTGAAAAACCATACATAGCAAGATTAAAACACTTAACATAAAACATAATATAGGATACCGCAATTTCACAAGTTTCAAGCTACTACTACAATTCACAGCTCCACTGCTAGTGTCGAACATAGGTACATGTCCAAGTGTCAAACTACACCATTTATGAAAAGTTTGCAAATCTTCAGTCCCAAATGAAGCTATAAGTGTCTAAATCTATGTCAACATACGGGCTTTCAAAGCAATTGGAAGTGTCACTAACAGCAACACCACATTTTTATGTCCATTTCAATATTTTGATAATCATAATTGCTAATCTAATAAAACCTTGATCAACAAATAATTTGGTCCAATCCACATACCTTGAGTACGATCTGGGATCGACATAGTTTTCTTGGCCATGAGTAAATCAGATGGGATTTCACCATTACTTGAATTTGGTGTCACTGTGGTTGTAGAAAAAATTCGACTACATGAAACACCCTGCTTAACCAAATCCCACATTAATCAGCCAATAAAGATTAACAAACCAAAACTAAAGTACAATTATTGAAGTAAAATATGGTCTTTAAATTTCAGATAAGAAACCCAGAAATTTCATCAAGCTAGTTACCAATAATTTCTCAAGCATCCTGATTTCAATTTACTACGTATTGTGCAAAACCTAGGATCATAAACTGAACATTATTTCCCCAAAATGTCGTCAAATTAATCATTTCACACTAATAATACCTAATTTAACAAAAATCCCAAAAATAATCTAAATAAATTGCGTCAAATAATGCCTTTACACTTCGGCCATTTCTCTGTATCATGAACTGTAATAATTTTTAGTTAAAACAATAAAAAAAAATTAAAAAATAAAAGAAGATTTCTGGGAAATAAGAAGAAGACATGAAAGAGAAGAATAGGAGAGAGAGCAAAGGAGGACATACGAGAGAAGGATGAACATGGTTAGTGCGGAGGAGGTGGTGATGGAGGGCAGCCAAGATCCTTTTCGCCATTAAAACAGTCTGAGAGCTGCTAAGCTTGACTGAGGTTTTTGCGGGTTTAAGACTGTTTTGTATTTCTGTGTTTGGGCTTTTAGTCAAGGCCCATGTTATTTTCTTTCATTTGGGGTGGCTTAATTCTGTAACTTTTTTATTTGCAAATAATTTTTTGAAAAATTTGACTTTTGCTATCACCAAAACACATGCATTTCACTTTTGCTACCACTTATTTTTTATTTTTTTATTTTACTACCACTATAAATCACATATTTTAAAATTTGATAACATTTGACGAAATCTGTTACGATTGCCGTTTGTGGGCCCCACGTAGTTAACTAACCTCCCTATCTTCTTCTCTCTCCTCGAATCTATTCCTCTGCCTAACTCTTCCTTATCTCTCCATTGAATACTCTCAACCCCTACATTGAACTCCATTGAAGGCAACCTTAATTTTTTTTTTTGGTCCTTCAATTTTTCTCTCTCCTCTGTCACCATCTCCATCTCTCTTTATCTCTACTTTTCTGCAAATTGAAGCGTATAATTGTGCGCGTGGAAGGTCTTAACTGTGACAACGAAGCAAGGGAAGACAAACAGTTGCAGGGAAGCGTCATCTCCATTGTTGGAAGCTGAAGATTCGCCTGACAACGACGTATTGGAAGGTACGAAACCCTATCTATTTATAATGGTCCAACAATGGTGGTTATTTCGCAATAATGCATTGTAGTTGGGGTATTTTTGGGAGAATCTACTATTAAACCCTAGGTTAGTGAGCTTTGATTATTTTAAGCGTTGTTTGACTAATTAAAAATTGATGCTTACATAGTCATGTGGTAGGGTATGGGGGTATATTGAGAATGCCTTTTTTGTTAATCAATTGAATTGATTTAGTTACAATTAAGAATAAAATAGTGTTTGATTTATTTGTTTATTGCTATATAATTGTAGATTAAAACAAATGGTTGATGGTGATCACGAGGTTGATATTAAGCTAAGAATATATGGGGGTTTTGTGTTTAAGAGCCGTATGGGAGTCTAGTACCAAGTGTATGAAGTTGGGTTCACTTATTGGAAAAGGAATGTATCTCTGACTTACTTGACGGTGGGATATTTAAGATATTTATGTACTGAAGGAATTAGGGACATGGGGTGGGATGTACCTAACATATATGTTCTCTGTTCAAAGAAAGGGGTAAGACTTGGTTGACTGGTAAAAGGAAGATAGAAACTGATGAGGATGTACAAGGGTTATTAGAAGTAGGGGTGAGCAAAGATCCAGGGTACCCGGTGCCGGACCCGGAACCGGTAAGGACCCGCCGGGTCCGGACCCAGAACTGGTCTCACCGTTTCCGGGACCGTGTCCAAAATTTCGGACCCGGTTGTAACCAGTTCCGATTCCAAATCTTAAAATTTTGGATCCGGTACCCACTGGGTACTTGGTTGTATATGATATAGTATGTGGATTGTTTGTGTTTTTAAGAATCTAAAGGGTTATGTACAACCCATTTTAATTTCTAAGCCCAATTGCTTATAAAACTCTCAACCCACTATCAAACAAAACCCTAAAACTTCTAGATTTTTCTCTCCGCTATACTATACCGGTTGCCCAACATATATTGTATAAAATATATTTGAAAAAACAAAAACATGTTGAACGTAACTAATTAGTAAAATAAAAAAAAATTAATATTTAATATAATTAAAATCGCTTAATGTATATAAAAATATAAGTATTTAACGCTAAAAGTAAAAATATACCAAAAAAAATATTATGATTTGTATTATATTTCAACACTTATATATATAAGTGGGTACCCGAAATCGGAACCGGTACCCGGTGGAACCAATTCCAATTCCTAAATTTTAGGACCCGGTTGTACCGATTCCAATTCTGGTTCCAAATTTTAGGACCCGGTCCCAACCAATTCCGGGTCCGGATCCTAAAATTTTGACCGGGTACCCGGTTTGCTCACCCTTAATTAGAAGCCAAGAACATGGATGGGTATTTAGAGGTGTTTTGCACGTATCTGATGACCCTACCCCTAGTGAGAACCCCCAGAGCATTGTAGCTGAAGATAATAACCCCACCTCAATCCCACAACAGTCCAACTTCAATGAAAGTGCATCCAACTGGACTGCCCATGTGTATGGTCATACTGTTACTGGATCCAATCCAACCCAACCACAGCCATCCCAAACACAAAAATGCTCTACCCCACCTCAAACCCATGTGTCTACCCATACTGTTACTGGATCCAACCTAACCCAAGAACAACCATCCCAAACACAACAAAGCTCTATTACACCTCAAACCCAAAACACAACACATCAACCTACTGACCTTGTCGTGAGAAGGAGCCCTAAACTTTCTAAAGTACCTGAAACAGAACCTGGTGTGAGCAAAGTGAGGAGAAGCCCTAGGTTTTCTAAATCTGTTGATAAGGGGAAGGGTAAGGCTAAAGAAAAAGTTGGTGATGGTGGTGTGATCCTGCAAAAGGGTAGAGGGCAGGGAAGTGGGAAAATAAAAGCAAAAAGGGTTCTTAAATTGGGTGAAGAGGATGAATCAGGTTCTGGGTCATCAAGCTCATATGCAACTGATCTAGGAATTGATTGAGAGATTGGGGAAGAAGAGGAAAACAGTGATGATGATGAGTGGCATAGGCAGACTAGAGAAGGCATCTTAACTGCAGTAGAAAATAGCTTGCAGGTTGTGAGATATAGGGCTGAAAATTCAGAGGGTATAGGTGTGGAAAGGGAGGAGGAACTGAAACAATTTACTAAGGACATTGGTTGGGAGGAAGTGGATGTCCATGATGAAGGTTCTGAATTAGAATTTTACATGGGTCAGATGAGGATGAAGATGATAGTCCCTGGTTTCATGAAGAAAATGATTTCAAAAAACCAGTTGTGCTAGTGAAGAAGTTGCAGTTCTCCAACAACACCATTCTAAGGAAAGCCTTGAGGACACATGCAATAGAGAACAGATATGAGTATTACTATCTGCACAATGGTGGTAATAGGATAACCACATTCTGTAAGAGAAGGTGTAAGTGCGAGTGGAATTCCAAAAGAAGCAAAGTGACAGGGAGTTGCAAATGCAGTGCTAGGGTTAAGAAGTGTAAGTTTATGGTGGCTGCTAGAAGATTGTACAACAATCATGCTTGGCAAATCATAAATTTTAGGCCAAAGCATATGTGTATGAGGAGTAAAATGAATTCAATGGTGAATACTAAGTATCTTGCTCAGAAGTATGTTGAGGAATGGAGGCATAACCAAGTTGGGATCTAAAAAGTTTCAGAGCTAGGGTGTTGAGTGACATGGGGCATAACAGTAAGGTATTCCAAAGCTTGGCTTGCTAGAGCTAGGGCAAAGCTGATGATTTATGGGTCAGCTATAGAGAAATATGCCAGGGCTTGGGATTATGGCAAAGTTGTAATTAAGTACATTCCTGGCTATGGGGTGTGCGTAGTGGTAGAGGGGGAAGAAGCCCTGAACCACCATTTTTTATGAGGATGTACATTTGTCTTCAACCATTGAGAAGTGGTTTAATAAAAGGATGTATACCTCTAATAGGTGTTGATGGTTGTCATCTAAAGTGAGCCTAACCAGGACCAGTACTTGTGGCTGTTGGAAAAGATGGAAACAATAACATATATCCACTTGCTGGGTTACAGTTGAAGTGGAGAATAAGGACACATGGTGCTGGTTCTTGGGGTGTTTGAAAAAGGACCTTGGTGATGTGTGTGAAGGTGGTGGTTGGACATTCATGTCTGACAGACAAAAGGTGAGCTTCCATGCCCTAATTAGACTATTTATAGTACCTAATATGATATGAGTAGTTTTGCACTAATGTGTTGATTGTTAATTCGGGTCTCCTTGAAGCCTTGGAATTGCAAGTCCCATTTGTTGAGAAGAGGTTATGTGTCAGGCATATCTGGGCCAACTTCAAGCTTCAATTCAGTGGATCAACCTTCAAAAATCTCTTCTAGAATGCTGTTAGGGCTACAACATTGGCGAGTCACTGAACTTGAGTTGAATGTATGATAGGCGGTTGCTCATCTAACAAAAATAATAAAAGCCTAACTATCTTCCTAATATTTAGTAGGATAAGTCAGGGTCGATCCCACAAAAAAGGTAGTATCAATATTGAGTTGCTATGAATTATAACTAGTCGAGTCAATCAAAATAAGGTTGAAAATATTATACTACTAAAGCAAGAAAATGAATTAATAAAGTGAGGGGAATAGGGTGAATAATTTAATAAAGTTAGAGTATAAGGTAAAATAGTAAAATTAGCTTAACGGAAGGTTGACGTCTATTAGCTAAAAGGGTATTTTATGACAATGTACAGAAAATGGTGGGTATATGGTGTATTTCAAAAGTTTTATGAATATATCGTGAATAATCAAATTACTCAGGGGTATTTGGTGAACTAACCGAATTAATTAAGTATCTAGATATTATCTTTTAAGATTAGGAATAATTTTATCTAAATATATAACGAATGAGAGGAAATTCACAATTTATTTTAAAATAAAAATATAAAAGGATTTTCCAAATGGTACTGTCTCGAGGTTTTTTTATGTGTCATGCGGGATAGTTACGTCATTAAGACCGAGTCCTCGCTGGTTGTACCTGCAAACAAATGGAAGCTTCGGTTGTGCGGAGTTCCGACTCCAACGATCACGTTAATTAGAGTTGAAGGAGAGGAAAAAGCGTGGAAAATAAAGTAGATCTCCTCGGATCCCGAGATTAGGTGTTTTCTCTGTTGTAAGAGCATTGATTGTGATGTAACAAATGAATGTCCCCCAAATTAGGGCAAATCTCCCTATTTATAGGGACATGGGAACCAGTGCTCCCCTTTTCTAGGTCATCAACCCAGGTAAATGGGTTGCGCTGTTTTTACGGCGTTTTAGGGATTTCGGCCTTTCAAAGCCGCCTTTTTCCCCGATGACTGGGAATGCCACGTGTTAGCTGATGATTAGTCAATTCTAGACCTTTTCTGAGGTGACACGTGTCCCCTTTTGATTAGGCCACAGCTTGGGTATTTTTACCCAAATCAGGTACCATTAAACTGTTGTTAATAAAACGTTAAGTATAATTAGAGTTAGGTTAGTTTGCCAATATAATTACCCTACTACCCCTTCTCTTCCACTTTGTGTTAGTCAATTTGCATGATTTCTAAGCTTCCCAAGTGAGGGAAATTGAAAGGAAATAAGGGAGGGAAATTGAAAGGGAAAAGGGGAAATTGTGGAAGAAGAGGGAATAGGGGAAATCGTGGAAGAAGAGGGAAAGGGAAAGAAAAGGAAAAAAAAAAACAGATTTAAGAGGTTACGTGCACAACACGTGACTATTTTTTTGGCCGGAAAATGGAAGTCAACGCCGAAGTTTGGTCAAAGGACCCTCCACGCAACCCAAACGTCATAAAAGGACCTTCCTCACCACTTTGTTCATAAAAGGAACTTCCTCACAAGGTCGACTCCTTAAAAGGACCATTCTCGCAATTTTACCTTATTTTTAAAAATCGGGCTCACTTAGTAATACTTCCTCCGATTTAGTAATATTGCAATAATTAGACTTTTGCACTATTTATGTTGTTTGACCACGAATTATGATTTATACGTAAAGTAAAATATAGTCATATGGGGTCTTGTTACATTCGGCTCGTAAAATACTTTCACAATATCAACTTTTTATAATTTTTACTCTTATATAATTATAGATATTTAACTTATACAATGTGCTTTGGAATGCGTAATTACTTCATTGTTGCAATATTTGTGAAACAGAAGAAGTATTAATTTTCTTCCGTTATCATTAGCAAAGAGCCAAAGACCAAGGTTAACATGAAAATAGATTGGAAATGAAACTTTTCAATTTTTCATCTCATAAAAGTTTTTCTATTTGTTTTGCCCAAGAATTTGCTTACAATTCATCAATGCAATTCTGAATTCTGATAGAGAGCAAACATCATCCTATTAAAGAAAAACTATTACACTGCAATATAAAGTGGTGGAAATTCAAGTTGCAAATGGAAAGAATGATATTAATAGAAAACGAATTTAAGGGGGAAAGAGTGGAAATGGGGGAAAATTGATAGAGTATAAAACGTATTCCTGGACCTCAACCATGAGTATAAAACGTATTCTTGGGCCTCAACCATAAGCTTAAGCTTTTGGTTGAGTTGGTCCTTTAACATGGTATCGGAGCCAACGTGACACAAAGATCACTGGTTCGAATCTCATCCATCCCCAACTTTTAAGTGGAATATTAAGTGTTGTGTATGAGGAGGGTCCATCCACACTTCTAGCCCAATGGGCTCTCGTGTGAGGGGGACTGCTTTGATTAGTATAAAAGTTGGGTGGTACCAATTGGAAGAAAGATAAAATAAGGTACCACTTGGAAAAGTCCATACTTTAATGGTATCATTTGGAAAATCCCAAATATAAATGATATATACTACTTTATAATGAATAAAGTAACAAATTTTATCACATAAATACAACTAATATTTGTTTTAAAAAAAAAAAAAAAAATCTTGCATTGCACGGGATTCACCTAGTAAAAAATAAATTATAGTTTTCTCTTAAGCCTGAAATCATCAGTTAAATTGCACAATTATAGTTATCTTATTAAAAATGAATTGCACAATTATAAATATCTTATTAAATCATCAGTTGAAGAAAATCAGTGATAGATTATCTAATTAAGCATATGTAAAAAACTCAACATAGCTATTTGAATCATTTTGTGGCAATAAAATTGACATAGATGAAAATAATAATTATGAAATCAACCTGTTATGGATTAAAAACCTAAATTAGTATGAAGTATAATCTTAGCTAACATCAAAAGCAATGTCTTGCAGAACGTAGAAACAAAAAGCTTCTAAATTCATAACGATTGCCTTGTGTACCATACGTAGGATGTTGCAGCAGAAATCTCAAAGCTTAGGTTGCAACTATTTATGAGCTTGGCAGTTTTTGGTACAAACACGATCAAATTGAAGAATGTACATCTCAAAATTTTTATAATCATAGACAGGATACAAGGTAAAGCTGCATCAACAATGGCTAAAGAGTGGCGTTGCGAGTTTTAGAAAAGTTCATCAAAGTAATGAAGACCCTAAACGTTGAAACTAAATGAAAGAAAATACCAGAAAACTTTCAAATAAAGTTTGTTTCGACATTTCAAAAAAAAGATTATGATACACTAGTGTACAATGATAAAAATTAATCCTAACTCCTCCCACATGTACAGTGCAATTGCCACCAATATCATATTTGTTTTCAAAGAGGCAGGCCAGCCAAGAAGCCCTCTAGACGTTGCCCATTTCGACAAATACCAGCCCTTTGATATATTCATGACTTGAGAATTGAGATAGCAGTTCACTAATCACCAATAGCTTTTCCCGCAGATCTCCAAATGAAGTTACATGTCAATCAAGAAAAGGACAAAGGCAACATAATCCAGCAAAGCTGTCAAAGAGATTCCATGGCCTAGTACGAAATGCTCACACAGAAAGCACATTACGAAATGCTCTCCTGAGCTGCAAATTATATTGAAAAAACTAGTCGTATAAGTAAAAAAAACATAGCATACCATTTAGAAGCATTTAGGAGGGCAAGAGAACAAACCTCAAAAGCATCTTTCCAGAGTGGATCTAAGATTGTCCAATACTTTTCTGTTGCAAGATTTCTCCAATCTTCCGATATAAATTTAGCTGCTCCTCAAATGTAAGGTTCATCAAAATCTACCAACGAAATGATGTTAGTATAAAGGCTTCATATGGTCCCATATCAAATAGTATAACATTAACAATAATAACAGTATCATTCTTCCCTGTCAAAAAAGAAATTTTAAAAAACTAATAGGAGACCAAAATCCAAGATCGGAAATATCTGAACAGAGGAGAAAACTACCTGATCCAAGATAGTATCAATTGATAAACTTTGTGACTTCACAAAGGACTGATGGTAGATATATGCAAAGACGGCCATTACCATCTGGGGAAAAAAAATTCATGCTTAAATAATGAAAACACTTGAACAACTCAAGATGATTATATTACCACTGCATTACACTATTTTAGATGCGCAATTGACAGCAATGTATGTTCCACTTTACATATTCTTGCATAGGAGTCATAGGGCACTCAATAAACTTGGAATATTCACTGGATTGAACGTAATAAACCCTTTATTGCAAAGAGAAAACCTTTGACTTTTGAACTATTTAAATACTGATGTTGACCTTGTTTGGTATTAAAATACAAATAACAAATGTGAATATGTAAATTACAGACGGTTATTACCAAAAAAAACATATGTATATATATACGAAGTTTAAAATATTGTGCTTAAGCTCAAGTTGATAAATACTCCGTATTACCACTACATTTACAAATTTTTGCGTGACACTAGATACACTTCAACACATATAATTCCACCCATGAAATATCAGGAAGAGGCGACTTTTAGTTAAATGCTTCAACAGATAATCTTCACCCGTAGACAGCTTACCATAAACATAATTCTACCCATAAAGTTTGACATGTATTGGTTCAAAGTTTATGATGCAGGGGAAAACAATGAGTGTTATTCACAATCATTATTCACATATCATAATGTTAAATTGGATAGAAAAACTAAAACACTGACAAATATGTTTTGCGGTAAATGCAGCATACCTGACAATCCATTCTGTCGGTGATTCCACCATGTCCAGGGATGCTATCACCAAAGTCCTGTGACAACCAGAACGAAAATATATTATAATCACACTGTGGACCTTTACTAGCTGTGCATAAAGTCAAAGAATTGCAAGAACCTTGATCTTGAAGGCTCTTTTAAACCCGCTAGCAAAAAATCCTCCAAAAGGCGCTATGATTGATGAGAATAGGCCTAGAAATAAAGCATGCCATTGAACAGGCATGACAGGAATATCCTTCCAAGGGAGCTGCAAAGGATACAATAGTCATGAACGGTGAATCAAACATAAACATCAATATAATATCCCCTGCAATAATTTATTGCAACATCTAACTTAAGTAGCCAGGAATAAGGTTTTATCAATTGGACACTGCGATCTTCAACCACTCTTTCCCCAACAAAAAGAAAATAATAAAGGGAGTCTACAAATCTACAATAGGCAAAAGCACTGTTAGCGAATTAGCGCCAATGGAGCAAGTGTTGAGATCTACAACACTTTTTCTAAAAGATGCCCACATATTGTCCCAGAATCAGGATTATTAATTTTTTTATTTTATTTTTTTCACTTTTTTAAGCTTTTCTCAACAATAACTTAAATAAGTATTCAAGCTTATATACGTCACTACCAATATCAACTGTCCAGAAAAAGCTGTGTCAGAAGATTGGAAACTTGTTTAGCAATTATACAACAAGAACTTCAGGTATGTCATGCAGGATGTTCAGATGTGATATCATAGACATCAAAGGGTTTCTAATAACTCAAATCAGCAGTCAAGTATACACGGTTCCTCATTCAAGGAAAAATTGCATCTTAAACCAAGTAGATCTGATAAGTTTGATTGAGTTACATTGCTCAGAGCAAAGCAGCATATTAATCTAAAGATGTACCAAGAATGTCAACCCAGAATGAAAAATATAAGCACAGGAAACTCATCTGACACATACACACACACTGTGGAAACATCGTTGTGTCCTCTGAATCTCCGTCAATTCATTCAACATAGAACTTTTTGAATGATTATCAAATTATTGGTTTAACTAACACACGAGAAAAATTAGCTATTTAACATATGTGATAGGTGGAATTTTAAAAACCGCGGCTGATTCTACATAAAGATACTGAGTATAGAAGTTAAGAGCCTAGTCAGCTCAATTTATTTTATAGTTTGACAAGGTAATTAGTCATTCGTCTCAATAACACTTGCTGATTTTTCCCCAATCTTGGCACATGGATCTCTTAATTAACCACTTGATTATGGGATTCAAACATTAAGGCTGGTTCACCATTCTTAATTCCGTCACAAACAAAGATTAATCAGAGAATCAGAGGGATTAGCTCAACATGGAATTTTGGTTTTATCAAAGCTTGCCAGGCAATACCTTACAAAATGTTCCTGATGAAGTGTTGGATAATTAATCACCAGTTAGGCAAATAATGCTTAATAATTGGAAGCTCTATTGCACATGCAACAGCCTGTTATAGCAATAAATCATGTAAAACTAACTTTTTAAGTTTTAATAGGACAAACACCAATCCCCAGAAACTGCTCCTCTCCTAAAAAATGCAGCATAACATGGTTTTCAGAGACATAACTGCCATGTAATCATATGTTTTATGAGGAAGCTTATGAAATTTAAAATTAAGGAGTCAAAGATTCACATGTGAGTAATTTTCTAATGTTTCCCAATAAAATAAAAATAAAAACAAAACTCTATACTAAGTAGAATTGATCCTTAAACCCCGTGAGATATAATCACAACCTAACATCAATGCTCTTGCACTTACATTACAAGTCAAAAGTTCCATGCCATAAGAAAAATAGAACGTATACATGATTAAAATGCCTGATACTCTGTATAGTAAATAGCTCATTAAATAGCAACGGGATGTAATTAATAAAAAATCCTACCATCTAAAGTAACTCGTTTCTCTTTTGTCTTGACACTTAGATCAATAGGCCCAATGCCAACGTTCCACGCCCCCTCGACTGTGACAAACTTATTATTATTTGGATGCCTAACATGACCTAAACTCTACGCAAATGAGTGTTATAACTGTTATTGCTACCTCACCCGCCCTCTTCCACACTTGCTTTCTACCACCAGTTCTTTTGAAACATCAACTCACAAAGCTAATACTTTAGTCGAAGGGTTTTTTTTTTTTTTTTAATCAATACTCTCTACAATACACCTGTTGCACACTGAGATATAACAGGTCACTCGCATTCTAGCTCTCTTCATGGTTCTTAAGAGCTTGCTGAAAAAAGTGTCGATTACTTTTAGGCTTTAAGTGCAACATAATTTGCAGTGCATAGAATTTTTAATGGTATTGAAGAGTTATTACAGATGGCACAGAAAGACCAATTATCGGCCAGAAATCCAAAGCAGGAACTCTCAATGTCAAGATTGCAATAAAGTTGTAGAGATGACATGTTAATCAAGATATACTGTTGGCCAAGCATGATAGAGATAGACATTCATGGACATGGGTGAGAGAGAGAGAGAGAGAGAGAGGGGACATCCCAAATCTTTCTGGTGCAATATATGTGATCAGCATGCAGCAGTAAGACCAAATTAGCATGAGAAGCTGCCACAGTGACATCAAAACCGCCTTAAACCAATGTGTAAAAAAGCTACGGCGCACTAAAGCGATAAAGGTCCTGCTGAGCCTAGGCACGCTTTGGTGCGCCTCTTGCGCACAGTATAAACAATTAGAAAAATTCACTGAAGTGGTAAGCTTCTGTGCCTCACAAAAAAAGTGATCTACCCTAATTGCCTGGCAGCCTAGTGCCTAGCCGCCTAGGCATGCCCAAGGTGCGACTTTTAATACACTGTCTTTAACAATTATGACAACCAAAGAGTAATAACCAAAAACATAAAAACTATTAAAGTAAAAAAATTCTGAAGCTTAACACAGAAAATCAGTATACAAATCTCACCCAATTTGCAATCAATCCTGGCAAGTGGTAATACTCCGGCTTAAACAGTGGTCCAGGATCACAGTGGAGCCAACCAGTAGATAGATCCTTATAAAATACCAAAGACAACCAAAACAATTAGTCAGGGCATAAGTCTAAGTTTCTAGAAAAAACTCCTTACAAACCAAGAGAAAGATATACCTCTCTTGGACATGTTAACCACTCAAACCGACCCATGACATTTGCAAGCTGCAATAAAGAGGTCGGAATTAGTTTGTAATTTATTACTACATTGTCTACATGGGCAAGTAATGTTATGATGAGGTAATTATTGAGGATTATTGACACTATCATAATACCCTTCATTAAATTATTCATAAATGCAAAAGAATTAAAAACATCAGAAATCTCCTCAAAGGAGACCCAACTTTATGCCAGCTGGGTAGTCTTATGCTTTTGAATGGATACTGTGCTTGCAGCATATAATCAAGTAAAAAAAAAAAAAAAAAGAAGAGGAAGAAGAAAGAACCCTATAAAAAAGATTACAAGAGCAGATGTTCAACTCAATCCAAAAGGTCAAAAAAGTAAAATGCATGAGGAAATTTGAAACGGAGTACGCACCAAAAATGCTGAAATGATGGTCGTAACGGAAGCCCCAATAAAACCTTCCCAAGTTTTCTTGGGAGAAAGCTTAATCAAAGGAGTTTTCCCAAAGAAAAACCCAAATAGATAAGCAGCAATGTCATTTATGACTATAAGTGAGGCAGGAAGAAGGAACCTGCAATTATATCAAACTGACTTATTATCCCCAAGAATAGAAAGAAAGAAAGCTAGTATGTAGCTGCGAGTAAATATGAAAGATGACATTCTCATCATGGAAGCAATAATACATCAAAAGGGAGATCATGGCTATAATCCTGAATCACCTGTCAACGTCACTATCATAATTATGCTAGAAAGAGAGCACTATGTTCAAAAGCCTTTACTAGATAATCTTATATTCATATCAAAGCCTTACGAAGAAGAAAAAAGCATATAAAATAGTCATAGAATATCATAATGTACAATACCCAAAAAAATACTACAATTTGTATATAGCATATAAATGAGCCAAAGGAACCACACAATTGCAATCTCAACATCAAATTCAGCAAATCCCATACTCTGTAGATTACAAAAGACAGCGTGACGGCGTGATTAAGCTAAACATGCCCCGAATTTGTCCAAAAAGTATTTATCATCAATATACATCTAGTGCCACTGCATCATAGACGCACAATGTAGATATTGAATCCTCTCAGTACAAGAATACACAACCAGCAAACCAGGTTTGGTAAAGCAAAAGTTCAAAACTCCTTTTGCAAAATAAAATGCACTTGTGGTACGAGAAAAAAGCTGGGAACTCTAGGTTCATAAGATGTAAATTAAGATTCTTGTATTTGGGACAGTGAGGTTTCAAATCTCAGTTTCTAAATTCTAAGATTGCTGACACTTTACATTTGATTGTTTTGATTGACAAGAAGATAGAGGATAGCGGCACCAAGTTATTAGTAATGGTGATTTTCTATTTCAGTGAGGATATCGTGTTCTGAAGAGTGGAAAGTGTGCCAATCTTCAGTACATATATAGATATATTGTGAAGCTTAATATTTTGACAACGTGAAAAGTCACACCTCTTTCGATGGAAAAACAATAAGAGTTCCATTCTGTTAGCCTAAAGTTAAAAAAAGTGTTCCTTCTATCCCCAAATAAAAGTCCCAATTCACCCAAAACTCTTGTCCTTAATATAAGTCTCATTTCACCTTTATCTATTTGATTATTCTTTTTTAATCAACCAAACCCCACTATCTTCCTTTAATTCACTTTAAATCAACTGGACTCCGCTATCTTGTTTTGTTATATTTACCTATAATCAAACAAACCCCACAATCTTCTAATTTTATTTAACTTCCTAAAAACTTGTGCAAAAGCCAAGATTTATAATTGAGGATGGAGGGAGTGACAGCTCTAAGTGACATGACAAATAATTGGAATCTTCTAAAATTTTTGAGGACATGTATCAAAGCAGTTATTCAAAAAACTTTTGCGCAAGCCTCTTTTACGGGTAATACTATAAATTATATAATCAAACTCTATCCACCTTCAATGGGGGCAAGTATCATTATTCTATTTTATTAGGCTTACAATAAACTACTTTGACTTATTAACAAGTCTCCGGCTCTTCATTGTGAAGTAACATATAATTGATGCATTTTGGATTTTTGGATCATAGGTCAACTGAAAAAAGGCCTTTTTAAAAAAATTGATATAAAGGATATTTTCATTTGTCAATTGTCTGAACAGAATGTCATACAACATGGAAATGGATTAGAGCAAGTGTTGAAAAGGATAAGAAAGTGCTTGCCATTAAGTTCGTCATGTATTTAGGGCTTTAGTTAATGGTTCTAGCTAATCTCCCATGGAAAATATATATCACCTGGTTCCTTCAGCATCTAACCTCCTCTTAAGGAACCTAAAGTAATAAGATAAAGACACTAAAACAAAAGGATGGAACAATTCATCTTTGAACTTTTGATTAATAAAAAAAAAAAAAAGAAAAGTTCATATGATGATTTAAGCAAGGCTCTCACAACCATAGCATAATTCATAGTTGATTGGGAAACTATAATAGCAAGTATGAAATTTTGCATTGTATTGCAAGTTTTCTTACCAAAACATTCCTTCAAAGATGTTGGCCACAGTAAATGATGATTGCGTGAACACCACAATAAGTATCATGTGCGTCCATGCAAACTGGCCAAATTGATACTTGTACATCTTCTTCTTCAGAGAGAGAATAAACCACACAAAACCTGAAGTCAATTGCAACATAACTTCAGATAAGGGGATACATGTAAAAAAAAAAAGGTGAAAAAGAAAAAAACTAAAGGTAATTTTCAGGGAGCACCATATGATATAATTTTACAATTATCACATATTGTGCCTAAAACACTTATTTTGAAGACCCGTTAAAAATTGCTAGTTATGTATCCCAATACAGTTAACCACGAGCTAACAAGAAAACCAGATTTTTTTTCAAGGTTAAGCGAGTATAATTAAAAGACCTATGCAGTTTTCAGGTTTGTTTTTTCAATTATGCTTAATGCAAGAATAACCTACTTCTGGACAATGCAAAGCAACAAACCAGGAGCAACTACATGCTGAATGCAATCAAGCTCAAGCTCAAGCTCAGAAAATTAGAGATTCGAAGACTGCAAAATAGGGTAATAGACATCTATGTTATTCAGACTCTTCATTGCACCTCCAGTACCCCCGTCTCAGATCCTCAACAATCCAAATTGGCTATAGAGAATTAGAGATACTTGGGAACTTGACACTTCATTATGACCAACAATATGAAACTTTTTCACAATACAGTCAGGTCAAAACTTGGACACTAACACACATCCAACAAGAATATCCATGTCCGGGTAACATACGGAATAGTACTCATTGATTAGATGTATCAACATAGAAGGAATACATGTCTCTTATAAAACCATAGTCTTAAGCAACAACACGCTACTTTTATAGGATACACTTAACAGTGAAGAGGCAAATGTTCCACACAACTAGCACACTTGGGGCTATTAAGAATCATTCCACGTTTGCAGTTATACATATAGTCCAATTAACATATATACTAAGTCTCCATTTGCAAAAGAGATAACAATGAAACTAAATAGGGAAAGCTGACCAACCTGCAATATACAGGAAATAACAAATAACCATATGGTACTTTGTAAGAAATCCAACAAGCTTAAACAATACTTTGTCTGAAGTGACAGTATTTACAAGTCGCTGACTGAGAAATCGACCATAGACAAACAGCATTGCAGTGAAGAAAAAGTGCCTGAAAATGTAAAATAACACTTAAAGAATAAGAATGCCATGCTTAAACTTCTATGAATGAAATTACAGACAATTCATTGTAAATTTTCTGGAGATAAACTCTCACCAATTTAATAGCCGAAAACCAGGAAGATCTCGATCCTCTCGAACCTTCCTTAACAGATTAAACAGCTCCTTTGCCATCAGAATTTGGATCAGAATCACCATGGCACAAATATATAGATGACCCATGTAGATGGTGAGGACAAAAGCCCCAATCATCCATAGGGTAGAATGTGTGCGGATCCACATCGACTTGTACTTGTTACGATCATTAGCAAGTAAATTGCCCCCATTTGGTTTGGTGATTTCAGCAGGAATCTAATTGGCATTAATTCGTCAGTTTAGAAATAATAGATAAGCTAAAGTGCCATTCAAATACCATACAAACTAACAAACATGGATTTTGAGGCAATTCAGTAAAAATGTTAACTGAAAATGAGTTTAACTATCAACACAGGGGAAGTGAGAGAAAAACAATCATTACTAAGCAAATGGAACAAAACATTTTTCATGTACATCGAAACGAATAATAGAAAACACATTTGAGAAATAAGCCAACCTCATTGGACTGCTTACGGCGCCTGATCTTATTCATGGATCCAATTTTACTTCTTCTTACTACAACCAATAGTTTACATACACAAGAATCCTGATAACTACCTGCAATGGGTACCATGTAAATCATTCATATTTGGATGGTATCTTAAATTAAGAGACAAACCTAAATAACAAAACTTGTGGAGCCACTGAACAAAACCCATATATATAGTGATTAGTGATACAGAGAAAACAGATATTCCAAGGATGGAAGAAAACGTAGGCAAAAAGTGTGCTAAAAGTAAAACCCAACTAACCAAAAAAATAAAAATAAAAAACAACACAAATATAATTAACAGTCCTTTCATTAGTCAATGTCTCCAATAATTATAAGAGAATTAAACTAACAGCTTCCACATATAACATATCAACCAAAAAAACGAAAAAATACAATCTTTAATTCGAACTAAACAATTAATTAACCGAGAATAATAATTCAAATCTCCCAAACTCCAGATTCAACAAAATACCCATCAAGAAATTAAGCAAAAGAATCAAAATTATGAAAAGGGTATCTCTAATTCGCTATTATTGCATTATAATCAGTCGAAAACTATAATAATCTAAATTAAAGATTATAATTTGAAAAAAAAATTAGAGGAAACAAAGGAACTTACCAAAGGAATACAGCAGAGAGATTTGAATAATTGTTTATAAAATTGATGAAATATGTTGAGTTTACGAAATCAAAAGAGAGTGATTTGTGTATTGAAGTGACAAAGAGAGGTTGAAAATAAAAAGGTTTTTCGATTGTTGTTAGCTTACACTCTGGAGGAGGAGGGATGTGGAGGAGGATTTTTTTAATTTTAATTTATTCTTTTTGTGTGTGGGTTTGCAATTTTATTTTATTTTATTTATTTTTTAAATGGTATTTTGCATGATGCTTTTCTCTTTCAAAAAGAAAATTATTACTCGTAGTACTTTACACTATTTAAGATTCTTATTCTTATTTTCCATTATCAAAAACAAAAAGTAAAAGATTCGCTCGGGTTTGTCAAAATCAATAGCTTCATCATCAAATGTTTTTACTATATACTTCGTATTTCACTTGGATTATAAGGTGTAATTAAAAGCATGAAAATTCACTAGGTATTTAAATGAAAGTGAATTGAGTAGGTTAAAATGTCGATATTATTCTATTCAATAATGAGATCAATTTGTCAGAGTGTGATCTAAACCTTATCAAATTGTAAACTAAACCGTAATTCTGCAATGTGCTACATATTATGGTTACAAAATTGCGTTGTAATTCAGAATTTTGACCAAATTAGTGTATGGCTTAGGTTTGGCTTCCAGAGTTTTTAAAACCAAACTGCACCACAAACTGCAAACAATTACCACTTTTATAATCTTTTAAGACTAGTCTTCAGAATTATTATAATTAGAAAGGGTTGTCACATGTGCACATGAGATAAAAGCTGGTCTAGAATCATCCTAAGGGATGAAAATTGTGTATATAAATACAGGGATGAGGAAGGAGGCAGATTGTGAGTAATTCCTAGGAGAATTGTGACCTTGAGCCACTATTTGGAGATTTGTAGCCTAAAGTTGCTAGCTTGTAGGAACCCTTCAAGGTTTTCAATTAAAGATTTGATCTACCTCTGTGTCTTTTTTTTTTTTTTTTTTGTGTTAATTGTGCGTGTGTGTGAGTGAGAGTCTAGCAAAGTATGAGTCCATTGCATATGACAAGAAAAAACTAGATGTTAAGGTGACATGGAGAAAATACAAGTTGATCTATTTGATTGACTAAATATGTTTATCAACTGGGTAAAACTGTCATTCTCATGACTAATTAAGAGATATAGTTGTAAACTCAGAAGGTTGAGTTAGACAAGTTGCCACATATGTCTCAATTAAAGTAACAATGAAATGTCGTTCAAACTTTCATCCTCCATTGAAGCTCGTCCTTTTTATTATTCCTTCCCCGATCTTCACCCACCTTCCTCAAATAGTGGTGTCGGTGAAAGGAGGGTGGAGATCGAGAAAGGAAGAAAGAGGAAGCTTCAATGTAGGAAGAAGCTAAAGCTTTGGTTAAGTCATCTTTTGTCCAACTCATCACATTTGTTGAACAATGATGTATCCCATTTATTGTTCCAGTTATTTACCCGCACCACTAGATAAACATACCTCGTTGACCTAATTGGGGCTCCCTCAACTAGATAAACATACCTCGTTGACCTAATTGGGGCTCCCTCAACTGGGAGTACAAGTAATCTGGAAAAAACAAATAGAAGATCTTCAAGAGTAAGGATGTCAAGCTTTAAATCATCAAGAAGCATAAAAGCTAAGTATAAAGATGCAACAACCCAAGAGGAATTAAGTGATCTTAAAGCGACTTTTGACAAGTTTAATGAGCAAAATGCCAACAACGTCCAAGAAAAGATTGCATAGGCAATCCATAATGCTATCAACACTTACAAGTCATCCATGGAGTAAAGCTATCAATTATGTCACTCGCAGTTAGTTTTGTTCAATGATGATAATGTTTAAGGTTCACTCGTCTTATATGAATGCTTTATAGCGAGAGACTGAGAGTACTAGAATAGAATCCAGAATCTGTCTTGTCTCTGCAAATGCAATCTCCTTAAAGTCGGCAATCAATCTCAGGTTACAAATCTTACAACGTACTGTCTAACTGACTTGCTTTATGACTGATTCAACACTCACTGTAGGAAGAACAAAATTGGCTACCTCTATTTCTCTCTATATCAAACAACATTGTTATAACAAATATAGTACAAATAAATTGGTAAAAATAAATTTATGAAAAAAAAAGGCCTAGTTGGTGGAATTTTAGTTATCTCAAGTAATACTGCCATACTACAGCTATTAAAGCCACCAATGCAACCTTGAAAATTAGCTTAGTACTAGTTGTTGATGAAGAAGAGGCCGCGGAGTTCTGATGCTGCTCCACTGGTTTTCCCCTCAATCTAGCAAACAACTTTTGCCACAGCTGATGAAGCCTGCTACTTTTCCTCTTGGCTGTTATCCATATTCAGAAGATATCGTTAGTGGAAGGAGAAACAAGCAAATAAAGCACATTTTGGGAGTTACAAATCATCTCTATTGGAAGATGCATGAGCTGCAATCGGAAGTGTTGCAAAAGTATCATATATAGAGGGGGTTTGTATTTCTCTGAAGATCAAGAAGATTTGACACAGACAAAGAAGTGACTCATGCCAACTTCCGAGTGACAAAGCAAGGAGATTAGGAACCACAAATAACCCTATTGCAGAGAAACGTGAGTCCAGCTTCAACCACCCATATGCTTAAGATAGGTTGACATTGGGAAAACAGAGAGTAGAGAGGAGAGAATAGGATCTTCATTTCCCTAATCTAAGAATCAGGGAGTGACAAATGGAATGGTCATAATTCCATTTGAGTCCCCCTGTCATTTCATTCTTAAACTAACATTCACTATGATGGTTAAATATGCCCAAGATAAAAAGGAGAAGCTCTTTCTCAAAGATATGCAACAATTTCTCATGGCATATCTGAATTGATGCTCAGGCCAATGCCGCTATGATGGCCAAATAAGCCCAAGCTAAAAGGAAGAACAAAAAGGTAACTTATAGCCCTTTGGTACATAGTAATAAAAGGCGGTAATGGGAATGAATATTAGTGTATTGTTGCAAGAAAAGTATCATCCCAATGTTCATAGTAATGTAACCCCCATCCTCAAACTGGTGTTTTTTTTTTTTTTTTTTTTTTTTTTATCATAAAATTTCATTACCTCCAACTACCACCCTCCAAATAGTTATAAATGGTAATGAAAAATTAAGAAGAAAAAAAAAAGACACCTTGGGGTGAACTACCATTACCCCAGGCACAAGACTCTAACCAAATTACATACAAATTAATTCTTACTAAGTTTACCACCATTTATCACCACCTACCAAACAGGCCATTAGTAATCAGCAATCACACTTTACCTCCTTTAAAGAAACAGCAAGAGAATCTGAGGTTTCAACATACTTACAGTCCTTACAGGCTTAAACCTGAAATGGACAAAATTACAGATATGTATATGTAAAAAGATGTGTCGACTTATCCATCCACTTTTCTTCTTACTCTTCATTAGCCTTAAATTCTACTCAGGAAGAGAAGGGGGGGGGGGGGAACTGCTGTAGCTCGGAAAAGAAACTTGATTACATGTGGAAATCACATCTATATCATAGAAACAGTATCTTTATCTAGAAATTATAACCAAGCAATTATATAATTACCTCTTTCTTCCAACATTCTTTCCTCTTCACCAACACGCTTCCTTAGTACATTGAGCAGGGATCCAAAATATAGAGCAAATACTGTACAAGTAATTGTGATAACATTGTAAGGCATGCTGAAGTCTGGGGTAGTTAATGGCACGAGCAATACTTCTGTATAAGCCAGAACAGGACTTCTCTTCTGCATTAAAAGGGAACAATCAGATGAACAAACTATCTAATACATCAGATGAAAGGGAAACGAGGAAAAAAAAAAGGCATCCAAATGAGAGGAGAGAGTGCTAAAGAGTTTCGGACTACCTGCAATTTTGATAATATAGGAGACACGTTTGAATATTCAGCAAAGCTTAGGCTTGAATGGAAATCAGGAAAGCTAATTAGAGCTGAAGGAATATCAAAACCTTGATTGGCATCTGGAGGGTATTCATCTATGTGCAGAAATCCCTGAACATACATGCAATCATATATCTTAATCAAGTAGCAGAAAATTCAGAAGGCTAGACAACCAATAATGTTATGCCCACAAACAATGCAACCACTTATACCAAAAGCTACTCCACAAACAGAGTTTCCCTAAAAACTAAAGAAACAAATCAATGGTTTTTAATGCTCATTAACTATGTAAAATACAGCCATAGAAACATGTGAAACACTAGCCAATATTTCCTCTGTTTTTTCAGTTGGCCCACTTTCCGCTTTGAGCTGTTTTGAAATTATTGTCCCATTAAGTAAATTGTAGTTCCAATTATGGAGTAAATGCATGCCCTTACCTTCAGCCCCTATCTCTCTCTCTCTTACTTTGTGGTACATCGCATATTCACATAGCCTTTGTAGTAATAAGCTACCCTTGCCCCCACCACCCTTTAAAAATGTGCCAAAACAGATGGATACCTAAAATGGAGGAAGTACATAAGTATATAACAGTGGGTCACAAACAACCTCTGTTACAAAGTTATCACATGGGGAAAGATAAGCAGGCAACAGTTGAAAGGATTGCAATTAAGTCCAAATTTGCTCAGCTAAATGCAGATAGTGATTTAATAAATTAAGCAGGGTAGAACACTAGAACACAATTCGAATACTTCACGATATCTCCATCTAGAGGCCTTATATTCCCCTTCAAGTGAAAATAATGAAATGCCATCAAGCCCGTTGCAAATGATGGATTACGCTGCTAATATTTCCCAAGTTGTGTTTTCTTATCAACTGTTGAAGACGAAGACTTAAGAGTTCCGGGAGCTTTTGAGAATTTTTCACGTCAAGGAAGTAAGTTAATTCCCAAGAGGATGACAATGCATTTTGGAGAAGTTTAAGCAAATATTATAGGCTTATTATTCCAAATAAATTAAAATAAAAATCAATAGGATTCAGATTTATATGAAGTTTCATCAAGACACTAAGAGCATGTTTGGTTAGTGTATTTTTTGGATTGGAAACGGATTCGATTAAACCGATACCGTTATAGAGTGTTTGGTTAGAAGGCTTGGTAGCCATTACCATTACTTAAGGGTAATGGTTACCTCTCATTTGTTACTTCTCATAAACTTAGGGTAACAAATACCCTTACCCTCCTCAAACACAAACAAAGAGAGTAAAGTTTAACTAATTCCTTTCCATGGTTAAACCAAACAAATGAAAAGGTAATAGTTCAATGATTCTTTCCCCCCCTCTTATTTGTTTCCTTTCCATTCCGTTTGCATTATCCGAACCAAACGCCCCCTAAGTGCTTCTAGTTTCTGGGACCAAATTTCAGTTATTGAGCCAAGTGCATACAGCCATAGTCTGTCAAAGGTCATGCTATTTGGACATTGCTACAGTTACTTTTGTTTATAAAGGGGTAGTAATCAAAATCACAAATCGAGCTCTATGAATTTGACCACTTGTATGAAGGATCCATACTCAACTGGCAAGCAGACTATGCCAAGGTAACACAGCAATACTTTCCTGCGATAATGTACCTCTGAAGACAGATACAATTAATAAAATTCATGATCAGTGTTACAAGGAGAGAGATACATGCACAAGGTGAGTACACCCATTTTAGAATTCCATGCACTTAAATTGGTCATTGTAAACTCTGATGCCGGCTTCCACTAAAATTGACAAAGAGAAATCCATGGGAAGTTGGGAACACTATTTCAATATACCTAGCAATAACAGAGCAACACAACACACATAAAACATTTCAGGCATACCTTATCAAAGTCCAAAGAAAGTGAAGCTGACTTCATGCTGCAGGGAAATGTCAAGGCCAGCTCCAATGCTCCAGGGGAAACCTTGTCTTCAGAAGGGGATACCCGCATTTTCCTGGTGATGTTAACAGCAGGATAGACTTGACCGTTGATATATATCTGTAATGTATGATAATACACCTTAACATACCAAGGAACAACTTGGAAAACATTGATGTGCAAGTTGCAACTGTCCTCAGAAGCACCAGTTCCCACCAAACTCTGATTGTGACCAGCAGAATTTAAAGATATAACTATAGCACCCCTTTCATTCCCACTTCCCATCAAGAATCTATTGGCAAGTAATGGTGCTTGGGAAGATGACCAAACCACAGGAATTTTCCAAGTTAGTGCTAAATCAAATGGTTTAGCATCAGCATATTTCTCAATTGAGAACACATAAAGAATAGACGAATCCTCATTTTGTAAACTATCAGCTTCTTTAATCACCTTATCTGGGATAGAAGACAATTCAAACGCGAGGTTAGAGCTGGAACTTTCAGAAGCTGCAAAATCAGGGTTTATTCCCTTAATTTTCAGTTCAGAGACAAGGCCTCTGTCAAGATGAAGGAAAATGTTGCTAGATTTGGCAAGAACACAATTTCTGTTGACTTTCCTTCCGAATACTGTGCTTAAAGACCAATTTGGTTGCATTGCAGAGCCAGTGCTGTAACTCTTTGCCCAGCTTTGACTTCCAGGCTGGAGAACAACAGTTAGTGTTTGTTCAAGTTTAATTTCTGAATCACCAGTATCTGAATCAAAACCACTAGAAACCAAGTGCAGCCGCTGAGAATGGTAAAATCCGCGATATATAGATGGCCTATCCATCAGCTCAGCAAGACCAGCCTTGTCTCGACAGGGCAGTAACTTTAGCCACGGAGTCAGGTTCTCCGTACAAACAGCTTCACGGGGCAATGTGCCATACCTCAAATTGCCTGAAGATGCCCGAAATCCCCAGTCAGTTGCAGAATAAGTAGTTGAAGACTCCAGGAAGTTGATGGAAGAACAAAATAGACCCGATAGAGTGTGAGTCAAATTTTTCCATAAAGCATCAACCTGAGACGGTGGAGAGTTAAAAATTGCCCACAATTCAACTCCCGGAGGTTTTGCATTACTACTTGAAATAGGATCAAACCCACCCCAACGTTCATAGTTCCAGCGACCCTGAGTGAAAGACAGTTCCATTTCCTTGATTTGAAATTTGTGGACCTAGGTCAAACAACACAGTTGTATCACTCAATCAATCCTGAATATTTACAGATTTTCCACTAGAAAAGTTTAATAAGAAAATCAAAAGTACTATAAGCATTGCCTATTATCACATTGAGTACTACTACTGTCAAAATATGAAGAAGAAAAAAAGGGCACAAAACACAAACAAGAAACTTCCTACTCATAAACAAATGTACCCTTGACAACTTCCATTGTAATTAAACAAAGTTTGCGAACACAAGTTGTTTTGGTAGAGCTACTATGTATTTAACTTTTAAAACGTACATTTATTAACATTAATGGGTCGCAAAAAATACATTCTCAAGAGGGGCAATATTTTTATAGAAGGGTGAGAAAAGGAAACACCAAGATCTTTCTATATCAAGATAATTAATGTCTAGGACGTGGAACTAACTAGGAGCACACAGAACATCTCGCAACATAAGATATACAGAGTATAACGTTAATATCTTTGTTCAAACGCATAGATAATATATGAATATTACCCTGTTCAAAATATCTCATGGAATCAGACAAAATCGCAAAAATTTAGTGGTTTAGCGTTAAATTCTACCTCCCAATCCCATAATTGAGTTTCAGCATAAAGCACCATAGCATATCATAAAGTTATCCATCAAAATGGTAATCGAAACAAGTTAAGATGCTCAATGTCTCTAACAGTCTAAAACACTTAAATCAGACAAAAAAGTCATCAGCCAAATAGTGCTCCCTCCAAGAGGGAATAATGAATCTGCATTACTTCACTGATTTTGAGTAAAACAATCATAAATCCCATGCGATCAGCCATTAAGAAGATTTACAGATAAAAAGTTGCATCCAGTGACCTTGAATATACAAGAAAGCAAAATATGTAAACACAGAATACATCAGGTATAATAAATGCATTGCTATTGATGAATTTCTGCTCAAGAACTTCCATATACCTATAAATTTCAAAACCTAAAACCCACATCACTATATCAGCCATCCCAAGCATGGAAAGTGCACCAGTCCTCGTAGAATGGACAAAAATGGTACACATTTCCAGAACCGGTGACCGGATGTCTTCTACATAGATAATCTTCTGCACTAGTGATTTCACCAACAGCAGGATTCTACATAGTCCACTGAAATCCGTCTAATAAAATAATCCCTATTTCAACATACCAACTAAGAATGGCAGCTAATCTCACTATTAGCATTATAGCAGTAACAAACTAGCAAATACAGTAACAGTCAGCAATGTTAGAGGAAGCTAAACAAAGAAACATTTAACCTCAACAGAACATTAATTACACCGATTGATGCATAATTTTGTCGTAATTTCCAAACTAACACCAATTCGATGAGTATATCCAGTACTTATACTAAATCATGATGGTAATTTGTTGCACATCTCAGTCAATGAAATTCAATCATTATCAAAACTAGCACTAATAAACAGAATAATTGAGTGACGCTACAATCAACACTAAAATAAAACCCTAAAATTGACCAAAATACAAAATAAATTTCATAACAATAAGGTCTTCCGAAATTAAATAGAAGAGGATGAAGAAGAACATACAAGCTGATAAATAGCCATAGGAAAGAGATGGAGATGGTATCCGCCATTGTAGGAAGAGAAATTAGCATTAGAATCAAAGTGAAAATGCGCTAGAACTTTCCGATCGGGCAACGGTTTCAGTAGCAGTTCTTCATTGAACTCCTCCTTTTGTGCTTCTTCGTTACTGGAAGCGAATTGGAAGGTGGAGAAGATGAAGCAGCATACAATTAGGAGAGAGAAAATCCATGTATTTGCCATTGATGAGTTCTTGTTAGGAGCTGTTAAGCGCAGGAGAGAGAGTGTGTGCGGAGGAAGACGACGACGACGGTGAAGCCATCTCAAAGTTCAGCCTACTGCGCGATCCGTCAATACTCAATAGACAAGGAATTTCTTTTCTTTTCTTTTTTTTTTTTTTTTTTTTTGCCTTTTTGAATTGAAAATTACATTTGTACAATTGTACTGGAACGGGTTATTGAAGGTTATTTGTGTGTATAATTGTGACATTTTATTTTTGCAAAAGCTAACAAACACTTTTGGGGGTGTTGGATAAAATAGCTAAAATAGAAATATTAACTTTAAATAAACATTAATTACACCGATTAACGCGTAATTTTGGCATGCATTCCCAATTAATACCATTTTAGGAACTATTTTAAAGGGTTATCTAATGCCCCGGGGCCGGGGGGCGTCCGTTAGCAAGAATTTGGGGATAAATTGACCAATAAACATATGTACTTATGTATATAATTCAAACAATTTTATAAAAGGTTGATAGACACATTGGCAAATGTTTAAATTTATTAAGGTATTAATAACACAATTGCTAGCTACTTGCAATCTTGATTACGTGGATGTAGCATTTGAATCTTCTTAACTGCTTCGACGTGAATGAAATGTTATGTTGCATTCAACTTTAAAACCTTCGGTTGCTCTCTAAAACCTTTAATTAGAATGTCAAACTTACAATACCACTTTCACTAATACGACGTGACGAGGAGAAACGGATTATAAGTTTATAACCACTAGGCTTACTATACATTATCACATTGTATCTCATTACATACAGTCATTAGTAATAAGCTCTATATATTAGATTGATTTCAACCCGTACATGACATAGGCCAAAGAATTGGCGATAATATTCATATCAATCTATTTTTTAAATCATTATTGTTGAGAGCACTCGGGAGGAGTAACGGGATGATTTTGCTTGTCAGTGCAATAATCATAAGTAACATAATGATGCTTGACAATATTATAGGCTTCTTGTTCAGTAGGATCTAGTTCCCAATATCTTTTACTGTTCCACCAATATTTATCAGAGTTGCAAGGCTCAATTGTCCCACTATTTTTATCAATTTGGCAACCATCAATGTTGAAACCTTTAAAATATGCCCTAAATGGTGCATGGTTCCAATCAACTTTGGTCTGCCCTCCATCTGTTGCCCAATCAGATCCATCCCATATGCTTGCTTCTATCTTCATTGGTTTAGATGGGTATCCCACTCCAAAGTTTATGTTGTTTTTAAAATATCTTATTGGTATATTATCTGCAAAAAATCTAATTTACAAGACAAATTATACTATATTGATATATACATAATCATGTCAACTATATCTAAATATCAAACAATCAAAGCTTCAATAATCTTACCCTTCAATATCTAAACGTTGTTTATGCTTTGACGGTGATTGTCTCACCAAAAAAGTTAAAGTAGTCAAAGCATGAACGACATTTACATATGGAGAGAGAGAGAGAGTGATATGTATGACGTTACTCCATACATAAATCTAGAGTTAATACCAAATGATATTGTTTTTAACTTAAAAAATTCATGCGTGCAAGACATTTGAGTTAGTGTAATGTTGACGTGTAAATGGTGGAAATTTAATGTAATTATATAAATATAAATTGTAGTATACAAGTGTGATTCCATCAAAATGTATAATAAAGTTTAAAAATCTCAGTAAACTATTAATTAAAAATAATATAGTATACTGTACTTTTAAATGAGGAAATCAAAAATAGGGCAAGGAAAGGGCATGAAGCTAAGCGATGGCAATTGACCCTGTGATTGGGAGTGTAGCTCCGCCAATGCATGCAAGATATATGATCACATATATGGTGTGATTTTGTAGTGGTTATTAGCCATCTACAAATCACGAAGTTTAAGTTAGCTAGCAATAATATAAATTTTTAATTAGTAGGTGACATATATTTTGTCATGCATATTACTTTGTCATGCTTATTTTGTCACTTTTGATTCATATAGTCGATCCCACTTATGAGATTAAGGCTTTGATTGATTGACGTTTAATTAGCTAGCTTCTCCAAAACTCCTAAGCTAGAATAGAAATATACTTACACAATGTGATGTTGGTTCCAAAGGATCTTGTAAGTGTGAAAATCAGCAGTAGGATCAAACCAAAGATAAATCCTATGTTCTCTATTTCCTATTCCTTGTGCAAAAACATTAGTCTGCAATGTGTAGGGTTTCCCTTCTCTGTTCCCCAAGAACTCGAAGTCTAGCTCATCGCGATTACCATCTTCGACTGATGTTAACTGCAAATTAATCAATCATTCATTTCAATGAGCTAATTTAAGTGAAATTTCATTAATTAAAAGAGTGAATTAATGAAAGCAAAATAATGATTAGTAATTAATATACATAAAATGCTGTAACAACTCCTCCTGAGTCTTTATCTGGCAATTTAATTTGCATGGTAAAGAACCCTGATCCATAGCTCTGCTTTGATTCGAACCCAGCACCTGCAACATCGATCTCATTATTCACATAGTAGTTTCAATTATACGTTGTACTCCATATAAAATAAGGTTACTTATGAATGTTACACGACTGAAGCCAACTCATACAAAAAGGTTACCTTGCTCTCCAAAATAAGTAATAAGTCACATGTACAAGTAATTAAGACATCGAGAGCTTACAATAAGACATTGTTACGTAAAATAGTCGTGCTTAAAGCTTTTTTTAAACTATAATGAATAAGATAATATATATACATAATACAATTATACAAAAATACTATTATTTTAAAAGAAGATTAAATGAACCGACCTGATGATTTATCTAAGTAGATTTGAACCTCCGACGCATGGTTCTCCACATGAGTATATCCCCAAATGACTCCATAATTTTCATCAAAAATAGGCTCACTACTAATTCTACTTGTAATTTCACTAATAAAGAGCGCGACCAGTATAATTATACTGATCATGATATATGAAGCCATATGTAGAACTTAATTGTACTGTTCAAGCTAAGTGCCTAAGTGATTATAAAAATTTTCAAAGATTTATCTATGTTATAAGTTGATGGTGGTTTTATATATGTATGAAACTTGTTTAAATATTACATGTATAGACGTCATTTTAAAGCAAGTAGAGTGTGAGCCTTAATTCTGCCACCTTCAATTCCCCACACGTAAAACACTAGAGTACACACCCGACCATATCTTTCCCATAACAATAGTTACATCAAATTATTCAAAATAGTAGCTTGAAAATAACTAAAACTAAAGACCCTTAATTCTTCTTACCTCTATTAGGACAATAAAATGTGAGGGAATTTTACACTTATTTGAATATAAATAAACACAAAAGACATTGCATGCTTAAGACTTAAAGAGTCGTTACATATTGTATCTATTACAGTACTATATTTCTTGTCTAGTCAATTTTTTTTGTAGGTTTGGACGTTTGGTGAACGAAGAAAAAAGTCAAAATATTTGGGTTTCCAAGATGAATTTTCTTTGGGGAAAATAAGATGTGATTTTTTTTAAATTTTGTTAAGATGGATTTGAATTTAAGGTTTGTTTGTTTTATCTTATTTTAATTTTATTTTAATAGTTATATTTTAGAAAATAAAATATTTAGATCATTTCAAATAAAATAAATTTAGAAAATTTACAGAAAATTAGTTGAGATAAACTAAAATATATATGTTCAAACAAAATAAATAGTTCATATTAAATATAATAAGTTCATTTAAAATAATTAGTGGTAGAATTTTGTAGGGTTGTATTTGTGTATTTTGCAATAAGTTTAATTTTATTGTCATTAGTTTTTTTTACTTAAGAGTTATCAAATACGATAAATGTGATTGATGAGGAGTTAATTACATGCGTGCTAAATATTTTATATGCTTAAAAGTGATATAATCTATCTAAGCTTCGTTATATAATAAACTAAATATGTATGCACTAATAATTATTTTTTGATGTTGTTTTATGTCAAGTATAACTCATAAGAATATCATCAGCATGGTGATTATAATCAATGTCCACATAATGGCGGACGTGATCACACTTTCGGTCGAGTAAGCTTAGAATTATGGTTATCTGTCACCAAATTTTGACAACCATATTCTATTTAACCAACATCTGTGTTTATGAAGGAGCAAGGCTATATTCAAAGTAACACAGTCAATTGACCCTACTCAACTTTTGTAAAAATATATATATATATATATATATATATATATATATATATATATATATATATATATATATATACATCACATGAGGAAACAATATGCGAGTTATGTATATTAATTTAAAACACAAACTTATATCGGCCAATAAATGTGTATATATGTAATATATGTACAGTAATTTATGTGCAATATATGCACAAAAATAATATAATAAATATTACCTCCATTTCTGAAAGTTCGACTCACTTACTATTCATGTGGTCAAAATAACATAGCTTTGACCACATTTTATGAGCTATACAATGTAAATAAATTAGCATGTGATGAGATCATATTAGATTCCTCTTATTATAAATAATCCAAATATAAACTTTTTACAAATTTCACTTATACACAACTGAAGTTATTCATGGTCAAAGATGTTCATTAGAGACCGCGCAATTGCAAAGTGAGTCGAATTTTCAGGAATGGAGAGAGTATGTATTATTTTGAATGAAGTTTGGATGTGTAATTGATAATTTATGATTTATAAAATTGATATATTTGTAGTTCTTTTATTTTTAGGAAAGAAGAGCGAGCAATTTATTGAAAATCAAGGTCGGCCAAAGTAGTAATACTTTGGGGAAAATAGTTCATACAAAGTAATTCGGAACAACCGTTTGTATCCTATCTAGCAACAAGATCGATATTGCCGGCTCTCTCAACATGAGAAAACGCAAACCAATTGAAAAGATTAGACAATTTCCTAATATCCTCGTATACAAGGAAAACAGGAGCACACCCAAAGCTTGCCTTGCTAACTGTTTGAACAACTCACAGAGCATCACTTTCAGCCCACACCTTTTCATACCCAAACCTTTCTCATCACCTGTAAACCATAACGCAAAGCAGCCGCTTTAGCATGAGTTACATCCAATACTCCTTTCACTCTTTTGACGGCCGCAAGAAGGAGCTTTTAGAGTGGTCACAAGCACCCACACCTAAGCCCACAAAAGCACCACCAGCAATGTGTGCATCTATGTAGATAAATTTGTAGTTTATTATATCTAAAATAAATATATATATATATATATATATATATATCGAACCTCCATTTGAGGAGGTTAGGAAGCATCTAGGTTAAAACATTCTAGACACCGGAAGGAGCCTATAAATAGGAAACCTGCCATACAATTGCAATTCATTAAAACACTTGTATTCTCTCAAGCATTTATAAAAGCCTTCTTTCTTAAAGTTTTTCTCATATATTCTCACTTGTGCTTTCCAAGCAAACCACACTTAACCAACAACATCGACACTTAGCTTTGCTAAGCAATCGGGGAGCCTTGACTAGCAGTCTAACGGGTGGTGACTCTAGTGGACAGCGTGCAAAAGACTAAGGGGATTAGTCAGCGTGTGACACACACACACATATATATGTTTAATTAAAAATGGTCCTACTTGATTTGAACCCACTGGAAAAGTTATCTAATTTTGTCTTGTTAGAGAGATCCAAGTTAAAGAATAATTATACAATCAAATTCTTTTGCACATAAAATATATTTAGTTGCTCTTTATAATATATAATTATTTAATTATATAATATGATTCCAAGTATTTAAATAAAATTCAGCTCTTGACAACAAGAACATTCAAACTTCTTCTTCTCCTCTTACCTGGACGGTCACTGGGCCAGCATTCTTATTATGCGATTTCATTGGGATGTAGTATATCTTCAATCTTCAAAAAAAAAATAAAGTAGTATATTAATCGTGCGTTTATTATATGCACAAAGTATTAGTTAAAGTCATGTGTACGTGTAGCACATATTATTAGAATATGAGAATATTTGTCGTGTCTTTCTCATTGATTAAACGATAATAATATACATACAAAGGTATTCTAATCAAACTAGGTTAAACTAAGATGATATACAGTAAATAATATACAAAATATTATTACATAAATAGATTAATATTTGCATAATCTATCACATATATAAAAGCTATATAAGTGCAATTTATGGGTTAAGTTAAAAAGGTGGCATCAAATAAAAAAACCTTAAAACAGATTAGGGGTAAATCATTTGAAAATTCAAAGATTAATTTTGTTACATAATTTAGGGTCTATTTGTTTCATGTTGTTTCATTTTTTTTATTTTAGAAAAAATAATTTCAGATTGAATAAGTTCAGTAAAAATAACGTACTTCAAATAAAAAAAATTTAGATAACATAAATTAAATTCAAAATATTCCAATAAAATAAGTCTAGACAAAATAAATAAACATAATAAAATAAATAAAATTAAAAAAGTTAAGAAAAAAAAAAAATTAAATGAACCCAACAGAATCTTAAACTGTAGAGAAATTGATCTTAGATGTTTATTGTTTTACCTAGAAACAATTTTAAATAGGCAACTTGTTACCTAAGTGGGTAATAAAATTGGAATATGCAAAACTAGTAAAAAAATTAAGGCTTGGTTTATTACGAGTCTTTTTCTGTTTTCAGTTTTTTAGAAAATTGAAAACAAAACCATGGAAACTATCAAAGTACCAAGAATAGTGTTGTAAGTTTTCAAAGCATGCCAAAAATTTTATTTCATGATCTTATCCAAATCATTTCGACATTCAAATAAAACCAAATAATGAATGAGCCCTCATATAGTTTGTTTAAATACAATTATAAAAACTTCTTTCCAAACCTATACTTTGTATTAACGACACTTTCGTAAATAAGTTTCATTTTAACGCAAAAATGCAAACAAGTTTTAAAATGATGTTCATTTTGTAAAGACTACTTGCCAAATTAAGGCATGTCGTTAAAGCATATCAAACTAAAACGTGAAGAAATAAAGAAGTAATGTTAATCTTTTTGTTAATTCCACGTAATTAATAGAAAGAGCTCATCAACTGAATAAAATATAGCGGGTGACCAAAATTCTCGGTCTAAAAATCAGTTGACATATTCTAATCATTTCTCTATCCAATTTCCTTCATTTTTTTTCTCTCTCTTTATTTCTTCATACATTCAAATTTCTTTGATCATAATCATTAATGGTACAAGAATTATAATTCCAGGTAAATAAGCATACAATATTTTTGATTTGTTGTTTAAAATTGCTAATTTTACATGTGATTTTTGACATTAATTTCACAATACTTTATTTTTTTTTTAATTTAAATTTGTGGGTGTTTACAGAAGGTGAGAATATGGAGTATGATGTTCGTGATCTCTACCCCTTGACAAGTCTGCAAATTGGGTAAGATTAGATTTCTCATAACAAAATCATTTTGGTTCGTTAAATGTCACATTTCTTTGGATTTTTGTTATTTTGACTTCTAAATGTGTAAATAATTGAAATGCCACATGCGTAATCACGATTGAATGTCAGTTTTATTTATTTGTAAAAAGATGATATTTGGAGTTAAAGTAATTAGCTTGTTAGCTTGGAATTTGTAAGCTTGAAAGATTCATACAATCGTAGCACCACGTCTCAATACATTACTCTCACAATCTTCGCCAATTTAGAGTGAAATTTAGACACGTGCCTTAACCACCTCATTTAAGCTTTTTAGATATATGCTATTCTTATTTTAAAAAGGAATATGATCATGATTCATGACTAGACCTTAACTTTCACGGTTTCTTTAGTTCACTTGGGACTTGGGAGGGGGACGCTTGGAACTTGGAAATGAGAGGAAGGGGAAGGGGTCACCCACAACTCCCACAAGTACCATCGGGTTGTAGGCTACAATGCTTGGTCTAGTACACATGCAGATGAAAGGTTAAAAAAAAAAAAAAAAAAAAAAGAAAAGAAACTTTGCATTTACATATGGGGTAACACAAGGTATATAATGCTCCTATGAGGTGCTTAATTGTAGCCATAATTTGATACTAACTAGAATTCAATTAGAAAAAATCATACTCCTTCAAATCCCAAATAAAGTCTCATTTGCCTTTGCACATGCTTTTAGGAAGGTAGTGGGGATAGCTGACTAATTAAAAGTGAATATAAAATATAAGGGTGTGTTTGGCATCACTGTGGTTTTCTGTTTTTCGGTGTTTTGTTTATCAAAATCATATGATATATGTCATATAATGAATAAAAAAATAGTCAAATTTATTAAACTCATGATAATTTTGAAAACTGCCAACAGAAAAGTGGAAACACCTTTTTCTTGTTTCCTATTTTTTGGTTTTTTGTTTTCAAAAAAAACTAAAAACTGAAAACAAAAAACAATGCCAAACAAGTCCTAAGATAGTGAGGTTTAGTCGATTAAAAGTGAATAAATAAACAAATATAAAGGTGGAATAAAACTTTTATTTAGGGACAAAAGTTTTAGTGAAATGAGACTTTTATTTTGGGACGGACTAAGTATGAAATATTCCACACTAACTTATAGTGAAAACAAGGTTACCTTGTGTTATTTTAGAATCTAGAGGTGATTTACTCGTAGCTTTATTGTGTTTTCTGTGGGGTAACTATGTAATGTCTCAAGCTCCATAGTGTAAGACTTGTTCAGGGTGTTATTTTTCTTAGTGAAAAACTATGTTCTAACCAAAGAAAAGTGAAAACTACAAAATTGGATGTTTAAAGCATATGGTTGTTATATTATTCTAAATTTCAGGATGCTGCATTTTGTGTGCACAAATCTTGTTCAAGGCTAAACAGGAAGGAATGACACATTTTAAAAATATCTTGGAAGATGCATTATGGAATGATTTTTAACTGTGTTCTAAGGACTTTATCTTGTTAATGACAGGGATGTACAATCTTATCTTTCACAAGCATACCTGTTTTTTGCAATCTATAGTCACAAGTTCTTGATCCTGGTCGATAATCATTCCTGGCGGATGAATAATAATCACTCCAAATCCACCCACCTAAGAGAGTTGTTTGCCACTAAGGTCATTGCCTTCCTTAGCATAAGATTTACTCTATTAAATTTTCACTCTATTATTTGGGTGTATGGTGCTCATTGTGGTTTTTGCATTAACACAGTACAGGACGTCACCCTTCAAAAACTCTAGGGCTTTGTTAAGGCGTGTCAGTGCACGCTACAAAGATAACTCGATTTCATCAAAAGATGAGAGGAAGAAATTGTACAGGTGGGTGTCTGTTGTCAATTCTCAGAGGTGGAGAGCACAAGCTTTTTTCTCTTTGGTGGATTTACATGTAGCTTTACATGGCTTCATAGTGTTCGAAGTTTACTGGAAGGATATACGTGGCATCAACTACTTCAGTGAGCTTCAGGTACTCCGTGCTAAATTAGTCAAATTAGTCATCAACAGTAGATTTACGGCGAATCTGCATTTGAATAGAATTTTTTTGTGTAGTTGCATTATGCTTACTTCAAAGATGCAAAAAAAACTTAGCATTCTACTTGCTAAACTAGTTAAATCACTCTGTTGCTGCCAGTCAGACATATCAATGGCTTTTGAGGTAAAATCAATGAGAAAATGGGATTTCCACAGCATTGACCAAGCTTCTAGTTGTATCCAAACATGGTTCTCAGGATCCCAATCAGAGATTGAATCATTGTGGAAGTGTCTAATGTCCCTCGACGATAAAGTTCCTTCACAATCTCCACAAAAAGTAAGAATCACTTTTAATGATTTGCTCATAGGACATGGAAAGCATACCAAGAGTTCGTCAATTGATGATTATTTTGATGTCAGAGAATGCACCCATCAGGGTACTGATCCCGATCTTTGTTGTGAGCATCAGCTTCTAGAGAAACAAAATGAGCAGAAAACACCAAGAAGACAACAGGATACAGATATTGAACCTGTGCATTATAAGGACACTCTACTGAAATTCTATTTTGATGACAGGGACCTTCCTTTTACATTCAAAAGAATAATAACTTCTGATCTAAGACTTCTAACTTTGCTCGAGTCAGGCCTTCCTTCATGGGTTGTCTTCCTTCAGTCATATCCTTTATTCTGCAAAGTTTATCGACCTTGGATGCGATCTCTAGTGAGAATGCTTTATATATTAATCTCTCTTGTTACTTGTGTGATTGGATTTTATGATCTTTATAAGAATGTCCCAGTATTGAAGGCCGCAGCATCACACATTTGTGGGCCATTATTTATTTGGATAGAGGACTGGGATATGATTTCCAGAGTCAGATATCTAGGAACAATGTTGTTCATTCAGAATTTTGAGAAAGCAATGCGATGGTCTCTCAAAATTGGCCAAGTCTTGAAACTGCTGCTGTTGCTACTAACAAAACCGTTGATGGAACCACTACAGGACCTAGTGGAATTCACTTCGCCTCTATGGATTCTACTATGTGAAGCAGGATCAGATTTCTACAGCATGGTGTCATTTGCTTTGATTTCGTTATGTAGTCTAGTTGTTGACCTATTTGAGCTTCTACTCTCTCCATTCCAGCTTCTGTACTCTTACATTGTAATTATAGGTATGTTTTCTCTCCAATAAAATCACGTTCTCTTAAGAATTTACAATTCATTCTTGCTATCTAGGACTGTTATTTAGATTCCATAGTTTCTTCTGCATTCTCCCCAATCCCCAGCATCAGCTCATGTATTTGCCTTCGTATAAAGCATTAGCTTGATCAGCATCCTTATTACTGCAATATGACTGATGTCACATTTTCTTACTTATCTATGGCAACCAATGTTTTCTGACACACTCTTCTACCTATTACACTAAAACACCTTCCTCCACCATTGCCGGTCTTTCCAATTTGGTGCAGCATAATTTTATGTAGTTCTTTCGTGTTATTTAGCATGTCTTGCCTGTTTTTTGGCCAATTAGCTAACATGTTTTGCTTAGAGGCCATTGATTCAAAATAAAAATTGATGACCCTGCTAGTTGTTCAAAAGGCTACTGGTACATGGTTATGATTTGTGTTATATTATAGAATAACGATGGACCAATCCATATTAATTGCAAAATTTGCAATCCATTTACTATACACTCAGATGAACTACCTCTAGGTACACCAAACCCTCAGATTGGCAACAACATCACAAACACTTTTGGCGAGTCTGATTAACATATCTTACTGGAACATAGGAAAAGTTCTCCGAAACCCATTTTAGGCACTCAGCACTTAACTGAAAATTTTACCTATATACGCTGTTTCTTCTCATATATCTTGTTGCCAAAATGCCAAATACGTACGTATTTGTTATTTCTAGATGATCTGTTTAAATTTATAATTTATCCACCTTTCAACTTCTTTTGGCTTGCAGTTTCATTTTTTAGTCCTATTTTTGCCTCCGTTTGGGATCTTTGTCAAGTTCCACTTCAGATGTGTTCTCCCATGGGAAATCATGCAGCCTTTTTCTTTGGTAGCATGTACAAGGATCTTCAAGAAATGCTGATGCTCATAATGAGCAAAGCAACTGAGGTTGGTCATTTGGCTACCCGATTATCTAAAGCAAAGCCAGCCACAACGGAAGTTTCTATGTGGAGTTCTCTGTGGAAAGATCTGTTTTCAAAGGTAGATTGATCAATTGCCTATTTATATATGCAGTTGAGAGGTCAAGTTTGATGTTTTGGAAATGGCAATTGTTTGAGAATGACTCCATCTTGCAGGTGTTTCGCTCTCTCCGTAGTATTTCGTATGGATTAATTGCATTCTTGGATTCATGCAACCGACATAGACTTAGGTGTGTTCCTTTTCTCCTTTCGGTATATCTCTAACACCTTTCCCCTATAAATGCAAAATAAGAGGACTTAATTTACATGGCAACATCTCGTAACCAAATCTGGTTATAAGTGGAGCTTTTAGGGGATAGCCAATTTTTCAGCATTTATTTGTGAAAATTCCACAAGCTGTTTAGTTATCTGCTTTGATCTCATATTAATGGCATAGTTTTTTCAATGCTTATTGGAACTGCAGCACATCTAACCACCTCAGTGAATACATAAGGCGCATGTCTGAACTATTGTCATCAGGATTGGAAGCTTCTCAGCGAGCGCTTCCATCATCAGGGCTGAAAGCTTCTCAGCAAGCACCTGCTGAGGAAGGCTGTCAACAGGTAATTGCTCTGTGCATTTCCAGAATCAACTTAATTTAGATTTAGAAAGCTGTTTATACACTACATTGCTGTTATTTGCATTAATATGTCTTTACAAATATGAGCTAGTACAAATCTTGAGCAACCTAATAATATGGAGTACAGCACAGAGTTAAGGCAATTCATAACCACTAATCTGCATGGTGATCACTTCATGTAGAGAAATACAACTCTTGCTTAAAAAGCCGAAAGATAAGCCAACTATGCTCCAAGGATGATAAGGGAGTCGTCAAACAATTATCCCTAAATCAAATACAATTTATAAAACCTAAATAAACCTAATACGAGTATAAGGTAAGCATAGGGGTCAAACCACAGAAAACGATTAAACACCACCAAATGTTATCAACAACTAAGCTAGTTCGGGATAGGGGAAGTAATCTAAAGTCTAAAGACACTAAAACAAGAAATAAAAACACTTAGGGAAATGGTTTAGGTATAGTATTCACTCAAGCATAAATAAGGCATGAAATTAAATCGAAATGTAAACTAAGCAACTCATGTCAATGATTTAAAGCACAATCTAACCGCCTATCGGGGTTAATTGATTTCTCAACTCAAGTACAACTTACACTATCGTCATAAGCCACACGAATCGAGGTACAAATCAAGCAAATCATTCAATGGACATTCCTAGATCACGCTATCGCCATAATCTAGTTCAATCCACCCAACTACAACAATTGATAGGCCTCTCAAATGAAATAATTGGTAAGACATGGAAAACAAAGCATTTAATCACAAACAAATCAATTTAAAACCCTAAAACATGCTTAAGATCCAACTACACCACAACCATCTATTAGTAGGGAACTACTCACTAATCATGCTAATAACAAGATTAATCAACAAATTAACAAGCATCAACATGATTAACAAGCAATACTAAAGACAATAATCAAAAACAATAAATAAAATCAATAAACAATAAAATGAGAGAAGAGAGAGTGAGAAAAGCTCATTGATTATGGAAATCTTCAAATCATCTTGTCACTAGTTGATAATCAAAAATCCACAAATTCTCTTTGATTTCCCTCACTTTTTCTCTCAAATTACTACTCTTAAACTAAACCCAAAAAAACTAGAGAGAGCTAAGACTAATTAATTAAGAGAGAATAAAACTAATCTCTTTTTCATTACCCCAAAATTGGTATTTATATTTTACTAGGAAAATAGAATAAAATAAAAGAAAAAGAGAAATAAGGAGGAAACAAAAGAAAATAAAAGAGATAAGAAATAAGAAAAGGAAAACAAAATTAAAAATAAATCCCCCCAAACCGTCAGACCACTACTTCTTCTTCTTCTCGAATTGAGCTGCTCCAATAGGGGACATAATCCCCTGTTCCGCTCACCATCAAACATCATCAGTAATCATCATCCTTCAATCCACACCGCTCATTTTCATCAAGAATCGGCGTCAACAAATCACCACCATTCGATATTCATCAACAACCACGTGCGAAGCTCGTGAAATGGTTCGGTCAAACCGAGGGTTGGTCTGGCCGAACTATGGGTTGGTTCGGTCGAACACACCCTTTCTGACTCTTTTGGCACTTTTTGGCACTTTGACCGAACTTCTCAACGGTTTGCCCGACCCAAATAAACCTGCGATTTGCGCTGATTTTGCGACATTTATGGGCTGCTTTGGTGGCTGAAATATGCGCGAGAGGAGAGCGGCTGGGGGCTTAAATTGCGGGCCGGTCAGGTGCTTAGCGTGGTGGTGTAGTTGGTACCGTGAAACAGGAGAAATGAAGGTAAGGTGTTGCGGTGGTTTGTAGCTGGTGTCGTGTGGTGGCGAATTGGAGGATGTGCTGTTTGTGTGGGTGAGCTGGGAGGTGGTGCGAAGTAGAGTTGCGTGGGTGGTAATTTGGGCGGTGTTCGGCGGCAAAGGGCTGGAATTGGTGGGCTGTCGCTGGTAATTGTTGCGGTTTGTATGGTGGCAGCAGCGGTGCGGCTGGAGGTGCGGGGGAGAAGGGAAATTGGTTGCGTGGTGCTGTGATTGGTGATGGCAGGGAGGTGGTCAGGTGGTTTGAGGTTCTGTTGATGTTGACTGTTGTTGTTGGGGTTGCAGCTACTGTAGCTTTTGCGGTGGTGCAGGTGTGGTAGGGGAGTTGTTTGGTGGTGAGTGGAGGCAGCAGCAATGTGTATGGTGGTGGTTGGATTGGTGGGATTGCTTCACTTGGACCACTACCTCTAACCTATACTCAAACGTAACCGAGGGTAAAACCGAGACAAATAAATAAATAATAAAATGAAAATAAATAAACAAAAATAAAATTACGACATATAAAACTAAAACTATAAAAATTAAATAAAACTATACAATAAAATCAAATCAAATAAAATGAAATAAGAAAACAACCTTGAAACTAAACAAATAAACAAAAGTAAATATAGTACAAGGAAAAAGAACGAAATAAAATAAACTCAAAGCAAATAAAATACGAAAATGAACTAAAAACTAATTAACTAAAGAAATTAAACTAAAACATATAAAAATTACGAAATAAACTAGAAACTTTATTTAAAAGAAAACAAGAGAATAAAAGGGAAAAATAGAAGAAAATAAATCCGGAAATAACCTAAACACTACCCCTAGAAGTGGCATAAATGTCACTCATCAAAGGACAAATTCACAAGAATCCGAAGATTAAGAATATGTTGAGAAATCTTCTAAAGTTCTAATGATGTTTAGAAAACTAAAACCACGCTTTTTTTCAAAAAAAAAAAAAAGAAAACTAAAACCATGCTGGATGCTTTCAATTCAGTAAACTGAGAGCATGTAGCTAAATTCTTTTTACAAAGCATACTATATTCTTATGCTTCATGCATGTTGCATGTTTCATGTTTCATGTTTCATGTTTCATTTGACACATATTACCAACAATATTGACTATTCCTGAAATCTTCTCACAGCAAATTCCTGAAAATCACGAGCACTTCGATTGAACGGAATATAGGTAGTCTCTCCTGTACAAACGTTGATGAATATACATCTCATCCACCAAGCTAACCTATGTACCGTTGTCATTTGTCTAATTACGAACTAATTCCATTTGTCTAATTCTTTGTACAGAGAAATGGTAATATTGTTTGGTATTACCCCCCAAGTTGTAATATATACTAGTGAGTAGTGACTGACTGACTGGCTATATTGTGAGCAGTGTCTCCACGTATTAAAAAATATGATCAGATATCTTATATGTTGCAGTCTGTATCTCTAGTAGTAAAGGCCTTGTTTAGTAAGTGAAATATGTTCTTGTATTGCAATTGCTCATTATACAAGAAGAGCTATTGAGTCATTTCTCCAAAAAATGGCAAAGAAATTCATGATTGTAGTTATTTACCAAGCATATTGAGACATTATTCCTAGAATATATGATTACTGTATTATTACAAATGTTATGTTGAGAATCTGAGATGTTCAGTGTCATACATCATTCCATCTACAAAATCACTAAAGAGCTCAAATTATATATGTAGAAAACATTATTCCCCTAAACAATTGGGGCTATGCGCCAGCCCAATATTGAAGTGAAACGCTAAACATCGCCCGCAAATCTCCACATAAAGCCCACAAATTTGAAATGAAATGACATTTTTGCCCTCAACATCAAAAACACACTTTTATCTTAAAACACACTGTTATGGCTAATAAACGGGAAGTGGCGGCACCGGAGGCGGTTTCGCGGTGGAAGTAAACAAAGTCGCCGGATCGCGAAGGGGCCGTGGTGGCAGCGCCCCACCCAGGCGCCACAACCAAGGCTACTGGCGCCTGGCCAGGACGCCACCGCCACGGTGGCGGCGCCTGGGCAGGACGCCGTGGCCACGGTGGCGGCGTCCACTGAAGACGCCATCACCGTGGTTACGGCGTCCTGCCCAGGCGCCGCCACCGTGGCGGTGGCGTCCTGGCCAGGCGCCAGTAGCCTTTTTTTTTTTTTTTTTCAAATTTTTTTTCCTAATTTTTTTTTTAAAATGTATTTTGTTTTTTGGATTTTCTTTGCAATTTTTTTCTTTATTATGTTTTTGTTTCCTAAATTTTTTTATTATTTTGGTTTTTTCTTTCTAATTTTGTTTATTTTTTGAATTTACTAAAGCATATTTTCAAAATAAATTAATATTTTTTTTTGTTTTTTTAAAAAAAATTCAAATTTATCAAAATTCAAACAAAATAAAAAAAAAAAAAAAAAAAACCAAAACGAAAAAAAAGATTTAAAAAAAAATATACCGAGGAGGTGGCGCCTGGCCAGGACGCCACCACCGTGGCTGGGGCGCCTGGCCAGGACGCCACCACCGTGGCTGGGGCGCCTGGCCAGGACGCCACTACCATGGTGGCGGCGTCCTGGCCAGGCGCCCCAGCCACGGTGATGACGTCCTGGCCAGGCGCCCCAGCCACGGTGACGGCGTTCTGGCCAGGCGCCACCTCCACGGTGGCGGCGTCCCGGCCAGACGTTCGCCGCCAAAACTTGATTTTTAACCACTTCAGACCTCGTTTTCCGGCGACGACGGCGGCTCTTTGGTGTCCCTCGGCGATCCGGCGCTGTTCCACATTTTGGGTGAGACAAAATTTCGTTTTAGGTTAAAATTAGAACAAGGGCAAAGTTGTCAAAATTTTATAAATTGTGGGCTTTATGTAGAAAAACGCGGGCGATGTTTAACAAGTCCCATATTGAAGGGGGCCTAACAATACGAAGAGCTTAGCAAATGGTTAAACAACTCGATCGAGTATACACTTTCAAGTAAATATCAAGCTAAATCAATTATTAATAACATTGATCTACGGTAAATGCTTATATACAATTCAATATATAATTATCTAATATTGGACATGAGCAACACGAAGTCCATGCAACTATGCAAGATAATACATTAATATGTTTACAAAGAGAACTCGTAATGGGAAGCTTTAGCATTTAACTTTAGAACTCCTAGACAAGGTTCCAACCATTTTAAACTTATGATATTGAAACGGAAAACTTGTGTGTTGTTTTCAATTTAGTTTATCATATTAAAATTTTAAAATTATGTATTAGAACTTGTATTTATCTGACATTGACCCTGTTTGTAATTAGTTGGTAGCTGATTGATACAACTGATTGTATGAGCTGGTTTGACTAAATGGTTGCATTAGTTAACTTGACTAGCTGTTTGTAAATAGTTGATTTTGTAAAAGTGTTTGGTAAATAGATGTTAATTGTTAGCTACTTTAGTGTATTTAATACCTAAAAAGTTAATTGTTCAATAAGCTAACTTAAAAAAGCTATTATAATGAGCTTTTTTTAAAAGAGAAAAGAGCTTTTTGAGCCCAAAAAGATATTTCAATAAGCTATCTACCAGACATCTAAATTAGCTTTTTAAAATGGTCAATCCTCTAATATGGCTTAATACACTAAAAGCTTTCCAAAAACCTTTTTACCAAAGAAGGCCATTATTTTGCTTTAAAAAAATCTTGACAAGAACACACTTGTAAGCTAGGATGCACGGACACTTCGTCCAACAGCCGTGTCCGTGTCCGTGTCCAACACCGACACTCGTTCGACACACGACAGACACACGTAAAAACTGCATCCGCTTTTTTAATATATTTAGACACTTTGAGACAAAACGTATCCTACTATGATACGATCCGGTTTGCATTTTGATATGTCACCTCATCTTTCTAACTTTTTTTAATTAGAAAGTTAAGGTAAAGTATGAGAGAAAAAGGTAAGAGTTATAATACGAGCGCCTTCAAAACACATTTCATAGCACATCATTGTATGTGAATTAGGAGAACGTTATTTACCTACGGTAAATGACTTGTTTTAAGGTTAATTATCTAGTGTTTTGTTGAATAGGTTGTCAAAATCTCGTTTTTTTGATATATTATTTGTCTTGTTATTTGCCGTACCCGTATTCCCTATTTTAGAATTGCCGTTTTGCCGTGTCCATATCGTACCCGTGTCCGTGTCCGTATCGGTGCAACCTTGCTTGTAAGGGTGTAACTGCAATACGTAGTAAGTAGAATTTTGTAAAAAAAAAATTAAAAAAAAAAAAAAAAAGGTTAATATTCGGATTTCAAAAAACAATTAAATAAAAAAAGTCGCGCGGAATTCAAAACAGATTTAAATTCAATTTATAAAAAAATAACCAAAAATACATCGACTGTGATAATTATCCCTCTACGTATTAGATCATCCCTCTACGTAATAATTATCGCGTGTACCCCAACGCAACACCTTTTTGTGTTTTGTCGTCACTTTATAGTTCCATAGATTCGGATAAAACTTCTTTTACGGATTACGAAATTACGAAAATACCATTGAACCTTAATCACGCGAGTGGGCTTCCTTCTATTTCACACTTGGCAAAAACCTCGAGGTTTAAGTTTAAAGGGTTACTGAAACAATTTCTCGTATTTAAGGAACTCAATATTTTCACTTTTCCAAAGGATTTCAGATTTTTGCTCTTTAATATTGCGATAAAACCCTAAGAGAGAGAAATTGTGGTTTGAAATTTGAAGGTTGAAGATGACTGGAGAAAATGATACCAACAACAATGGAGGTAATAGCGCTTTTAATGAGGATAAGAAGCCTGCTCCTGATCAATCTACTCATATTAATCTTAAGGTTAAAGGTCAGGTAATTATTTTTAAAATTTTAGGCGATTCTTTTTTTTTTCTTTTTTCTTTTTTTTTTTGAGAATTTATATATATATTTTTTTTGGTATTTTTGTGTTAATTTTTATTGGTTATTTTTTTGGTGTTAACTTTGTATTTTTGTGTTGATGAATTAGATAATTGTAAAATTGTTGCTGTTTTGTGAATTTATATGTTTTTTTTGTTGGTATTTTTGTGTTAATTTTGTATTTTTTTTTTGTGCTGATTTTTTTTTTTTTTTTGGGTGTTAAATTTGTATTTTTGTGTTGATGAATTAGATAATTGTAAAATTGTTGCTGTTTTGGATGAGTTGATGAAATTGAATTATGAGATTTGCTGTTTTTGAATCGTTTTTATTATCATGCATGCAAATCTAAGTAGTTTAATTTATGTTATTTGTATTTTGATTCTGTTGATCTTTGTGCAATTATGTGTATATTTTACTGTTCTATTTGTTTCATGATCATTCAGTTAAAATTAATTTTTTTTATGCGGCTTGTGAATTGTTGTCAAATTTAGATTCAAATTCAGATTATGTGCAGTGGATATCGAATAACGGTTAACGATTCGACGTTTTTTGTTCTAGGATGATATGTTGTTTGATGTTTCTGCAGTTCAATGCTTTTGATATTTTGTGATTTGAGAACGTAGTTGAAATTAATTATCATTAATAGTTTAGTAATAAAGTTATTATGACTTGATTAGATGTGATTATGAGGTGGTATTTGCGCTAGTAATAAATGCTTTGATGCTTTTATTGTGCACGAATCACCGCTAGAATAGTATAGATAGAGGAGGTATTTTTGAATAGAGGATCATTTAGATGTTTAGTGGTTAATGTTGATGAATTAGAGTTGTCGCAATGCGTCTTGTTGATATGATCTCATATGTAGTAATCTGGCAAGCCTGAAATGTAGCTCTCTGCCTGTCCCTATTATGTCCTCAATTCACCAAGTAAACAAGGAGGCATACTTTTCTGGCTGTACTGGCTCTTCTTTTGTTGGTTGAGTTTTGGAAGAAAAATAGAGCATGTCAAAAGTTAGATGTGTTGCTCTCGCACCCTCCTCTCTAGCTGCTCTTTCTTCGCTCTTTTTGTTTTCTTTTCTCTTGTTATTCATCTTTTATATAAGCATATAACGAAATGAATCCAAATATGGCTCATCACCAATTCACCATTACTAATTAGAAGAAAAGCAAATGGCTAGATTATGGAAAATCGGATATTCATTATCCTAGCTTTGGATATGGCAGTAGAGGGGATTTTACTGCAATGTTTTAATGTTTGAGATTTAAAATAAAAATAAGATTTTTTAAGTCTCTAAATTTTATATATTTTAACGTGGGTTGACATTGGAAGTTAGGAATCATAAGCAGAATTAAATCAAAGTGTGATAAATGGTAGAAGAACAAGGAAGAAAGGGTATTAATTGTAGAGGGAAATGGAAGAGTGTGATTGTGTGAATATATGGTGCTTTTACAGAGTTCTAGAAGAAAATAGGGAAGACATTTGTGGAAATACATTAGTGTATAGGCTATTGGAAGTACTCTTGCTAACAGATTACTTTCGGGAAAACTGAATGGTGTATGAAACATAGTGGCCGGGAAGGATGAAAGGATGGTAGAAAGAAGATAAGTAGATTTTTTTTTTTCTGTGAATAGAAAATCAATGAAGTGTGAGGCGACAGAAATTAATGATACTTATGGTTATACTTCACAGTTTGCTGGCCCTGTATGTTGGATTTATGTACAATTATGAGTGTGCAAATGGTCTTTGTTTTCTTTTGTTATTGCTGTTCGCTGCTTTTGTCTTGGTTAACTCTTTTCTTTGTTCTCTTAAAGGATGGCAATGAGGTATTCTTTAGGACCAAGCGTACAACAGCTTTGAAGAAGCTTATGGGTGCTTACTGTGACCGTCAATCTGTTGATGTGGAATCCATTGCTTTCTTGTTTGATGGTCGTCGACTCCGTGGAGAACAGACTCCTGATGAGGTGATTGCTTTTTTTTTAAATATAATTAGTTCTTGTTTGTCATTCTATAGAATTTCAGCTGACCATGCCTCTCAATCTCCCACTATGAATTTAAGATGATAATAGAATTGCAAGTACATGTAATCATAAAGGAGTATTTTTGCAAATTGTTTTTGAACAACCTGTGTCACAAGCTCATTTATTAATGAATCTAATAAAGGGTTGGGTCCGGGGTTGGCATGTAAGCTACGAGTACAAAGGGATGAAACTTCCCTAAACATTAACTGGTTGACCAGAGTTTCTTAAACATGTTAAAAGAGAAGACTCATACTGTTGGATGCTAATTTAAATGACATGATCTGAATGTATTCCTGTCCCATGGATTTCATGTGAACAGCTGGTCCTTTTGTAATGTTTTCTTCTTTGTGGGGACTTTGTATTAATGATTTATTTTCCTTTGTTTGGTTAATCTTTTGTTTCAGCTGGAGATGGAAGATGGTGACGAGATTGATGCAATGTTGCACCAGACTGGAGGGAACTAATGGAGCTATGCCACGGATAATGGATTCTAGTATTATTAGTATGCTATGCTATTATTAGCTTTGTTTAGGGAGAGTTGAGTTGCTACTGAGTTCTGTTTTATTTTGTTGACTGAGCTATATGTAGATAACAGTGATCTCCTCCTTGCTAGCTATCCCACTGGGATATGCACTCTTATTCTGTGTAGTTATGAAGTTGCTTCTAATCCTGTTAGTACTTTTGTTCACTTTATTTATTTCTACCTTCTTTATTTTTATGAAAAATAAGTTCAGATTAGGGTTAATTAGTTTATATATAAATTATTTAAAGAAAAGGGCCCTATGATGAATTGATGATGCTTGATAAGGGCTATTCAAGTTCAGTTTACGGGTAATTTAGTGGTTTATGTGAGATATTCAACTTGTGTATAGTTTGGGGTGCGCACTTCGGGTGTTTATCTCCACCGAAAACACATTCGTGAAAATTTCTCTTCGAAATCCTACTTCAGATCATACTTGTGGAGTTAAAATTTTTGGGAATATTATTATGAGCAGATATCTGGTTGACGATAACAAGCAAAATGCAGCTTTTGGGAACTAAACTAATCTCTGCCAATTTCTCCCTGTCTTCTCATTCACTATTTAACCGATTAACCTTAATCTAAATTTTTCACATTTTATCTAACTTAAGTTCATGTTTCAACAGCAAAATTTTCAATAATTAACTGTGTTTTCAATTGGAATTTCAAGACCAGCTTTCAACAGCCAAAATTAGCCAAATTATCATGTTAGCAAATTATATAAAGAGATCAAGGATAGTTTTCCCAAGCATGAAGTATGAGAATTGAATAGTATTAAATTAACAGTATTTGAATGGCGATTGATATAATCCTTGATCTCCTAAGATGAGATTATAAGAAAGCTTCGTCCAATAGATCTTATGATAACCATATGAGGCGTGTAACATGGGAAATATCTTGGTGCAGACAGATAAAAAGCCGGGCAGAACATTTACAAGAAATCTTCAGACATTTCGTGTATTCTATATAAGGTTCAGCTCCACTATTTTGAAGAAGAAAAGAATGCCTTTACTAGACAGGAAATAAAATCTAAAATTCTGAGTGTATACATGGTTCTGAGAGTTGCAAAAACCCAACATACATAGTGATATCCAGATTGCTGACAAAAAGAGCTAGGCTAAACGTAAATGGATAACCATGTTCATGAAATCACACATCTTGGGCATTGCATATTTGCATTGCATGAAATGTTGGCCATACTTTTTCATTTTTCAATAATTCAAGACACAACTGGCAACCCAGGCAAGTTATTGGAAATGCTTAAGCTGGTAACTGGAGCTTTCGGTTGTTTTTCCAGCTGCAATAGAAAAGAAAATTGTCAGATGATGCTACATGAATGGTTAGTGATGATATGTGCAATATGGATCAGCAATTTACCTCTCAAAGTAATAGTAAAAGAAGTCAGCATAAAGCAGTGTCTGAACAATCCCAGCTAGCCATGCTGCAATTTAGAAAACATTGACAACAATCAACACATGAAAGAATGTTAAAATTCTTACTCCGGGTAAAATGATCTGTCTGCATGAAGAAAAGAGAAATAAAGCTACATGCATCTAACTATCTAAGCATATAAAAGTTGCTTTGTTCTTGCACGAGATCACATGCACACATGTCATAGGCAACAGAATACATGCAATCAAGGAGAGGGAACCTGAAACAGAAGTAGGCGGCTTCTAAAGGGCAAGCTGCAATAGATGTATCAAATCCAATCAAATACACACCACTGGCAACATATGTTGACAAACAGAAACTCGAGGATGATGACCCCAAATACCTCTAATCCCCACTTACTGTTTAAATATGTAAATCTCCCTACTCAAATTCTTTCATATACACAATGATTTTAAGTGGCACCAAGACCAAACAGTGTTGCAAATAATATAGATCAATTTCTTACCAAACACTGGGGAGTAGCAACTGGATACCTTTTCCTAAACTATGATCATACAGCAAGGTAGAAAACTAGAAACAATCTAGGGGATAAAAGAAAAGAGTCGTACTACCTATAGTATGTGCAACAAACCAAAGCTAAAAACCCATTAGGAGCAGGAACAATGTGATATGGTGAGAGAGAAGTATAATAAGAAGGTAGAATGCATACGACAGATGAAGAAATAAATAAAGAACATTATATTGCCTCGCAAATAGTTCGACGTCAATAGCATGTCCAATCCAGGTCAAAGAAAAGCTCAAAAGTGTAAAAAAAAAAAAAAAAAAAAAAACATTAAGAAATGCCATTAGAACAGTTATTGACAAAAAATGTCCATGTTAGTCCGGGAAGGTAAACACGTGTATGATCTGATAGATACAGCTGATAAAATATATGCTATAAAACACAATGCTGAAGTCAATCTAAAGTTTGCTCGCATATTCGCATGCACTGATACCATAATATATAACAATGCAAAGGGGGAAGAAGTGAAGGACACAATAGAAAGAGATAAGGCATACGTATCCAGTGGACATAGTGAGGCTCGGTGAAGTAGCGGTAGATCCAATTGAGGATGTACAATGAACGATATGCCCTGCATGAAAGATGGTCATTGATTAAACCCAACTAAAGTTGCAAATGGTTTAAAAGAAAAGACAATTGAAGGGAAAAGCAGGCTAGTTGAGCAGATAAAAAGTCTTTGAAGTACACCCACATAGAAGACATATCATGAGACATCGGCTACCATATACATTATCATTCATGTAATCAAGCGGCAAAACTTTCCAATATAAACTCCAGTAAGATAAGCGGAACCTTTTCACCTATCAGTAGGTTTTCATTCACAAATACTCCCTCCAATTTGTTTAAAATGCAACAGTTTTACTTTTGCACTATTCATACACTAACTTTGACTTTATTTTTTACTAAAATATATATATAAAAAAAAAAAAAAAAAAAAAAAAACGTATGTTATTATGTACTAATATATTGTTGTATTAGTCACAATGTATAATTTCACAATATCATCTTTATTTATAATTATAACTAATACACAAACACGGATAATAATAACCAAAGTTAATTCTTAGCAAATGTGCCGGTCAAAATGTTGCATTTTAAAAAAAGACTAACAGCAGTAGTAATGTTTTAGCTTCCACAAATCCTCAAAAGGTCTACAAGTTCACTCTGCATATGCTCTTAAACATTAAGTAAACATTTATTTTTCTTCATTGTGTTTTAATACTCCACAGTGATTGTAAAAGCAAACAAAGTAGTTTGACGCTCGTATCTTGTTTGACTTTTGTCATGATTTAAAACACAGAAGTAGCTATAGATCAAACCAATCATAGCCATTGTTCTCACCCGCCAGTCCTACTAAATCACCTGTGATTGGACTTATCATACCTTAAAAGCTTTAACGACTAACCTAGAGCCAATCTTAAGCCAAACTAGTAACATGGAAAATACATACCAAAGTTAAACAGAAAAAGATTCCTGGATAGGTAATCAAACATATGGGTGATGGACCAAAGCCCCCAACTTTGGTCAGTGAACAGTATGGTCAAGTCATCTAAGATTGTAGTCACCACTGGTTCACTAACTAGTTAGCATGACCATATCCAAATCATCAGCTTTCTAAAGTCAAGCCAGGGATATTTCCATTTCCATATATATATAAAGTCAACCCACAAGATTCACAAATCCTCACCAGTTTTTCTATCCTTCTACACCAATCCTTGGCTCTTTACTTCCTTCACCAACACTCCCACCAATCATCCCACCAGTCATCAGCAATCCTGCTACCACCCATCTTTACCCTCTTTGTTTGGCTCTTTGCCCCTCTCCACAACCAATTTGGATTATCTTTTCATTAAAGTGTCTCACTTCATGTTCCATCTCTTCATTACTGACCGCACAACCACTTTACTAGACCTATATAGTTGGTTTAGTGGCTATGAAATAAGAGTTGGAACTTGGAACATAATATTACACACCATGGAAATAATATATATATACAGCTCCACGACCCCAATGCCCCCACTTGCAAGGGGTCGGTGAGAGTATGAAACCACAGATATGGCCAATAAAAAACAACTTCACCCAGTTAAAGACCCAGAAATTCTACAAGATGGTCAAACAAGAGGTAAGGAGCGAAGTTTAGGAAAAGAAAATTGGTGGAAAATAATCCAAAGTATGGTGGTTTGTGAAAAATAATTCAAACAATGAAATTTCCTCAAACTAATATGAACTACTCCCTTTGTCCCTTATTTTTTGCCCCATTTGACTTTTCATGGTCTCCAAGACACTTCTTCAAACGCATATATCTCTATTTCTATAAGCGTAAAAATTTTAAAAATTTGATATTAATAAACTATACAATGAGACAATTCTAACAAGATCTCACATGAATATATTATCACTTATAGATCAACGAGAATTCATGGTCAAAGTTTTAAAAGTTTGACCCATATTTTTGCAATGGGGAAAAAATTAAGGGACGCAGGGAGTATCAACAAATATGTACAAACTGATGAGACAATTTGATGAAATCTTAAGAGAATTTTCTGACAACAAATTTTTTTTATTTTGAAAATTAATAAAACTATATTTCAGAATAAACTTTGAATTTTATTTCTTTTTGGAAAAACAATTTTATTGATCAACAACAACAAAGCCTTAGTCTTAAAATGAAAACATATTCAAACTTTCAAAGATTGTAGAAATTATTGGAACATATTCAAAGATTGTAGAAATCGCGGTTATATCATTTTGCACATTTTGATGCAATGTTTTTTCGAGCAAAATTTATAGTTTGAATTATTTTCCACTTATCAGTTATAGTTTGTTCCGCCAGTTTCCCTTTAGTAAAAGAAGGTCAATTTTTTTATAAAATATATAGAAACATTATCTACAAAGAACTTCAGTACAGCTTTCACCAGACTGTAGCACTCTACCACAATACGCATTTTCCAACGGGAAACCAGAATAAATCATTGGCTAGCACCAATAATAATAGCTAGTATCTAGAACAAACCCTTTTCCCTCTTTCTTTCACTGTCTCTCTTCCACTCAACTAGAACTTTTGACTCTGAGAGTAACTTAGAACTAAACCCCAAGATGACTCTGCTCAGTGGAGCAAAGAAATATAAACATTGTGACAAACACGTGGACAACAGTTCCTAGGGCTTCTTACAGGCATGAAAATACCGCCAAATAAGAGTCAATATCAAACATGATACAGCAGATATCAAGAGTTTAATTTTTTAGTCATTTACTCAGTTACAAAGTAACACCTCCCCCTCCACCCTATCAATATGTTTTGAGGATATAGTTACAAGCTAAAATACGAAGTAACATAGCATGAGCAGATGCATACCCTAGAAGAAACACATATTGTCCAGTCAGGTTGTCAATGTTTCTAGTTCTCTGCAACAATACCAGCTGGGGAAGTATGGCAACTGCTTCCAAATACAAGGAAAATGTCCACATGACCTGAAACCATGTAATACACAGATGAGAAATAAAAGAGACAATTTCTCATTCATGCATACCGCCAAAATTCTTAAATATTATAGTGATGGCAATAAATACATTACCTCTTTAAAATTGAATCTCTCGTTGATAAGACAAGCCAAGAGCAAGCAAGGCAATACTAAGAACCAGTGTCGGAAGGTATCTTGGTCTTTGTCATATGACCTCTTGACAATCTTGTGGCTTCTCATGTACCAAACAATTGAAAAGGAGCTGCTGAGAAATATTAGCTTCATGACAGTGTTATACACTGATATGAAATCTGTGAAGATATCCAGGTAGCGAGTAGCAAAAACAATTGCATAGAGTTCCTGAGTCTTCAAAGAAACACCTACAAAGAGTGACAAAGTACAAATCTCAATATGTAACATCAACTAGACTAGAAACAATAATAGCAAAAATAGCAAGTAGAGAGTTGAATAGAAGGGAGACATCAGCCTAATTAATTAATAGTCCATTCACTATCATCAGAACACAAGAATTCACAACTGCCTTGATGCGTAAAATATGCAGCACTTGGATCATAGATAGCAAATGTAGTGCACCTCACATGAATAAACAAAGAAATATGGCCATATGCCGCATACATACATACATACTGAATATACACAATCATGTAAAAATCAGCAAGGTAAAATAGTTGCATCCAGGTTTTCAAGGGAGTGAGAGCCAGTAAGCCGCATCCAAGGGCATTAAAATAAGCAGCATAAAAGTCCAACGAATTAGAAGCAATATTAAGAGAATGGCAATGGTTAAAGGTAACAAAAGCAAAGAGATCATGCTCCTCTACATATGCATAAAGGACTTTGAATCTTAGGTTATTTCCAATTCCTATATGAGGTGCGTGATATGGTATACTAAAGAAAGTCTATACCCTCGATAAGGAAGGACCTGTAGAAAAATGGTAGAGGACTAGTCTCCTACATCATTGGGGGATTGGATATTGGACCCACTTACAATAAGGAATCTACTTCATTAAACTTTTCTTCAATTCCTTTTGTTCAAATGCTTTCCCTTCTCTTTGGTGCCAACTAGGACTGGTAGCATGGTCTTCTCTTAGAATTTCACTTTGATACAAAACGGGAGCTTCACTTTAGCACTTGACATTTTACTTTTCTGGCATATTAAATCTTTTCTCTTTCCCTTCCTTGGGGGTTACAAGGATAGGTATAAGCTAATATATAAAGCTCTTCCTTTTACTTTCTTAATCATTCATGTAATTTATGATGATTGATTATCAGCAAGAATTGCATGAACTCGGCGAAATGTCTCCTTAACAGATGAGTTGAGTGTATCTTCCAAACTATGTAGTACCAGTGATTTTACTCAAAGCAAACTCAAACAATATTTAAAACATGAGACGGTGCTACTAGCTCAGAAGGTGGATAATAACCTGAATTTATTAGTTTATAAACATGTTATTGAATAGACAGAACAAGTTCACTAAGCTCATAAGGTCATACTCAACAGGTTACCACACCACAAACCTACGCATCTTAAGTCTTAACAAAAATCCATATGGTATAACATAAGTTCTCATGGTCACCCCTTCATACAGAAGGATATAGCTGTAGTGCTGTACCTGTACTAACAATGTAAAGACCTATGGATTCACATCTTATCAACCTTTCTGACCAATCTCTAATAGGATTTCTACTTGCACCCTATTATACACAAAAGGGAAACTATCTACAGTTTGCAACTGAGCTATTCTCGACAGTATTAAACTTAATTAAGAAGATGGACATAAACGGATAAACCCATATGAGGTCCTAGTTGTTTGAGCCAAGGAATTCCCATTAAGTTTCACTATTATCAAAACCAACAAACATCCATAATTTCTTAGCTGATCACAACAATCACCCTGCACATTACCTTCTGGAAATCTGGAATGTCTACAACCAAAATCGAAAACCTTGCCGATATCAGAAGCTAAAACTCCACATTATTACTTCCATCTTAAGGTATTCGCCATAATTCAACTCCAATAAGATAAACACACATATAGCTCCACAAAAGTCACTCATTTCAACACTCATTTCAAATACCCATCACATAATAATCACAACCATAATTAACCCATCAACACCTACGAGCTTAAATTCCACAATTTACCCTAAAAAAATACGACCCAAATCACAAAAAAAAAATAACGGCAAAACTTAAAATGCAAATCATCTACAAATACCCAGAAACACAACAATTTCATACAAACTAACACTTAAAAAACTGCATTAGAATGAGGTTTAATTTCAGAGAATAATTACCAGCACATGATTTGATGGTATGGATCTTGAGAAGCAAAACAAGAACACTGGCCAAATGGGTCATATCACCAGCTAATCTGAAGATATTCATCTTGAATAATTTCGATCAAAACCCACCAAAATAAATAAAATGTAAGATCAACCCCAAAAAAAATTAGTACCCCAGATCGTTTTCTAGCTTAGATCTAGAAAGATCTGGGAAATATTGGGAATAAATTTTAGGGTTTTCCCCCTATTTCTACAGTGCTATTGTAGTTTTCTTCTAGATTGGATTATTAGGTCGAAATTATACAATGAAATGAGTAGATAGGAGGAGAGAAAGGTTGGTCTAGACTAGACTTCGGACACTAGAAAACCATTTTTGCAAGTCTGATAGAATGTGACTGTTATTTTTGTTTTGTTCAAGGGTTGAGAAGGTTCTGTGATTTTTTTTTATTTTTTTTTTTTTCTCATGAAAATACAAAAATAAAAGGATTTTTTGGGGTCATACTTAATTTGGGGGGTGTTTTACTGATTATTTGGTGGATTAAGAAATAAAAGGTTTTAATATGTTGACTCGTGAAGTTTATCAATTTTGCGATTGTTTGACTTTTATGCCGTATATTACACATAAATCTGTTAATTTGGGCTAACAGGTTGGGTTTGGATTAGATTTCGGGTCGTGCTATAATGCTATCTTAAATGTTGTATCTATGTTACTCTTTAAAGTGAACTCCCACTTTTGGTTGGGAATTTTTGTTTTTTAAAAATATCTTCTTTTAGTCATCCTTTTTTTTTTAAATTGTTACTGAATTACAAACAAAATAAAATTAATGAAATATAAAAGAAAAAAAAATTACAGTTACTTTTCAACTGGTAACAAAATTAATAGATAATAAAAAAAAATTAATAAATTAAAACATAACCTCCCCCACTATTAAATTACCAGTAAACTTCCTCCCTATAGAAACAAAATATGAGAAAAGCATTACTACTCATCCTTTTCCCATCTAAACTTTAATTTTTCATTCTTCACTTAATATTAAATCCTACTATGTGTTATTAAGCTATGTGCTATTTACAAGATTAAAGATACACGTAAAGTAAGTAGAACGTACTTACTTCTTTTTTTTTTTAAATTTCTGTATCAATTTTTTTGGGTTTCCATTTATAGCAGAATTTTTGGCTACATAATTTAGATTCCATTACATTTTCATATCTTTTATTAACAGGATGTCAATTGCATACGCTCCTTTCATGTATTTGAACCCGTACTCAAAATTTTGGAATGTGAAGGCAAGGATAATTAGATTATACGAAATTCAGCATCTCAAAAATAATAAAAAAAATTGGAAGATGGTTCTTCTTGATGCTATGGTATGTAAACATTGTTTTAAAAATTATTTTTTCTCTTAACAGTGAAATCTTATTTTATATATAAAATATAATATATGATTAAGTAGTTACGTTAGGATCTATTACTCTTCATTATCTTTAGTTGATTATCTTTCTTTTGTTCCATATCGTTAAATAATCTATCAAACCAAATTTACAATGCTTTTGTTATATTATTCCACAATCACATACTTACTCATTTCTCCTTTTGTCTTTTAAAGGGAGAACCCATTCAAGGTATTATATTTACAAAAGATATTGATAATTTTATTGGCAAATTACAAGAAGGTTTCGTGTATTGTTTTAAAAGGGTACAAGTTATTCAAGTTGATGATTGGTTACGAACAGTTCATAATCCGTATCAACTCAACATAACTAATGAAACAAAAATATCCTATGTTGATACTGATATTGAAGAATTTCCAAAGTACTCTTACAACTTGGTGTCTTTACATGATGTAAAGTCATTTAAACGCACTGAAGGAATTGTGATAGGTTTTTATACCACATTTCATACTACCTTTATTAATTAGAAACTATTAATTTTCTTATAAATATATTCAATATTTCTTTAATTAATATCTTACCCTTTTATGTTTGTTTGGGAATTAGATGTTGCGGGAATAATCATATATGCAAGTGAGATTCACCGAAATGACTTTACGGGTACCATTAAGCAAGATATTATTCTACTAGATCAAAGGTATGTATATATATCAATTTAAGGCTACTACCCATGAAATAATAGTCGTAGGGAAAAATTAGTACTACACCTAACTCTAAAGTTTAGAGAATAAAAAAAAGCTAAGATATTTTTAGTATATTCTGTACAAGATGTATACTATGATATTTCTATCAATTTTTATCCTAATTTTATGCTTCGTTTAATCTTTATCCTACTTTTAATTTCAATTTCGATGTAAATCCTGAATTATATGCATTTTTGTTGTTTTTTTTACAATGAGATTGACGATATGGAATTACTTTTTCAACGAAATTGGTGAACGAGCAGTAGAAGAATCTGACCAAAATCTCACTTTACTTGCATGTAGTGTCCAGCTTCAAAATTATAATGGTAAAGTTGATTACTTATAATTTTTTTTATAAAATACCATGGTTTAGTATCACAAAAGATTATTTGATGTTAATTTTGGTATTCTAAATTTACGTTTTAGGTACATTACATTTGACATCCGGAAGGTACACAAGATTATATATCATCCACAATGACTCTACTTCCGAGAGTGAGGGATAGCTCAGTTGGTAAGAGCTTCCCTCCCGGTTCCAGGTGATCCTGGGATCGGTTCTCATCCCCGCCAATAGTGACTCATATGAAAAAAAAAAAAATATGACTCTGCTTCCGATGCTATAGCAAAATGGTTAGTAGTAGTACACTATTTTTTCTTCTATTTTTATTATAGTAATAATGTTTTTTTTTTTTTTTTTGTATTATAGATAAATAATGAATTAGTCGATCACCACTTATTACTTAATACTTGGGGTAGCATCATGTCATCACGTATTGTAATACCCGAATATTTTAAGATTTTATCAGATATATTTATGGCTAAAATAAGATATTTTAAATTATTTTATAAATTCAATTTTATACACTATTTTGTTATCATATAAAAAATATCTTAAACCCTATTTTATATCTAGTAGGACTCTTGTTTACCAAACTATAAATATTTGTTAACCTAGCTTAATTATTAATCTTTCTTATGTATAATAGTCGTGATTTCCATCTTTATTCCTAACAAACAAAAAGGATCTTGTCTTTTAGCCAAGATTAATTTTCCATCACCATACACCACGCATCATCACCAAACCCAATTTCCTAATGTAATTCTTTGATGATCAATCTCATAATTATATATATTATCATTACTTTAGAAACCCATCATGGTTTCTCATGTTTTGCGTGGATCGAAGATGGAGTTGCTGTGGTTTTGCACAGAGTTATTATTTGGGTGTTAATTCTTGAAAGGTAATCACACTAAATCATATCAATTTGGAGACGTTTGTATTATTTTTATTATTATATGTAATCACACGAAATTACTATGGAATTGTTTGTATAATTATTGCTTTATATTATTATTGTATAATTTGGTATTTATATGCTTGAGTTTATATGTATGATTGATGTATATAATTTTATGATATAATCTGATTTAATTTTCTTGTTATATTGTTGTCTTGATTGATTGTGTTATTATGCTAGGTTATTTTTTTTTATGTTGTTGCTATAGGGTGTATTGTTATATTGAGGTTTTAGGGTTATTAATGCAGAGTTTATTTTCAAGTTGTGAGTTAACACTACAAGAAATAGGCTTATTTCCGACGGACTTCTTCCGACGGGCAAGATAATCCGTCGGAAATTCCGACGGAATATAAATCCGTCGGAAATTTCCGACGGATTTTCTACGGAATTAAAATCCGTTGGAAAATATAGGCTTTCCGACGGAATTTTCCGGCGGAACTAAAATCCGTCGGAACTTTCCGACGGAATATTCCGTAGGAATATTAATTTTCCGGCGGAATTAAAATCCGTCAGAATTTTCCGACGGAATATTCCCTCGGAAAATTAATATTCCTACAGAATATTCCGTCGGAATTTTTTTAAATAATAAAAAAAAAAAACCCTAAACCCACCCCCATCTCTCCGCCTCTCTTCTCCTTTTTTTTTCTTTCTTACAGCAACCCGCCTCTCTTCTTCTCTTTCTCTCTCCTCTCATTCTCCTTCTCCTCTCATTCTCCTTCTCTCCTCTTCTAACTCATTCCTTTCTCCTTCTCCTCTTTCTCCTTCTCCTCCTTCTATTCATCAACATCAACAATCGCAACAATAACAACCGGAACAACAACAACAACCGGAACAACAACCGCAACAACAACAACCGCAACAGCCACTGTCGCTCAACAACAACAACCACTGCCGCTCAACAACACTTACAAGGTCGGAAATATATGTAGATCTAGGTTTATTTTTTAGAAATTTATGATTATAATGATTTTTATGATGAAATTGTAATATAAGTTTTTAAATTTTGTAATTTAAGTTTGTAATTTTGCGGATTTTCGGACAATATAATATATAAATTGTTTATTTCGATTTTTGTGGTTTTTGTTCCGATTTGGTGGTCTCGATTTTGTTTGATTGGTTTTTGTGGTTTCGATTATTTGATTTTTTCGGTTTTTTTTTAAGTTTTTGGTTTCGATTTTGTGGTTTTTGTGGGTTGTGGGGGTGGAGATATGGTGGTTGTGGGGGTTGATTAGGGGATTTTGCTCCCACCAATCGGAATGCGCCACGTGGGCCAATCAGGTCCTGCCAAGTGTCCCCCAGTTGGACCTCTCAGGGCTTGCCACGTGGCACACGCTTATTCGTCCACCCTGGACCTATTATGTCATGACACGTGGCATACTCCATGCCTAATGGAGAAGTAGGCCACCTAGGCCCAACTTCCGAGGGAAGCCCAATCAGCCCAAGGTTAACCTAAACCTAGGATTGGCACGTTTCCCGAGGTTATAAATACCTCCCTTAATCCTCATTAAGGGGGATGACGCAGTTTACACACATTAAACACTCTCACCTAGAGAGACCCAATCACTTTAATTTCTGCATTAATTACTCCTTAATCAAGTACTAACTTGACCGTCGGAGGCGGATCTCCAATCATCCGGAGCATCCGTTTGTTTTGCAGGTACAGGCGTCCGGTTCCAGTCTCGGAATTGTAACTCTCCCGCAGGACATCAGAAAACCCCGAAACAGGGGTGGCGAGGTGGAGATAGGGTGGGTGTGGGTGGTGTAAGGTTCGTGGTGTGTGGGTTATTTGGTGGTTCTGGGTTGGGTGGATCTGGGCAGGGTAGGGTGGGGTGGTCTGGGTGGGTGGGTCTGGGTCAGGGTGGGTGGATCTGGGAAGGGTAGGGTGGGGTGGTCTGGGTGGGTGGGTCTGGGTCAGGGTGGGTGGATCTGGGCAGGGTAGGGTGGGGTGGTCTGGATGGTGGCTCTAGGTCAGGGTAGGGTAGGGCAGGGTGGCGTGGTGTGGTCTGGGTAGGGTGGCGTGGGGTGGTCTGGGCAGGGTGGCGTGGGGTGTTCTGGGCAGGGTAGGATGGTTGGGGTGGTGGTGGATTTTTTTTTTATTTTTTTTTATTGCTATTTCCGACGGAATTTCCGTCGGAAGTTTCCGGCGGATTTGTATTCCGTCGGAAATTTCCGACGGACTTTCCGGTGACCGGAACTGTCCTTCCTACGAGGAAATTCCGTCGGAAAACACTGTTCCGACGGAAACAACCATTTTTCCTACAAAAGGTCTTCCGACACCACGTTCCGACGGAATTCCGTCGGAAACAGTGTTTTCCGACGGAATTCACGGTGTTTCCGACGGATTTTTTCCGCTGGAAATGGCCTGTTTTCTAGTAGTGTAATTATATTTGGGAACTAGTATTTTGCTCTATAAGTGTTGAGATATTTTATGAATCGAGTATGTCATGTTATATAATTTGGGAACCTGTGCCATTATTGAGATACTATTTATTAGCCAGTGAATGGTGATTTGATCAGACTATGAGATCAAAGGTTGAGAATTATTATTTTATTTTTGGTTTGAGGCTCGGCGTTAATTACCTTAGTCCTTGGCATGTTGGTAAGGAGATAATGATCATGAGTTAAGAATGAGGTACAATCTTTATTTATATTTTTCTATGGTCCCCTACAATGGGATTTGACCCATATTGGTCATGGTTAGAGGTGTTTTCTGGTTATTGAGAGTATTCAAGTTTTTATACTTGTTGGTTTATTTATTCGAATTACCCATGTTCAAGGCTAGGTATTGAACAAAGAGCATGACACACTTATTGGTTAGATGAGTTTATTGAGTAAAGGATTGTATTATTATTTGAGGTTGAGGTTGAGGTTGAGGTTGAGTTTGACAAGGTTATTTTCAGAGTACGGAGTTATTTTACCCTTGAGGTGTATATGTGTAATGTAGTTTCGAACTACATTGTTAAAGTGAGTTAATTATATTAATTATTCTATTGTTCTTTGTATTTTGATAAGTGGTGATTACTCAGCTTTTTGCTGACGTGTGTGTTTGTTTTCTTTGCTACTTGTGTTTGCGGCCATGTCTTTTTTTTTATGGTGGCCCTGCGACGATCTATTTTGGAATTTGTCCTTAATGGTGAGCAGTCAAGTTAGTCTAAACAGGTTAATCGAGTGATCGTAGCTAAAGGAGCTCAAGTATTTCGATTAGTCTGTTATAACAAGTTTGTAAAGTTGTATAAATAGCTCACCTAGTTTATTGGGTTGTATTTATTGGGATTTTGTAAGCCTTAGCACTTGACAAGTTGTTGAGTGTGGCGGTAATACCTCCGATTTAGGTGTATGCTTCCGCAATTTTATATAAAGGTTGTTTATTTTTCTTTAATTCTTGTTTATTATTCGTAAGTAAATCGGGGGTGTTACACGTACATTTAAGAATTTTATCCTAATTAGAGTCACCAAATCAACTGCCACTTTGATATTAATTTTTTTATATGGCCAATGTGTTGCATAAAATATCTAATTCAATCTTAATTTTTTTTATAGGTATTGCAATGATACCTTTGCTCTAGCAAAAGCTAAATGGATACAAACCTATGGTCTTTCGTTGTATCAGACACTTTTGATATCAAATGCCCGACGTACTACAACATACAACTTTCCATCAAGGCCAATAGTAATATCTTACCATCTTACAATATTAACATAGATTTACTTTTCTAATAGTATTATTTATTAATAATTCATAATTTATTATTTTATCCTTCTCAAACCGTTTATATTGGTTTATACAAATTACATGTTGCAATTGTTGCACTTCATAAATAGTTCAAATAACATTTATTATACATTATAGGGAAATGTATATAGAGTTCTTGGAATGTTGGTTGATATTAATGACAAAAGCTTCACATGGTATGATGCATGCTCGATTTGCAATTATAAAGTGAATTATATTGTTGATCAAAGGACATGTACAAATTGCTACAAAAAAATATTTTAGCCATGGATATTTATAAATTAATAAAATATAAAATATATTTTAAAATTTATCGCATAAACTACCCACGTTCAATATACAATTATCAACAATCCCTAATTATTTGCCACTATTGTTATCCACTTTATTTATTCATTATTTTTTAAAAACAAAACTACCCACTTCTTTTTTTCGTTTTTTTAATATACAATTCTCTCAATACTAAAAAAAATAAGAAAAAAACCATTTTGTCAAAAGTAGTTTAAAGATAACCGTATATGCTAATTTTTAGCTGTAAAAAAGAAAAAATAACTATATTATATTTTTACATTTATCAAAACTGTCACAAAAAAAAAACCATAGCACGTAACTTTATTTATTTATTTTTGGATAAAATAAAAACATATCACAAGATTTAACATTTTATACTCCGTACGTTAAAACATTTCTACAACATAACTTGGGACACTTTTTTAATTACAAAAAAATCTTTCAGCCATGGATATTTTATATTTTATAAATTAATAAAACAAGCTCGGAAGCGCACGCAATGCGTGCACGATTTTCAAGGTGGCAAATTCATATAATTTACATTTTGTTAGAGTTTGATTCAGTAATTTTCAACATATCAATTATATTATTCGTAAAAAAGTAGAAATGTTGAAATTAAGCTGAAATTCCCCTTGGGTCATCCAGGTTCGAAACTAAAAGTTTAATTGCTTTAACCAATATGTTAACCATAGCAAATCATTTTACATAAAACTTTCTATTTGAGTTAAAAATAAAAATTTAAAAAAATAAATAAATTAATTAAAAACCCTTTTACTTGAAAGTTTTTATTTAAAGAATATTGTCAAGGACTTCAAAACGTTATGTTCTTAGAAATTTGAAGTAATAAATAAAAGTTGAAATAAAAGAAATGACTTTTCCTCATTTAAGGTAAAAAGTATAATTAGTCCTAAAAAACTTTCTATTTGAATTAAAATATAAATTTTTTAAAAAATAAATAAATTAATTAAAAACCCTTTTATTTGAAAGTTTTTATTTAAAGAATATTATCAAGGACTTCAAAACGTTAGGTTCTTAGAAATTTAACGTAATAAATAAAAGTTGAAATAAAAGAAATGTTGTCATTCCCTCATTCAAGGTAAAAAGTATAATTAATTCTAAAAAAAGGAGTTTTAAGTATAACTATTAAGCTTGATAACACCATTTTGAATAATAATTTTTATTTCCAAAAAAAAAAAGAGTTTAATCATAGTACATCTTTTTTTTTTTTTTTTTTTTTAAAAGTAATCATATATTTTTATGTATACAAATATTTTATAATAATTTTATATTATATAAAATATTTTGAAAAGATTTGACACAAAAAAAAAAAAAAAAAAAAAACGATGATATAATTGATTTCACTGCTTTCCCCTTGCTTCCCCCCTTCATTCACGATATTCACAAACAAAAAAAAAGAAAAAAAGAAAAATTTCGCTGCTGCCGCCGCCGCACTGCTGCTGCCACCAGCCGGTTTCCCCTTGCTTCCCCTTCTCTTCTATCTTTCTCTTTTCTTGTTTAATTTCTTTAAAGATTTAATCTTTATATGATTTGATTATGCATGATTTGATTATGCATATACATGATGAAAGATTGCAAATTTATTGAGTTTATGATATACTAAGTACATAATTAATTTTCAGGTTTTATTAATTGAGAAATTAGGGTTTCGAAATCTTGATTTTTCGTAGTTTTGGGCTTAAAACGTGAATGAATTGATTTAACTAGCTACTTTGTGGTTAAATATGACCCTAACTTTAATTTTTGATGATTATAAATGATTTTCAGTTTTCCATAAAAGCTGATTTTGGGTTTAAACTATTCAAAACTATATTTTTAGAGTTCAAATTAGGTAATGGGTTGTTAAAATAGCATGTATAAAGTAAAGTGATGTTCTAAAATTTGGTACATAATCTGAGTTTTAGTTGTCTTAGCATCTTGTATTATGATGAATACAATGGGGTGATCTACTTAAGCAGAATAAACCATATATATTGTTTGATCTAGATTACATTTCACATGAATGCACAAGGGCTCTCAACCCAGGAAATACTTAATGTTAGGTCACAAAGTAGAAAAATGACAATGTTACAAGTGTAGTACACGTTACTTTAAGAGGCCATCAAATACTAAATGATCTAGCTAAGTCAATGTAAAAAAGTGATATTACACAAGTGATGACTTTCATGTAATTATCGATGAAATTTTATATTTAATTTATTCTTTGTAGATGGTTTTCTTTTAAAAAAAATCTTTTGTTATACATAGCCGAAATAAAGTTGCTCATGAGTTAGCTCACTTTCAAGTTTTAAGTGTAGAAAATCGAGCATAATTTATGAAAAATCAATATCCCCGGAAAACATTATGGTCTAGCTTCTAAAGCCCCACTAATACAATATCGCGTACATATAAATCTAGTTTCAACTAATTCAACAACACTTCACTAATACGGAGTACAACATTTGTGCTCATTATTCTAGCAAAAAGATTTTCCATCAGTGTTCTCAATTTTTTCCCAACAAAATTGGATTTTTTCACTTTTACAAATCGTACTATGACTTATCCATTGGAGCGGCTTCAGAAGTTTCTCATTTCCATTGAAGCAGCGTTTAAGATAAGATGTTTATTCCTTTTTTTTTATCTGATTATAGTTAAAAAAAATTCAAATTGTTGTTATATTATAATTCCAGAATTAAATTAAAAGCTTAAATCTAAATTTGATTTTCGAAATGCTGCTGATTCGTAATCTCTCTCTTCAAATTACAGAATGAACCAACAACAGCGTAACTTGATTTTACAATCTTCCTCCAACTTCGCACCACCCAAAGGTACAATCTTTCCCCAATTTCCCCTTCAATTTCAATAAATTGTTTTGAATTAATCAAACAAGAAAAGTAAATTTGTTCTTTCAATTTGATAATAAAAACAAATAATGCAGGGGTGAGATTATTGTATGGAACAGCAGGGTTTAGAACAGATGCAACCCTTTTGAGATCAACATTGTATAGGATTGGAATCTTGGCTGCTTTAAGATCCCTTAAAACTCAATCATTGATTGGGTTGATGATCACAGCTTCCCATAATAAGGTTTCTGATAATGGTGTCAAAATTGCTGATCCAAATGGTGGAATGTTGTCTCAGAATTGGGAACCCTTTGCTGATTCTCTTGCTAATGCTGCTGATCCTCTTCAACTTCTTCAGGTTTATATGCTAATTATGTTGAACTTATTTTTAATTTTTTTGGTTTTGTTTAGTTTGAACATAGAAAGTTGGAATTGTGTTAAATTTGCAATTTGTTTTTGTCGGGGTTAGTAAATTAATCTAAGTTATAGTTTGATTATTATCTAATCCGGATTGAAAATTATCATGTTGCCTAGATTTTGTTTGACATTGGAGTGATTTGAGAATACCCTTCATTAATGTTACTCAGACTTGATAGAGGCATATGTCCAAGTAATAGACTTGCCTATTTTAGAAAAAAATATCAATGTTTTTGGTCTAAAGTGATGTTTAAGTGTTGATACTACCTATGTTTTGTGTCAAAGATCTGATATGGGTACAGGGTACTTCAGTTGAGTAGCATAGCCATCATATTATATTTGATAATGTCGTTGATAATAACACTATTGTTGAAGTTGGTATATTGGATTTTGTTGGACCTATTTTTCTCTTTTGTGGCTTATATTGCATATGCTGTAAGTTTGCAAATAGGATTGTATTGAATATAAATTTATCAATACCCATCTTGTATTAGTACAATTTTTATACCTTGAAGAAAGACTGTTGTTTATGGGTTGTTGCTAAGTTTAATTCATATTTCAAAACAGCTTATTGAAGAATTTGTGAGGAAGGAGAACATCTCATTTGACAATGCCTATTCAGCAGAGATCTTGCTAGGAAGGGACACCCGGCCCAGCGGAGAGTCTCTCCTAGAAGCTGCAAAGCAAGTAATACTTATCTCTTCATGAGCAATCTGTTGATACAGCAATGCCAATTATGTAGTTCTTTGAATTGTCTCCGAAGTATTAAATTATTAAATTATCTGCTTATTCTGTTCAAGGGTATCAGCTCTATAACTGGTGCAATTTACCACGATATGGGAATTTTAACCACCCCACAATTATATTGGATGGTCCGTGCTAGAAACATGGGTATGAATTCAACAGAGCAGGATTATATTGAGCAACTCTCACATTCCTACGAGTTAATGTGCACACCATGCAAATCTTTATTATATTTCTTCTACTCCATTTTTTTGAACAATGACAACACAATTACCTTCTTGAATCACTCAATTTATACTACTGTCATAATTGGCTCAGGTGTTTAGTTGAGTTGATTCCAGACGGAATTAAAGGGAGAAAATCTTATGATAAAGTGGTAGTTGATGGGGCTAATGGTGTAGGAGGTGATAAACTTGAAGTTTTGAAAGACATGTGCGGTGGTCTATCAATAGAATTAAGAAATTCCAGCAAAGGAGAAGGTATTCTGAACGAAGGAGTTGGAGCTGATTTTGTGCAGAAAGAGAAGGTCATGCCTTCTGGGTTTGGCCCTAATGATGTTGGGCTGAGGTTAGTCATCTCTTTTTTCATTTGGTTCTAATCATTAGTATTGTTTTGTTTTCAACTTTTATCTGGTGGTGGTTTTGGAACATGAAGCCTCCTTTTAAAAGGTTTTGGGATGAATTGGTGTAATTTAATTTGGTTCATCTAACTGGAGATACATTTTATAGCTTTATATTTTGGCAATGTCAAGATCTCAATTCTCTCATGGTGTAGATCATTTAAGTACGAAGAGCGCTGCTTTTTTGGCTTGGATTGATTAAAATTCTGGATTCTATGCCAAGCTTAATATAGGTTTTTCTATAAAATGGAATTTGATAATCATGTAGAAAAATAATCTATGTTTCTGCTTGATGGCATTATGGAAACCAAGAAATCTGATTTTCAGGTTTATAACTCTGTTTTGCCTTTTACATACATTGCTATCGATAAATTAGAGCCCAAACTTAAATAGCGTACTAGTACTGTGAATGAAAGGTGAAAAGAAAAATTCTATAATTGAAACAGACAAGGTAAATTAAACAAGCAGTTCTTTAGGCTTATTGCTATTGAAAGTAATTTGTTATCTCTGTATAGTTTCATTTCATATTTCATGACTGAAAAGTATTCCAACTTCAGTTTTCGTGCTAACTTGCTAAGTCCTCGTACTAGATTTTCCATTTAAAACTTTAACTAATTAGTGTTGAAGTAAATATTGATTCTGGTTACATCTATGAAGTATTCATTTTTATTAAGGGAAATGTTCAACCGTGGAAGCCAGGCTAACTGCTGATGGTTCTAGCATTTCAGGTGTGCAAGCTTTGATGGGGATGCAGATAGGCTTGTATACTTTCTTGTGCAACCAGACAGTAAAGCGATTGACCTTGTTGATGGGGACAAGATGCTATCATTATTTGCTCTATTTATTAAAGAGCAATTAGATGTTCTCAAAGACATTGAAATTGAAAAACCATGCGAACCTTATCATCCACGTCTAGGCGTAGTGCAAACTGCCTATGCTAATGGGGCATCAACCGATTATCTGAAGAACTTGGGGTTAGATGTTGTCTTCACTCTGACTGGAGTGAAATATTTACATGAAAAGGCTTCTGAATATGATATCGGTATATACTTTGAAGCAAATGGCCATGGCACCATATTGTTTTCTGATAGTGTTCTATCTTGGTTGGAGGCTAGAAATAGTGAGCTCTCTTCCTCTTCTACAGGTCAGTTAACGTATAATGTTATTGCAATTCATACTTTTATTCTCCTTAATCAGACTTCCTAAACAATGTTCCTTACCTTTTTCAGGCTCGGAAAATCAAAAGGCTGTATTGAGATTATTAGCTGCCAGTAAACTAATCAATCAGGCTGTTGGTGATGCTTTGAGTGGATTGTTATTGGTAGAAGCCATCTTACTACATACAGGATGGTCAATTCAGAAATGGAATGAACTCTATAAAGATCTGCCTAGCAGACAGCTTAAGGTGTGTCACTGATGAATTTTTCATTGGAAAGTAATTGAAATATTCTCAATAACAGAATCCTCAACTCTGTTTGCTGGTTTCATTTCAACCTTTGAAAGTTTTTCTGAGAGCTCTTGATCCTTTTTGGTTTCGTTGATTAACTGCAATGACTCTTAGGTGAAAAGTTGACTGAGCTTTCACTGCATTCTAAGGGAAATGTGTCTTATAAAAGGAAATTACAGAGTAGATAATTTGTTAGATTAGAATTGTTTGTTTCTTAAAGTTGAGTACTGTTACTATATACTTTGTATAGTTAATTAAGATATATTCCATAAATCTTTGCCAATCCTGGTATCACCATGATTTACATATTTAGCTATAAACTCACTCTAAAGTGGACATTGACATATTAGTTCCTGCCCTCTCATTGTGAATTGTGTATTCTTTTTTTTTAGCTGTAGATTATTTACGTTAATCACATCAGTCCGTAAAAAATTTCTTCTGCGTTGGAGTATCAGGTCAAGGTTGTTGACAGAACAGCTGTTGTCACTGCAAATGCCGAGACTATAGTTGTACAGCCCGCTGGTATCCAAGATGCGATTGACAGTGCAACTGGTAAAGCTTTCACTCTCTAGAAATCTGTATTCAAACTCTTTTATGAGTTGGTGAAGCAATTTTTGGGTTTGTCGGTAGCTTTATTCATTCCCTTTTTCTAATGGCAGTTTTTTTTTTTTTCCTACTATCTCTGAGTGATCAGCTAATCTTGACTTTTTTTTTTTTTTTTTTTTTTTATTTCTTTTTCACAAGAGCAGCAAAGTATCATCATGGACGATGTTTTATCCGACCATCAGGCACAGAGGACGTCATTCGGGTGTATGCAGAAGCCACCACCCAAGAAGAGGCAGATAATCTAGCTAGTGATGTAGCAAAGCTCGTAGATCAGTTCCTTGAATTGGGCAGCTCTCATTAAACAAATTGCCGGCTGGTTTTTGTTGTTGCAGGATTAGTTATAACATGGGAATTGCCTGCTTGTTTGCCTCAGTCAATCCCCTTTTTATAGATCAACGTCAGGGATTCTCTTGACATATGTATAACTGAATTAATTGTAAGTTTAAAGGTTTTACAGAAACAGGTTTTCCCCTTGATAACAGAAGTGGCATTACCAGATTTTTTTCCTCAATAATAATGGCATTTTGCTTGCATAAAAAGCACCATATTGTCAATTGTGTGATGTATCAAACTATCAATACATATATGTCTTATCAATTCATGCAAGTTTGATAAATGGCATTTGATGCTAAATTCTGTGGATTTGATTTTTGATAACTTGGCAGCTTGGCCCATCCTTAAAATGTTATAGACGCCCAAAAATTTTGACATACCATATTTTCTCCTTTTACGAAAAATAGTACAATAAAAAATGTTTTATGGTAAAATTATGTTATAAATTTCGAGTATGTTGCCTATTATGCTTATGCTGTCTATAATTTTGTCCTTTGTAACAAATAAATGTTATCTTTTTAATTCTAAAAATAAAATCAGCGTGATTTTTGTATACCTGGCCATATTGTGTGGCCGGCTGAGACAAACCCAAGCATTGACCGGGTAACAACTGATCGTCCAAGTAACCCTGATCGATTGAGTAACCCTTGATCAACCATTGACCGGGTAACCACTGATCGTCCAAGTAACCCTGTACGATTGAGTAACCCTTGATCAACCAAGTAACTCATGGCCAAGGCCAAGTAATCTCGATCACACGGTGTGACCAGCCACATATGAAACTTTGTGAAATAAAATATTATCTTTTTATATTACGAATTTAATTCATTTTATAATATAAAATTCAAGTTGTAAGCCAGCGAGTATCACAAAGTTTATTAGATAAATATACACTTAATAAAATATTTTAGGGTTTTTCTAAGCTATACGCCTAAGATAGTCGAGTTTCTAAAGTGTACCCATGTTTTTCAAGTTTCTAAGCTTTGTCCTTCAACTGCTTATCAATACTAAAATGTTCCCTTATTAGTTGTTTAAAAGTTAATTAAGAATGTGATATCGTGGCTTCAGTTTTCGTTAGTAGGGTTGCGGTGACTGAGATTTATTTCTTCTATCATTTCCTTACCTTTTATCATCTTATTATTAAATTTATAGTTAACTTTAGGTGACGTGGAAGTTCCAAAAAAGGCACCATTCATTAATAGCAGTGATTAGTGAGTTGAGGGACACAATTTAAAAATTTTAAAAAACATAGATACACTCTAAAAACTCGACTACCTTATACACATAGCTAAGAAAAATCTAATATTTTTTTTTTAAAAATACAAATAAACCGCACGAGCTTCGTCGAGCAAAAATTGTTAAGTGAAGTAATTGGTTTTCTCGATAGAATTAGAAGGATAAAGAACAAAGAAACCCTTCTACGTTTATTTCTCCCACTTTTGGAGCTTTTGCATCCCTTCCATCTCTCTGTCCTCCATCAAGCGTACTCTCAATACGCCATTGAAGCGGCTTGTTAGCTTTTCTCTCCTCCATTAAAGCAGCTTCTGAGGCAAGTTTTTTTTCTTTCTATTTTGTAATATTCGAATATCAATGTTAATCGTTATTTTTATTGCCAGCTTAGTCAATTTTAGGGTTCTTGATTATTGAACCATTGATTATTATTACTGATTTTACGAAAGATTATGTCTAGCGATTTCGTTGCTAGAATTTTGCTATTCATATTCTATAGCGAGATGAATTTATCGTGATTTTTCGAACCTACTTTGATAATTGATTCAATTTTGGTTGTTAATGTGTTGCGGGCTTTTGATATATATTCCTCTAATGTTGAGACGGAACTGTGAAGATGAAAATTATCCATATTATTTTGATTAGATTTTACAAGTCAACTAATTAGGGTTCAAATTTTTTTTTTTTATTTTTATTTTTTGGGTTCTGGTTTTTAAATTTGGCAACCCAATAATAGCCTGTGATCTTAGCGGAATCCTATTTTTGATGGGGGAGGTTGCTATGGAGCTTATAATGTGATACTTTGTATAAATACTTATATTTACTTGAAATATGTTAAGCTGATAATCATCTTCAGTAGCTTTTCATTTTTTTTGGTCATGTAATTGGCGGAAGTTTAGTTCTTTCTAGCACCCTTCCCCCCGAGAAATTCTTCAATATGGTTTAAATACAGCTTGGCCTTTTTAAATCTATTTTCAACTTATTGCAAGAGACTGTGATGTTCTGCTACTAACAATTGGTTGTTAATTGTCGGTTTTTTTTTTTTTTTTTTTTTGGCTTATGTTTGTTGTGGTGTGACAATGTCTAGGTTAAAGCTGATCATTTATAAATGGCGATATCTACATTGAGTGCCACTCCTGGAGTTTCTGTGGTGTTATTACCCCCAGGTTTGTGAACTTTTTTCTTTTCAATGCTCAAGTTAAATTGACTTATCTCATTGGGGTCTTCATCTGTTTGGTTGTTGGATAAAATTGTATATTTTGGGGAAGTTTTCGTGAAAGTAGCTAGCTGAATGATGTTGATTGAGATTATTTTGAGCTGCCTATGGAGTTAGCTCACATTACAAGGTGAAAGTGAAGTTTTAATAGCGTTTAGTTATGCCAGTAATCTACACCTTTATCCACATCTGAACCCTTTGAGAGTTTGAGGGAGGAAATATTTTCTAAAATCTGTACAGTAACCAATTTTTACGGAAGATCCCTTATGTGGTCTTTGTTGATAACAAAAGTTTGCTTTATATTTTTTGAGGTTCTGTTGTCTTCTACTATTGTTTTTTGCCAAGATGGCTTGGTGGTTTCTGCTTGTTCTGTGGTAGCTAACGGTAATACTTAATTGAATAGTGAGGTTTGATTCTCCAAGGAGGGGCCCATTAAAGCATGGTGTAGCGGGGATTGGTAAGGTGTCATTAGGTTTGAATTTTGAACGGAATTTGGGAAGGCTTGAAAAGCTATCATTATGTTTGAGTCACAAGCAAAAGTTAACCCCTATAACCAGAGTGCGTTCTGCTTCTGTGGTCTGCTCAGCTGCTTTGGTAAGCTCCTTCTCCATGAACCATTTGTCACTTCTTTGCCTATCAGAATCCTTTGGTTCTTTTTGCAATTTCTGTGATAATTTTTTGATACAATGATTAAAGCTTTAAATGGTAGAGTCTAGTACATTTGCATGTGAAACGTCAATGTTACATGAAAAACTTCAATTTTGGAATGGATGAACTGATTGATGCACAGTTGCACACAGAGCACATAAATGCTATTTTAGTGAGTCCGTCAACATACTCCTGGAGTTTATTTGTAAAACAGATGGGTTTTTCCATGAGTGTGAAAATAGATGGGCTATTCCACGAGTTTGACGATTTTAATCAAGTTGTAGATCTCTTGTTCTAGTCATCAGTTCCATGCTTTTATGTTCAGCTGTAGAAGTGGATACTTTATATACTCCTGAAGTTGCTAGAAATGCATATTTTGGATATTAATGGTTTTGCAAATTGCAATCCCTATTACTCTGAATAATCATTACTCTGAAAAAAAAAGTAAGGACTGTGAAATTCGTAGGGGATAAGTTTTGCTAATTTTTTGTAAAACATATTTTTATACAAAGATATAAAAATATAGTATGTTGGTATAATTTAATCTCAGAGATCTTTTGTAATATTAGTTGAAAACTAGAAACAATTCTCAGATCGAAGGGAACTTCCACTTTGCTTGTTCAGGGGATTCTTCTTAAAATCTGAAAGAGTTTGGATCAGGTTGGTGCAGGTGTTTAGAAGAGGGAATAGACCTTGCATGTTTGCACAATAAGGCAATGCAAGAGCTAACTCTTCACCATCAACTTCTGCAGTGTTTGATGCTCTGTACATCATGCTCAATTCTTGAATTATAGTTTTAGGACTCACCTTTTCTGATGACTTGTTAAAGGGTCACGTGACAATAGTTTACTTGTTTCATGTTCTTATGTTGCCTTATATGATCTTTATAAATAGCCATGCTAAACTATATCTTCCCATATTTTCACATTTGTAGAATGCAAGATGTGGAGCGGAAGGACAAACTCAAACAGTAGAGAAGCCTGTTTCTGTAATTTCAAATGCACCTGGTAAGTTTGTCATTTCTGCAATTCACGAAATGGCTGAGATTTTGGATAGGAGTCTTGGAACACTGTCTGAATTTTTGCTTAGAAGAAAACAATGATTATAAAGACTCTCTAGTATATCTATGTGGTCACTTTAGTTAAGGGAAGGAAATGCATGATTGTTTGATTTTTGGCTCTATCTGCCTGAGGTATTTTATGACCTGCTGGAAATGTAAAGATAGGTTGAATGTTGCCTTTGAATGTGGAACATACAAATTTGGGTGATCACTGATCAGTTGTAAAATGTTACTTCAGGGAAACGCCCATTTCTGGAGTCTCTTGGTGTCATTGACATCATTCTTAAATTTGTTTGCAGGTAAAGAGAAATCACCACTGCTTGATGATGGAGGAACTGGATTCCCGCCGCGTGATGATGATGGTGGTGGAGGTGGTGGAGGTGGTGGAGGTGGTAATTGGAGTGGCGGGTTCTTCTTTTTTGGGTTTCTCGCTTTCCTTGGATTCTTGAAAGACCAAGAAAATGACGGACCCTATCAGAATTCTAGACGGAGATAAATTGTTGCGTCAAGTATCTTTATGTAGTTACTATCTTGCAAGTCTTTTACGTTCTGATTATATGGTCCGCATAGTAATTTTCTGTAGCTCATGGGGTGATGCCCATAACGAAACGATGTATTGATTTGGCAACAAATGAGTTCCATAGTTGTTCCATATTGTATCATAGCACTGTATCATTTTTCACAATCTTTTATCTTTTAGGTCGAAACAATTCGTTAGTTCATCTAGCCACCAGTCACATACAACAAACGATATCAACTATGTTAGGCATAAAAAGTGGTAATAGCTTGTAGCCTTAACTATGACTAAAATCATAAATGTTGCCCCTGAGTGTTAAGTTGTGTTACCCTCGCATACAAACCAATCCGAATCTGCATTCGATATCAATCAATACCTATTCATCACTTCAGAACTTTCTTAAAAATCACTTTAAAATCAATATACCTATTCTTGACTTAAAAATCATTCAAAATATTTAGTCAATATCATTCAAGGTTGTGTCAAAATCAGTTTCTTTCAACTGGTTGTACGAATGACCAAAGTTCCAAATCCAAATACTGGTATATCAATTCCTTGTTCAATCTAATATCTACGTATAAACATCCCCATTCTCCAATGTTCATTTATAGCATTTTCTATTCACCTTATTTTCACTTATCTAAACTTAGTTTATCTTATTTAAATTTATCAGAATTTATTAGACCTTACTAGAACTTATTTTAGTTGCAATTTGAATTTGGGTAACTCTATCAAAACTTATTTTCCCTAAACTTATCTTATCTAAATTTATAAGTGAAAATAAGCGGAACAGAACAAGACCTTAAAGCTTTGATACTTTTTTTAGACAGGAAGAAAAAAGATTTTATTGATAAAAGATAGTCAAACGACACTTACAAACAATTCCAAAGAAATCTAACATTTCAAACACAAGTACATAACACCTTAGAAGTAATTATATCGCAGATTCAACCAACAATCGCCTTAAAAAAAAAAAAAAAAAAAACCTTCATCAGCAACAATACAAGTTGTGAGTTAGCACTAATTCGGCTTGAGATCCACAAATACATAGTCGTTGGGTGAAAATACTCATATTGTTCTCTAGATGCTTACGGAGATTATGAAACTCTAGATCTTTAATCTACGCAAACGAACAAACACAAAAAATTAAACACAATAGAAGAACCACCATCTCAAGGATGAAATCTAGTTATTGAAAGCAATAAAAAAGTTTTTGGGGCTTACCACCGGTATGTAAGAACACTAGTGAAAGCCCCTACAAAGATTCACAACTGAAACCAAGAATAAGAGAGAGGAAAGAGAAAGAGAGAAAAGGAAGAAAAATGAAGGAAAACATTTAAAAAAAACAGAAGAAACCTAGCAATGGAATGGGAGAAACCTAAAGAGAAAACTAGAAAAACCCTCCCAAGGAAAAAACCCTAGAGGGAACGAATAATGAAATCATAGTTACTTTTAGGGGGCGTTTGGTTCGCGGAATATAGGTATGAGGTATGAGTTTAGAATGACTAAAACCCATACCATATGTTTGGTTGTCAAAAGTAAGAATTTTAAACCCATACCTCAAACCCATGAGGTATGGGGTTTAGAAACCTTGGGGGGTGGTGGGTTTGTCCTATTCCATTCCCTTAGGTATCAAATAAAAAGAGGGAATGGTGAGAGATTTCATTCCAAAATGGAAACAAACACATGGTATTAAGTATTAAGTTCCAACCCGATACCACTTTAACCCCATTCCTGATTTCAAACCCATACGACCATACCACTCTGCGAACCAAACGCCCCTTAGAATACTTTTTAAATTAAACGCTAATAAATCACTTCATTATTGATTTTCCCTTAAGACTTGATACATGTGACACCTAATTATTGCTTTTTGTTATTATTATTATTATTATTATTATTATTATTATTTAATCTTAATAGCCACATAAAAACACCAAAAATAACCAACATTGTGGAAATGAGGGAGTATTTAATACTTCATGCTAAGGATACCCATTGTACAAAGAAATTATAATTCTACACAAATTGAAAAAAGTGTGATCAAAGAGTAGATATCATGCAGTTGTGAACACAATCATAAAACACCCGGTTACAACCAATTAACATCCTCTTATTTATTTTTTCCCGATACAATTCACATTTTACAGATTTTCTTCGATAGTATTCACACTCTATAATTTAGTCACACATATAGCCATATAGGTAATAAATTTGCACTTAAAATAACACAAATAGCCATATAGGCAATAAATAATAAAGTGGTAATTTAATAAATTAATAGTCCCACATTAGGTAAAACTTGAAAATGTCTATGTACTATACACCCTTTTAATAACTTTAAACTAATTAATTAATTAAAGTATTGTACTTGTATCCCTTCCAAAAAAAAAAAGTATTTGTATGGTTCAAAATGTTTTTTTTTTTTTTATCTGAAGTTAAAAAAAAAAAAAAAAAAAAAAAAAAAAAACCAAAGTGGATAATGGAGTGGCATCTCCACCACTACTACCACCATCCTCCACCATCCAAGGATGTTTTATGTCAGTCACGTGTGTCACGTGCGAAGGACAGGTTTTTAAAAATATATATTTTTTTATTAATTGTGTGAGAAACAAATAATTTATATCCATGACCAAAAAAAAAAGCCAAATATGGTGGTAAATCTCTAGATTCACTCCCCCTTTTTCTAGGTGAAAAAAAAAAAAAAAAAACCAAAAAGTAATTAATGATTTTAATTTTAATTAGCAAAGATAATCGCACACATTCATACTCGAAATAACGGCCATTTGACCCACTAATTAAAATCCCCGCAAAAATAATTTCTTATAATCTTATTACCCTCCAAAAAATATATAAATATTAAAGTAAAAATATTTATTTTTAGCGCAGAAAAGGGAAGAAGTTTGGGAGAAAGAAAGAGGAGAGAGAAAGTGAGAAGAGACATTTCATTTCTTATAAGCACAAATCTCAAGCAACTATTTATTTTCTTCCTTTTTTTTCTTGATTTTTTATTTATTTTTTTCCTTTTTTAATTTTTAATCTGGGTATATAAGTACGTAAATTAGTATCATACAAAACAAGGGTTGTGGGAGTGGACACTGAGTTATTATTATAGTCTCAATCACTTGCAACGGCTATTTCTGAAGTAGTGAGATTTTGGTTTTTGGGGGTGAAAAAGTTTGATTCATCTTATGGATTTATATAATGATAAGTATGTTTACTGTTATTTGTTCTTAATTTTTGTTTTTGATTTTTTTTTTTGGGATTATTTGGTTGATGGGGTTGGTTAAGGAATGCAGTTTTTATGATTGATTTTTCTGGATTTTGTGGGTTGATTTCTGAATTTTGCATAAAAAAATGCTTGATTTTTTTTTTTTTTTTTTTTTGGGGGGGGGGGTGGTTTTGATATGTATGAATTTTGGGTTTATTTGCTTGGTTTTGGTTGATTTTTGAGTGGTTAATCAGTTTTTAGGATTTGGGTTTTGACTTGATTACTGGGTTTTGTTGGATTTCTGAAAAAGTTAGGTTAATTTTTTTGGTGGGGTGGAGGGTTTGATTAGTAGCAGTTTTTGTGTTTTATCATGAAATTCTCAATTGTTTGTATGTTGGGCAGGAATTTGTGTATATTAATCTACATCTTGTTGTTGATTTTGATTTTTTCTAGCCTTGCTGCTTGGATTTAGATGCTTGACTGCATGCTGTACATTGGATTGGGATTTTAGCAAAATTTAGACATATACATCGTACATTTTGCTTGTTTACTTTAAGAATTTCAACAGCATGATAGCATTGCTGTATGTGAATTTGCATTGAGTGGATTTGTGGTGTTTTTCGTTCATAATTGCTTTACTTGTTTCGATGGGATGAAACCGTTGGGTTAAATCGTGCTATCTTGGTTTGGATTCATGTTTCCTTTGTTTCCGACTGTAATTTGTGTTGCATTTAGTTTGGTGTGCCTCTTATTAAGTAATTTTTAGTTTAATTTCATTGTTAATGATCTTTTGTTGTGACGAGTTTGATTGTTATGATTTGGTTATAGCTTCATATAATGATAGAAATGTATCTGATTTTGGTGCATCTTTTTTGATACTTATTAGGGAATCATGGAAATGGCCAGGGGAAGAGTATCTCCTTAGGAAGGATCCTAATTGTGGTGAGTTCTTAATTAGCCAATTAAGCCGTAAATACATTTGTAATTATTAGATTTTTTTGATGATATCTTATTAGTTCATTCATAGCAGATATGGCCAAGGCTAAATGTATGTTGAATGGTATGACTGTAACCCAAAATGAAGAAGACATTTCATACATGATTGAGGAATCCACTCCGATTAAGGCTTGTGGTGACTTGGCTTATCAATTTAGTAACTCTGGTGAGACTTCTATCTTTCAAACAAACCCCTTCAATTGGACAATTTTGTGTTTATTATCAAGTGTTTATGACACTGTTAGTTACAGAGATTATGAGTAAAACTCCTCATGATGGTAAAGAGTACACTTCTCAAGTTAAGCGACGGCGTGTGCTGGACTTTGATAATACTGCTGATGATATTACATCCTCATACCTCAAATCCAAGGTCGATTCTTGACTATTGCTTTATTTGTGTAGTTATTAATGTATGAAGTAAGAACTGTCTTTAATTAACGTATGTCCACCTGTTTTTATGTAATGCTGCTAGAGAACAATGTTCTGAGGCTTACCTAATAGGAATCTATTTCCTTTGTCCTCCTCTTCGTAAATGCGTTTTATGTTGCAGATACTCTGTCAAATACTTATGATCTACACAAATTATTCATGTATTTTCTATTCTCTTGGCACTTGAGCTTTATCTCTAGTGAACTTTTGATGTATTTTGGCATCCAAGTGTCTTTGGAACTTATGTAGAATTGTGGACATCAAATTCAGCATTGTTTGTTTTTCTGTACAGGAAAGGATTGATTCTTTCGATGACATTGATATACTACCTGAAATGTCAGAGTGGGAAGCTTGCTTGCAAGGTTTGCTTCTTTAGTCATGGGATTTGAATAGGGTTTGTGCATTTGTTTTATGACTTATATTTGACAATCTATTTTTTATCAGAGGATTTGTGTTTTGAGGATTTAGTTCAATCTGAAGCTTGGCTTGCTGATTGCCTTATTGACACCGACATGAATACTAGCTCCGATGATGGGTATGTAATTCACTTAATTTTTCAAATTCATGGTTATTTTCTTGATCTATTTGTTGCTCAGTGTGCTTGAATGGATCCCATTGAAATGCAGGAATGCTGCTGTCACATCTGACATTCAAATTGGTATCAATGGTATGCTTGATGCAAATTTGTGTAGTGTTCGTAAAGAAGTTTGTAAATACATGATCCTTGGTATTAATACCGATTTGTGTTTCCAGAGGTTTGCAATATCACACCTGATTCAGGAACCAGTATGTCACAGCGACCAGTCAGAAGTTCTCGAAATGTTATTTTTAAAGGTACTTTGCATTTCTTCTTGTGCTTTGCGTTTCAGTGACTCAATTCTTGGGCTTAATACCTATGATGCTTATACCTTGCAATACTATAGATGGGATTTATCTGACTATTTATCATCTGGTTGTTAATGAAACGCAGGCCGGAAGTCTTTCATGAGAGCACCAGCAAAACTTCCTTCCTCTGTTGCTTATCCATTTGATTTCATTAAACCCTCTGGAGTTCGTGGAGATGTGACTCTGAAAGATATAAATCAGCGGATACTTACTCCACCTCCATCGAAAGCCAAGCAAATTAAGGAAGACCCTGCCTACCCTACTTCAGCCTTTTCTGGGAAACCTGTTGTTGGAAAAAACCAAAATCCCTACTCAAGGAGGAAAAGGTAGCATCACAATTATGAGAACAAAAGGATGAATGGTAAGCCATCTTCCCATTTCCGCGGCTCCATTTTGCCCTTTTTGCTCTTATCATCCGGGGGCTGTGAAATGGTTTGGCATTATATTGCATGGTCAGGTTAATTATATCTATGCATTACACAAATGCACAACACATGGAAGTGTTAGTGCACAAAAAATGCAACTGTTGCAATATTGAGAGCTGATTTTTGTGCAAATCTTTTGGTTCTTCGGGCGGCTACAATTTCAGGGGTATTCTTTAGCCTGTTACAATATATGTAGCTTAGATTTTATAAATCCCTAAATTATTTTGGTGGTCTGTACATGGTTATCTATTGGTTCATGAAATACAAATTTCTTGATGTATCTACTTGATGTTGCTTCTAAACATTGAGATGAAAGGAAAATAGTTGTTTTTGAGGTAGAGATTTGCTTCTTATTCCCAAGCATTAATTATCATTGAAGCTTTTTTAATTATTGCAAATAATTGGTTTTAGTAATGTTATTTGGACCCAAAATTATGTGAAAAAGGAGGGTATGACATACAAGAAAAAGAAAGGACTAGTCCAATCAATGTGGTATAGAGTCAATGCTTTACTTGCATTTGATTGGACTGTTATAGGCTCCTTGGTTGGACTAATGTTACATATTGTAATTTTAATTTACGTTAGAATCGTGGTTTATGAGGAGTTTAGCAAAATTGGCAAGATAGGGGTGGGACTAAATTTGGGTCCAAGGTCGTAAAATTATTAAATTAACATTTTTCAGAAGCAGTTTAGGAAGCAATGAAAGTTTGATCTTCGGTTTGGATTTGGCTTAAGTTGTATCTAATCATAAATTCGATTTTGGATTTTGATTCCAATCAATTCCAAAATTTCTCTAATCATTTTTCAACCCAATTTGATTTAGAATTAGGGTGGTATTTTGATCCAACTTAATCATTTAAATTAATGATATTTCCCTTTTCTTGACAGGGCATCTCACTAGTTTATTGACCTTATTTTTTTATAATAATTTATATTAATATATAGATACAAAATTCATTCTTAACTAACCTAATTATCGAAAGTTTTATATAACTCTAATAAACCAACAAATTAAACCGAAAAAAGTCTAAACCTATAATTACATCCGTGTATTAATCATTTTAAAAGAGTTTACACCCTCAATCAACTCAATCTCATATGATTCAATAATGATCACATTCATATTAATAATTTGATTTGGATTGGATCAAATCCAAATATCATTGCTAGCACTAATCAATCACTTTTTACCATTATTGTAGGAATTTCAATATTCACTCATATATATATGTGTAGATTATATTATAACTAAATAATTTAGGATATTCATAAGATGAATAACTCTTAAGCCTAGGATTTTTTAGGGGACGTTAGCTAATAAACAAGCTCGTTGATTTGTTATAATAGATTAGATATATATAGGACGAAATTATAATGTACACAATTTTATCTAATGAAAAGTCGAAGATGCATGTCCTTCACACATCACACACACACATATATATACAAACTACCTTAATATTGTACTTGAGATATTAGGATAAACAAACATCCTTCTATTAAAAACGATAATTCTTTGATTGAAATTTCACTAATTAATCTCACTACTATGAAGCCTATAATTATGATTAGGATAAGTGTATAGAACGGATTATCTTAATTCCAAAATTTTAGGAACCAGTTTGGCTAGTTCCTATTCCGATTTGACAACCGGTTGTGCTCAACCTTAGTCTAAACACCAATAGATATATCAATGACCTAAAAAATAGAGTAAAATGTGATTCAACAAGTATTTTGGTCCTCCACCAACTGTACTTATCTCCTGGGAATTAGAGATAAAGTTGTGGGCATGCTTGCCTACTTTGAGGGGAAATTAAAAAAATAAACATATTGAATTAATTATTAATACTACACTAAAGAAAAGACGTTGGAAGTTATATTGTTAAATTTTTGTACTTTGTTTCTTTTTGTGTTTCCACCTTTGTTTGCTTTGACACTTTTATAACTTTTTTTTTCTAATTATTTTGCAAAGTTAAAGTTGGTTAGTAGCTTAATATGGCAATTAAAATTTAAAAGGGTTTTATTATTTGATTAATTTGGTTTTGGTAAAAGTTGTGGAAGTTCATTGAGATGCCCAAAATTCTCTTCTTTGAGTTGTCATTTTCTGATAAATTTGTAGCCTTTTCTTTCTTGTCACTGTTTATTTGTGGGACAATTCATAATTTCTTATGTAATAGTGGTTAGAATTTTTAATGCTATCACGTGTAACTTGGTTATTTTAAGTAGGGTATATGTGTATGTACTCGTTCGGATTAATCGTAGTAGATTACGTGGTGGTTTGATTAAACATAAGTGTATTAATTAGTTGTAAGTTTTCTTGTTTGTAATTTCATTTTTTCTTGAAAAAGGTTGTTAACTTCACCAATTTAGAAGATATGAAAACAATTTAGGTAGCAATTAGTTTTTTTACTTTTTTTTTTTTTCTCGAAAGAGTCATACCCTGTATTTTTGTAATCAAGCTTTACAATTATTTACTTTAATTAAGTGTCAAATAGACTAAAATTTATAGTAATTTATTTTCAATAACTTTTATAAATAATTTGACTTGTAAGCTCAAAATACCTCGTGTATTAGCATGAATACATTCTAATTCCTCTCATTCCAAAGTCATAAAATATCCTAGTGCAATCACAATTACTCGTGCATAGATGCATAATCCATTTACTACACACGTCTAACGTACGGAGCATGTACCATCCATTCATGATTCATCCTCAAAGATATACTAGTTGTAAAATGGAATACTGACAGAATTATAAATATATATAGGTAACAAATATTGTATGTGGACGCCACTAAGCATTGCTTTCAACTTCAACTGTAAATGTAAATGAGTTGAAAAGTCAAAAAGAAATGTTTATGTAATTTGAACGTGAAGCATGTCAGCTTTACCAATATCAGTATTAGGAGGAGAATATAGCATGGGCAAGATGTGGGAATTTGTACTTTGAAAGTTTTGATTGCTTTAAACTAATGCAACTTGTGTTTGTAATGTTGTTGTAATATGCTATCAATATGTCCTATACTTTAATTTGGGTCGTGTTTAGGAGGATGGCCCAAAGCCTTCATGTTTAGTAATGGCTAACTAATAATTTGCGTCAATTACATCCTCAATAATCAAAAGACAACCGACATGCCGTCCAATCGTTAGTAGAATATTACAACAGACTCAAACGAGCCAACTCTATACATTACAGAGTATCTACAGATTCACGATAAAAAGAGAAGAAAAAAAAAAAACTAAATGGGAACTGGCTACACTAGAAACTCAATCACCTAAGCAACATCTTCCATCTTGATACATAATAAAACTATACATAACTGTGTTTTTTCATATGTATAAATCACAAATATTAATGAAAATGAAGTTTGTGAACAATGAAATTTAAAGTATATTCCGTAACAATTTTGTGAAACGGAGGTAGCATTAGATTTAGCCTTTAGGAGGTTAGAGATAATTTTAATGGCTCCCTCTAATCCTCAATCCTAGAAAACTTTTGCATCAACCTTATAAAGCCGTTGCAATCAAATAAAAATGGAGGGAAATAAGTAGTCAATTGAATATTTGAACAAGGCTATATTTGGTAGCCCATGGGCTCTGGCCAATCGGCCCAAGTACCCAAGCCTGTTATAATTCTATCATCTTGCATGGCCCAATTGTTCCTGGGTAGGCCCAATTGTAATTCTTAGCATAAGCCCAAATGAGGCCCAACTTAAATTCTGTGCTTTAGCAAAATATAAGGCCCAAAGTTAGGCCCAAACCAGGAAGATTGAACATGTTGCGTAAAAGGTTGATTGAATTTGATTTTCCGGATTAAATGGGTAATGGATTTGGGCGGCAAACGTTTGGTTTATATAGAAACAAATTGCTGACTTTGATTTTCCCCAGAATTATTCACGGATGAAGAATGTCTCGAACCCAGAATTTAACATACGAAGGTATTCTGAAACAGAGCGTGCATGCTCTGACAAAGATCCGTTGCTAAAACAGGATATTCGGTAATTTTGGGAGTTATGGTATCCTAATATCGGGTGTCAATTAGTTTAGTTGGTTTAAAATTTTAGAGTTTGTGTTTTAAATTTGACATACGTAAATGATTATTTTTTGTAATATTTATTGTTTGTGCCTCTCTTTAAGATTCTTTATAGAATTAGAAAGCTTTTACAATTTTTGATACCTGAGTATAATTAAAGGAAAGCACATTTTGTGAGGGTGTATGCACATAATGTCATTTACGTCATGCATAACAACTGCATGATATAGAGTATAAGATAATGTGCGTGTACAAGTATTCCATGTACACATGTCTTTTTAACGCGAGAGTTTTTCTAGCCTCCAATCTCCATTGCTAGATTTTTTCTGCTTTTTTTTTGAAGGTTTTCCTTCACTCTTCCCCGTTTCTCTCTTTCTTCTTCATCTCTTTTCTTCTGATCTCATTTGTGAATCTTTATAAGGGCTTCCACCGATGGTAAAGCTCCCCAAAAATAATTTTAATTGCTTTTAATAAATGGATCTCATCTTTAAAATCTGTAAGATGGTGGTTATTCTATTAGGCTTAATTCTACTTTTATCGTTTGCTGAAGATTGAAAATTTAGGGTTTCATAATCTCCAAAAGTATTTAAAAGACCATGTGAGTATTTTCACTAAAACAACTATTCGTCAGTGGATCTCAAGCCGAATTAGTGCTAACTCACAAATTGTATTGCTTTAGATGAATTTTTTATTAAGGCGATCGTTGATAGAATATGCGATATAACTAGTTCTAAGGTGATTTGTACTTGTGTTGGTATTTTAAATTTCCTAGGAATTGTTTGTAAGTGTCGTTTGACTATCTTTAATTAATGAAATCTTTTTTCTTGTCAAAAAAAAAAAAGTAAAAAAAAACAATCACAATTATCTATAATGGAAATTGATCAACTTCCTAAAACTGAAACCTAATCAACATGCTTTAAATTTGGTACAAAAAAACAGTCGAGGCTTGGATAGTTTTCGTTAGGCACGTCTTTTTTTTAGCCAAAATGTAGACTTGATCCTACTCCTTGCCCCAAAAAAGCCACCACTTTATTTTTTTTTGTCAAAAACTCGAACAAATTTGTCCCATGAGTTCAATTATCTCCATTATATAAGTCAACTTCTAAGAAGTTTTGTGCCTATCTAATTCTATTATCAAATACCCGAACAAGTTTGTCCTTGAGTTCTATTATCTCTATTACATCAATCAACTCTTGAGAAGTTTGATGTCTACGTAAAATACCTAAAATGTCATTGTTTTGAAAGGTGAAGCATATTGCATTCAATCACGTATAATGAGCTACTTAGTAGTTTATTAGTAGTATAAGGTAACTCTTACAAAATTACCTTTTTTTATTTTTTTTTTTTATTTTTTTTAAGGTATTCTTAATTTCTTATCAATTGCATAAATCCAACTGTTAGATTATGTATATAATCTAGTGTTTAAGTTTGTATTTTTTCTAATATAATATATCCTTAATCCTAACCCTAGTATACTCTTGTATATATATATAGATGTTTAATAAATGAAAAAGGCACAACAAATATCTCTCATGTTTTATAAATATACTTTATGAAATTTAAAACAAACATTGCTCGTATTTAGATCACTACTATAATACAAGTAGTATAATTCCTCTTCTCCATCATCTATCCGAGGCACAATATATCTTTGTAGTAAAAGAACATTATATGAGGAAAAGCATATTCGATTATCCCACATCAAATTCTTTTACGATCTCATTATTCATTATAAAATAAAGCACTTCATATTAAACAATACTCAAATCTCATTATAAAACAAAATCAATTGTATAACTTGATATTTTCGTAAGCATCAAACTTCCCCCCTTCTCCTTCTTTCAACACCCAGTAATATCATCAGTTTGAGCACAGAAAACGCATAAAATTATGTCAAAGCTCTGAAACCAATCAACAATGGCGTTAATTTATTTGACTTTCTCTCTCCTACTATTTTCTCTCTCCTCTTCTTCAGCTCAAATCCCGACCACTCTTGATGGCCCGTTTAAGCCCGTTACTATGCCGTACGATGTCAGCTTGCGCGGCAACGCCGTCGATTTGCCGCCGTCTGATATTAGGGTTCAGCGCCATGTTAATGGGTTTCAACCTGAGCAGATTTCTGTCACTCTTTCTTCTGATTATCATTCCGTTTGGATTTCTTGGATCACAGGTTCGAATTTGATTTTTGGAAAGTAATTGAGCTGAATGATTGGAAGTTTTAGCAAATTTGAGCTATTTTTTGTGTAAATTTGATTATTCTTTGTTGAACTTGAGCAATTGATTGCAGAAATGATTGAATTTGAATTTTGAATTGATTGCATGGTATTTTAGTGAATTGATTTGGAAAGTTTGTTTGCGAAATTGTTTGATGATGTTGTCATTTATTGCATGCATCTTAATTGGTTACGTAGTTTCTCTATGTTCATTTTTCTAATTAGTGGTTTCGGGCCGGGTAGTCGGGTTGATGTAACAACACGAAATAATTAATACTTGTATTGCTTAAGATGCAATTTGACGTTAATTTGAATCAAGGAAATTGATTTATTAAACATATATGCTGTGTTTTTATTCATGATAGTGATGATGTCAGTTTTAATTGCCAAATTGTTGTAGAAAACTATACTTTAGACATAATTAATGGTTAAGAATTTGCATGATTGTCTTGGTGGGTCTTATTAAGTTATGCCAATTTGAGGTTAGTTCTGTAATAAAGATTAAAACTTTTGATAATTTTTTAATGAATTCATTTATTATTTACCTTGCTTGTGATTTCTGATTAAAATAAACATTTGAATATTGAAATGAGTATATATATCTAATCTTGCAAAACAACTTTTTGATCAAGCATCATGATTTTGGAACTGATTGTCATGTAGATGGAGTAATTTGAACTAATAACGCGACAACTAAATCTGTTAGTATTAAATATTAAGTTAATGTCAAGCACTAAAGCTGATGTATGGTTATTTTTAGATTTATGTAGTGGGTTTTGTTGATAGCATCATTATTATTGTAGACAGTAGCAATGGTTCTATGTATATGAGTGTAGATTTGGAACACAATTACACAATGATGCTTAAGATATGTTATTAAGATGCAAATGCTGGATGATTCTTTTTTTTAGGGGAATTCCAGATTGGATATGACATAAAGCCGTTGAATCCTGAATCTGTCAAGAGTGTTGTTCATTTTGGGGCATTGCAGCACACATTAACTCATGAAGCAACTGGATATTCTCAAATTTACAGTCAGCTTTATCCTTATGAAGGCCTTCAGAATTATACTTCTGGAATAATCCACCATGTTCGTCTCACAGGTATATTGGATTCTAATAATTATGTAAAACTTTAGTTACCCTGGTGAATTAGGGTTAGAATTTGAAAACCTTCCAATTTTGCATCCTCGTAAAGTTAATACAATATCATGTGGAATGAGAAAGCAAAGGTAGAAACAGCAAGAACTTTAATTGGAAAGGAAAATGTCTAACTATGGGTTTTATCATAATGATTTTTACAACCAATAAGGTATTGGCCTCTTTGTAAATGTTGTAACCTTTCTGTTAAGATTGATCTCCTCCTCCGTATCTTGTTTCCTTGCATGTTTATCAATAACGTATTACTTATGAGGAAAGTAAGATCCTTTAGAATTATAAGGATAATGTTGCTGGAAAGAACTAATGTGCAGAACATGATTTTAGAACCATGTTACTTCAGTTGTTATTCTTATTCTTGATAGCATTGTTATTTAACCTCACACTTGTTGTACTTGTATATTATGCCTGGAGTTGTATTATACTTCATAGCATTAAACCTCCACGAAAGTTTGGCAAATTGGTTGCACATTCTGAGCTCTGTCTGGTCTTTTTCTCTGTGTAGGGTTGAAACCTAATGCATTGTACTACTATCGATGTGGAGATCCCTCAATACCAGCCATGAGCGGCCTGTTCCATTTCAAGACTATGCCTATTCCTGGACCTCATAATTATCCTGGAAAAATTGCAATTGTTGGTGACTTGGGTCTTACATATAACACAACAGCCACCATTAGTCACATATCTAGCAATCAACCAGATCTTCTTCTCCTGGTTGGTGATGTGACTTATGCAAACCTGTATCTCACTAATGGAACTGGCTCTGATTGTTATTCCTGCTCTTTTCCAGAAAGCCCCATTCATGAAACGTACCAGCCCCGTTGGGATTATTGGGGAAGGTGATGCCAACCTCATTTCCATATCTTCACTATATTGATTGTGGCAGAAATCTTTACACTTGCAGATATCCTCCTATAGTTATGCTGACTTCCTATGAAATGATTCTTCACAGGTTCATGCAGAATTTGATATCTAGGGTTCCGATAATGGTGGTTGAAGGAAATCATGAAATAGAGGAACAAGTTGATCATAAAACTTTTGAAGCATACAGTTCCCGATTTGCTTTTCCATCAAAAGAGAGCGGATCAACATCTACATTTTACTATTCGTTTAATGCCGGGGGAATACATTTCATAATGCTCGGGGCTTATATTGCTTACAATGAATCAGGTATTCTGAGTTCTTTTGATTATGTGATTTTCTTGCATCTAAAAGTGAAAATGTCCATTTCTAACTTGTTCTGTTCAGCTGATCAATACAAATGGTTGGAGAGAGACTTGGCTAAAGTTGACCGAGATGTGACTCCATGGCTTGTTGTTGCATGGCATCCACCATGGTACACTTCTTACAAAGCTCATTACAGAGAAGCAGAGTGCATGAGAGTTGCAATGGAAGACTTGCTATATTCCTATGGTGTAGATGCAGTCTTCAACGGACACGTAAGTACCATAATGTCACATATGATACACGCAGAGTAGAACTCATTGGATTAGATTAGTGATCCATTTACTACATACCCATCACAACTTAAGAGCAGATATGTTAATTTAAGCCATCATTGAATGATTGCATTTGACGGACTTGAACTTAGTTCTTTTACATAGATATGACAATTAGCTTTAAAATTTGTGTGTTATGCTATTGCAAGCCTTCATTGAGTGAAGGCAGTCAGCTGATCAGAGCACAGTTCTTTGACAAAGGTAGACATGATGTTTTTTTTTTTTCCCCCGTAAGTGAATGTGTCTACATAGTCAAGGATTCAGAATTAAGTGCAAGTGCACTGCTTGCAATTGGCTGTTATCTTGCATCTCTTCTTTGCTTTTGTTTTCCTACAATCACCTGAATTCTGCCACACTGCTGAATAACATTGCTGGATGCAACTTCAGGTACATGCCTATGAGAGATCAAACAGGGTATATAATTATACCCTAGATCCTTGTGCTCCTATTCACATCACAATAAGGGATGGGGGTAATCGAGAGAAGATGGCAGTTGAGCATGCTGATGAGCCTGGAAATTGCCCTGAGCCATCAACGACTCCAGATAAATTCATGGGTGGCTTATGTGCTGCAAACTTTACGTCTGGTCCAGCTGCAGGCAACTTCTGCTGGGATCGTCAGCCAGATTTCAGCGCATACAGAGAGAGTAGCTTTGGCCATGGAATTCTAGAGGTTTCCTTTTCCCTATTCTTATCCTATTTATTCTTGCAGAATTTTAGTTCATGCACTTAATTGTATACATGCCTGATGCCTCCCATTCAAGCCTAATAAAATCCTTCGTGGTTATATGATTTGCAGGTGAAAAATGCAACTTATGCCCTTTGGACTTGGTACAGAAATCAAGATAGTGAGAAAGTGGCTGGAGATCAGATTTACATAGTGAGGCAGCCAGATGCCTGCCCTAACCAACGCAAGGTAACTAAAGGGTGGTCTGATGCTAGATAAATTACTCGGAAGCAATGGTGGATATTTGTTGGGCGTGTTGTCTAAATTATGCATATATATATCATGGCTTAGTGGGTACATGTCCAACTTTTACATTAAAGTTCAAGGTATCAAATATTGGCTCTTTATTAATGGTCCAAGATTAGCCACTGCTCAGAAGACTCGGGATAATTGTACTCTGGTAGGTTAGAAAAAGAAAACTCTCACGTTGCCACCCAGATCTTAGACTGGTGATAAAACGCGGCCCCAATTCCATAGGCTGTAGGTAGTTTTGTATTGAAGAAAGTCATGGAGTATTATAATGGTGGAGCACCTCATTTTTTCCCCGATAGGTTACTTCTGGCATTGGCCAATATTGTTGTTGTATCATTAGTGATTTGTTAGAAAGATGTAATTTGGAGTATGCTGCTTTTGTACATACGCTATTGAATTCTAATTATAATTTACCTCATTTACAGCGTGAAGTATTTTTTTCAGATGTAAACTTGGCCATAATGTTGATCACTGTCTGTCTGAAGCTTTCTGTAGGTATGATTTGCTCTATTACCCTCTTACCTAACGAAGAGGAAAATAGGATCAGAAATAAGAGAGCTAAATTAACACATAATTCCTCAATTTTCACAAGCTCCTGCAAGAATAAATGAACCTCCTGCAGTAGGATATCGGTACTAACATGTTCCGTTTAACTGGGGAAGGGATCTAGCTACAAGATGGGATACATACTGTGTGACTGTTACTCTTCCTCTTCACATAACTGAGTCTAAAACGATTAGAGATGAACGATAATGTGAAGACGAAGATCCAACAGCTTTACAATTTTGTCTTAGATTTCACCTTTTGAATCAGCCCCAAAACCTTGCATTCCCATACTACCGAATTTAAACCAAGATGCTGTGCAATCTTCAATCTAAATGCGCCAGCCAAAGCCTTAGCCACCTCCACTGGCCCTAGCCTTCTTCTTCTTCGCTTCCATGGCTAACAGTTCCTCTCTTTCTGTCTCACCCACTGTGGCATTCTGATGAAAAGCAGCATCAGTAGTAGGTCTGAATATATCATATCATCTGTAACACACTTCACATAAGCATTACAGTCCGATAGCCTTTCGCAATTAGAGCTATCTTAACATCTGAATATGCCGCAGACAGAACCAATCCTTGACCGTTCCTCTGGGTAAACCACCACCACCACCATTTGACCTTAAACATTAGTAGGTGGTCTGAATATACCATATCATCTGTAATTTTGTAGTTCCGACCAATTATAAAATGACATACAACCGTATTTTATCGACAAGGTTACTTAATTTTCCTACTCATAGTTTGCTAATGAGATTAATGCATCTGTAGCTAATTTAGCTGAAGTAAGATCACTGATTTAGTACAAAAAAGTTGAGTTGACAATTTGACATTGACCCTTACTTTAGTTTATACGTTGTGATTTATGCATATTAGAGCACGTGAAATTTAATCATAAATTAGTGAAGTGTGAACTCGACCCACTTTAAAATATATGGTCGTCATGTAGTTATGTTACAGTATGATGCTCTCAACTACCAGAGAGTCGCAAAACTGCAAAAGAAAGTGAATTCATATACTCTAGATAAAGTATCCACACAAAATAATCCTTTATGTTACTCTTCTTGTCTTCTCCGTCCAACTTGGAAAACGAAATTCTTAACACAATTCTCCGTCCAACTTGGAAATTGAAATCCCTTTATCATTTTGACAAATTTCAGGTGAGACGAACTTCTGAAAACTCTTACAAAAGACTCACTCATATTTTGGTATAATTGTGGCTAATTTTATATGGTATACATTTTTTCAAATATCTTTATATTAATTGCAACTAATTTTTCCAAATATCTTGTAGTAAGATGGAACACAAGTGTTCTAAAAGTATGAGTTGATGGAACAAGTGTTGAATATTAGACCTCCCAAGTATCACCACATGTAAGTGTCCCACATTAATTGAAAAAGAGAGAGTTAATTACTTTATAAGGCTAAGGGGCTACTCCTCCTATTGACATATGGTTTTGGGATGGAACCTCCTTTGGACTTGTAAAGTGGACTCTCTCTCTTGGTTTGTGGGTGCGACTCAGACCCGTATTTAACCACTGCAATTGAGAGCTATGTTACTTGGACTTGGGTACCTATGTCTGACACGGGTACGTGTCCAAGCGTCCGATTTGGCTATTTTGTGAAATTCCATGATTTTGAACTAAAAGTGAAGTGTTCGGGTGTCATACCCATGTCCGACCGTCGAGGGTCTGACACGATATATGAGGTGAAATGAAGAGAGTCCGAGTAACATAAATTGGGAGAGTGAAGACTCCAAGAGTGTGAGATTCTGGGACAAGAAATAATAAACAAATGTTGATTTTAATGCTTCAATTTGAGTTTTCGGTTACTACTCATATTAAACATGGGATTAATTAATTATTATTTTTTTTTTGATAAAAACGTTGATAAATTTTTCTTTGGTATTAAATTAGATCCAGATTCGTCAAAGTGATTAATCTAATCGACAATGGTGCAATCGGTATTGGCATTGTACACCATACATGTGTCACGAACCAGTTAGATTCCATGATTTTGAACTAAAAGTGAAGTGTTCGGGTGTCATACCCATGTCCGACCGTCGAGGGTCTGACACGATATATGAGGTGAAATGAAGAGAGTCCGAGTAACATAAATTGGGAGAGTGAAGACTCCAAGAGTGTGAGATTCTGGGACAAGAAATAATAAACAAATGTTGATTTTAATGCTTCAATTTGAGTTTTCGGTTACTACTCATATTAAACATGGGATTAATTAATTATTATTTTTTTTTGATAAAAACGTTGATAAATTTTTCTTTGGTATTAAATTAGATCCAGATTCGTCAAAGTGATTAATCTAATCGACAATGGTGCAATCGGTATTGGCATTGTACACCATACATGTGTCACGAACCAGTTAGATGGCGACGGCGTGCGCATGGGAATGCCCCTCCTTGCCCATAACACTAGGGAAAGCACTTCAAATCTCTTAGTAAAGACCCACATATCAGCGTTTTTTTGATGTGGTTAGCCACACTGTGCGACAAGCTGACACACACACCAAAACACTGACCGAGTAACCCTTGACCGACCGAGTAACACATCGTGTGACCAGCCACATATGAAAATTTGTGTAACACTATTTGTAAGTTGTGACTATCATTTCTGAACGAGAGAGCGCAGCATTGATTTAGACCTTTGTTTATGTTTGTGTAAATTGGGACTTGGATCATTGGAAGGAGTACTTTGGACTTTGGAGTGAAGAGCACTGCAAGTTAAAACAGATGGTGCATGTCTGAACTCTTCATTTAAGTATTTATTTTAACCGACCTTTCATACGAGTACAAAATATAAGTCAATCGGTGAGATTACACTATTAGAAATAAAAAAAACACACTAAATTTTTTTTTTTTTGAAAATGAAAAAACAAAGAAAGAAGAAAAAAGGAAGACTTTTCTCAAATATATCATCCAAATCAAATGTCCATGATTAACGCGGTTCAATTTTCAAAAGGAAATTATGGTGGTTGAGAGTGAGTCAACAAAGTCATAATCATGCACTAAAACTCTCACATAGTCCACATGTATAATTTGACTTTCTTTATATAAATAACGCTCCAAAAAAAATCACAATTCAACAACCACAATATTTTCTTCCAAACTTTCAAAAGTTTAGCTAGGCCACAATGAAGGCAATCCAACCCACCATCAACCACCACTTCACAATCACTCGCCGCCTTCCACGGCCGGTTCGTGCTCAACAAGAACTTCTCTTCGACGACACTAACTGGTCGTCTAAGGCGTCTAACCCGGCTACCCGTTTAGCCAAATCACTTACCCATATGTTACATAACCAAATTGAATCCATACACACCCAAAAAACATTAACCCAATCTAACTATAGCACCATTTTAGAGGACAAGAGTAACACCCCTATATCATTTCCTAAGGATGATATATCAAATAATTGGGAGGAATTTCATGGTGCTAATAATTGGGACAACCTTTTAGACCCTATTAACCCCTCTTTAAGGCAAGAGCTACTCAAATATGGTGAGTTAGCTCAAGCAACGTATGATGCATTCGATTATGATCCATACTCCGAGTATTGCGGTAGTTGTAGGTATAACCGAAACAAGCTCTTTGAGAAGCTCGGGTTAACACGACACGGATATCACGTTACAAAGTACATCTACGCGACTTCTCAAATTGATCTGCCTAGATGGCTAGAGAAGTCGCAAGTGGCCGAGACTTGGAGTACGCACTCGAATTGGATGGGGTTTGTCGCCGTTAGCGATGATGAGGAGTCACGCCGCATCGGTAGGAGAGACATTGTAGTGGCATGGCGAGGGACGGTGTCTGCATCCGAGTGGTACGAAGATTTTCAGCGTAATTTGGAGACATTTGGGCACGGTGATGCCAAAGTAGAGGAAGGTTTCCTAAGCATTTACACTACGAAATTTCGATCTTCGAGGTATAACAAATCAAGTGCTTCAGAACAAGTTAATACATTATTACAAGAAAAGAGGGGAAGAAGTTAGTCTTACAATAACAGGGCATAGTTTAGGTGGTGCCTTGGCTCTGCTCAATGCATACGAAGCGGCTGCAATATTCGTCAATCTTCCTGTTAGTGTCATATCTTTTGCTGCACCAAGGATTGGAAACTCGGTCTTCAGAGACGAGCTACACGAGCTAGGAGTCAAGATACTACGCGTTGTTGTCAAACAAGACATCGTTCCTTGGACAGCAGGAATGGTCTTTAACAATGAGAGCTTACAGAATTTTGATGAGATTACAGGGGGATTACAGTGGATTCACCCTCATGCTGGTGTTGAGCTGAAGCTTGACGCGAGAGCTTCTCCGTATTTGAAACGAGGGTTGCAGTTGCTAGGACATCATATGCTAGAGACTTACCTGCATTTGCTGGATGGTTATGAAAGTTCTAAGGTGCCTTTTCGGCCTGATGCTACAAGGGATATAGCTTTGGTGAACAAAGAGTGTGATCTGTTGATCAACGAGCTGAGGATACCGCCTCGTTGGTACCAGGTTGCGAATAAGGGTCTGGTTCAGAATGCTTACGGGAGGTGGGTTAAACCCAAGAGGGATCCTGAAGATATACCATCCCCTACTAGTGAATCAGCTAATTGTAATGAAATGCAATATGTACTTGGTTATTGAATCATAATTATAGTTGTATATATAAGTTCTTGCTGGCACAATCTAATTCTTATCATACTCAAATCATGAAGCTTAAGGTTAGGGGGTTGGGGGAAGGGGTGTACGAGCTATTGCCCCGAATTATTAGTCAATCGTGCTAGATGAGCATGAAGACCCAATTTCAAAGGCGATTTTTGATATTCCTAACATATATAGGGATGTGTTAGAGTTCTTGACTAATTAGAGAAGTGATATTTTTGAGGATAAATTCCTCAAGATTGAATCCTTTTACCCATCTCGACATGGTGTTTTATCACCAGGAGGGATACAGGTAGAGGAGCGCGTTCACAAGATCAAAGAAAGGCTAACAACAGCATGAAAGGATAGAGGATCACTTTATCTAACAGAGTATTTTTCGACACAATTACACATAGGGGACCAATGCAGTCTACTTACTAAGCAGAAAACTAAACATAGTTAATGTTAGAAAAAGGGAGGGGGGTTCACAGACTGATAGTGAACTATCATTATTAATTTTCAACAATGCTTCATGTGATGTTTGTGCATGTATATCCTTTTCTGACTCAGCTTCCACTGATAATTTTCATTATCTATACAAGCAACTATGAATGCTGATTCAGCTTTTCTGATGATCATGAATGCTGTTTTCTGCAGCACATATGCTAATCAAATATGTGGGCTAACCACATTTCAAGTACACAAATTCAAGCAACTATCCTTATCTTGCTACCACAAGTCCACAATGGACATCCTCCACCAAAAGCGGCGAAGGGCAAAATCACAAGTTCATAAAACAAGGCGACACCAGATGTTATGTTACTATAGATGATCATGTTCGTAAGAAGATTCCCAGGATTTCGAAGATGCCATACATATCTCCGATTGAATCTTAATTTATGAGTATTGTCAGTTATGATAAAGCATCAGTAACCTTGTTTTGTTTGCCAGACAAGTACCGAAATTTCAGCTGATGCTGATGCTTGCACATCTCACAAATTATAGACTGAAATAGATCGTCCACCAAACAGATCACTGACTCATATCAAATTTTAAAAAATATAGAAGATAATATTATATTATAGAGGTTTGATCCAGCAACGGACCTTACACATATAGTTTCATAAATCTACTATTGACTAATAAGATACAGTATACATACACAAGCAGATATCATTAACCATGAGATAAAAATAAAGGAAAAAAAAATCCTTCCTAATTCTCGAATGGCATTCACAACCCTAGACTGATAAACTTGAGCTGAAGTTGGTTAGACTGTATTCTCTTGACATATTCAGATATTCATCACCAGTTTCCCCACATTATGCAAGAGTCGAGTTTTTACAGGCCAAGATCATAATAATTGAAGCATTACCCTTAAAAGATATCCAAAATCTCCAAGATGAAATTATTGCAAAGTGGACAGTTCCCCCTTTGAACAAACAACTCCCTTGAACATAATCTGCAAAACGTATGGCCACAAGGAATGAACGCTGCACCTTTATGCCTCACCATACACACACAACAAGAAAACTCTCCTTTCCCCACGTCCTGTACCTCTTCTTCCACCTCCACCTCTTCCTCTTCTTCCTCTTCCTCTTCTTCGTCATCCAACCTGTACGTAGGCCCACTAATCCCAGCTTGTCGATCTGTTTCCTCCAACAAATCCATCAACGACATTCGCAATGGCTGGTTTGCTGGAGGCCCCAGATTAGGGATTCCTCCTCCATCCTCGTCATCATCAACCTCATCCTCATCTCCACGAGGGGACACTTCAATTTCATCATTCTCATTCCTACTTCGATTACCCTCATCTAGCTCCCTTGACAGCCTCCTACGAGTCTGCTCCCTCTCAGCAGCCAAAGCCGCAGACAGCCTGAAGCTACTGCCACCCCTAGGAGACCCACCACTATCAACCTCCCTCAAGGTCAGATCATCAGCTGGAACAGTATCAACTCTCCTGAGCGAACTGCTTCTAAGGGAGTTTCTATTCGCCATCACTTCACCTAATGATGATCTTGAGCTAGGTATCACGTCTGACTGTGGAACCGGCAAAGAAGATGTCCAATTCCTTGAATTTGGATTCTGATTCTGACTAAAATTCTGATTCCTCTTGAGCTTAAGGCGGTCTTTAAAAGACTTCCATGTCTTCTTTCCGTTGGGGGATCCTCCAGCACTTCTAGGGGTAAGGGTCTCGTCGTTATGAATAACCTCAAGGAGGGTTCGGACAACTATATTAGCTGGTGGTGGTGATTTCCTGTCACTATTAAGTACAGCACCCAGCGTGACGTTTGACACCCTTCTTGGGCTAGTAGTGCTATTAACTATGGAAGAATTATGGCTAAATTCGCGGTTGATTGCATCAGATAGATCGGCTGCAATGAAGGTGTCGCGAAGGGTGGAGTGGTGGGACGTCAGTCTCCCAGAAGTAACAGCAGTAGCTACGCCACCACCGTCACTATCCATTCAATCTGTACTTTACATACAATTTTTCCCAACAAAACATACAATCAAAATCTCATTCATATTCTTACATTACAATCAATTGCATCACAATTCAATCAAAATATATCTCATCATAAGTAATTATGCAACATAATCATCATATTCAATGTTTATAAATCATAAAAAAAAAAAAAAATTAAACACAGAAAAACAAAGATTTGTCTTCATAGAAAATCGCGGTTTACATTTGTTTTTTCTGCTTTATATTATTGAGATTCACAATTCTGTTACTACTAATAAACAAATTAGAAACTTCACATTTTCAAATTCTATATACTTTTATATATAAATTGATAAGAAAAATAAAAAAAAAATTGAATCAAATTCTTATACAAATAGGACAAATTCACCAGAAAATAATACCTTAATAATTATCTCAAAGCATAGAAAATATTGCAGGAAAATTGAAAAATAAAATACAATTTTAGCTCAAATTAGTTTAAAAAATAAAAATAAAAGCTCACCAAATTTTTCATTGGTAAATTGCAGAAAATTAGCTGATAATGTAACTCAGATTAATGATGAACAAATTGTAGAAGAGCAAAAGATCATCCAGAAAAAAGTCAAAAAATGAGAATTTTTTTCATGAAATTCAAAACAGCAACAGTAACGAAAAGAGAGGAGAGAGAAAATGTAAGAATACCTAAATTTGTCCGTTATTTTGGATACAACCGCTTCAGATCTGACCCTATTTTTGTGCAGCTTCAATGGCGCCCAATTTCTGAATTTTCGGAAATAAAAATTGCCAAAAAAAAAAGAAAGATAAAATTCCCAAAAAAGAGGAAAATTAAAAGGGGAAATTAAAATTAATAGGAAGATAATAATGGAGTTAATTTTATATTTTTGGGGGAAAAATCTATGTTGTTAATATTTGTCTTTTGGGTATCTATTTTTGACTTTTGTTTGGGATTTTTATTTTATAAAAATGAAAATAATAATAATATGAGACGTTATCTGAAAATGTGTGCTCCAAAGTGGTGAAGAGATTTTTTGAGAGGGGACTTTTTGGAGTGGATGATTGAGTACAGAGAAAAATTAAAAATAAAGAAGAGCGAGTCTTTCTCGTTTTGTAAGCTCAAAACTCAAAAGGGCCTCAGATTCCCTTCTTTTTGCGCGACATGTCCTTTTGGTGACCCCTTTTGCGAGTATGGAGAACTCGTATACTCGATAACATGATATGCATTATGTTCTTAAAATTACAGTATATTCTGTTATGTGAATAGTTTAAAATAAGGAGCATACATAATCTTTTTGTCATAAATTCATGTTGTTGTATTATATGAGTGTGTGATTTTTAGATTATAGATGTTTAATTATTTTAAACTTGGAGTGTAAGTTTATTCAAAATATAGTGCATATTATGATTTGGAGTGTAGAATCTTAGGGTTTTTTTTTTCTTTTTATCTAAAGGATAGAGTTGATTCCTTTCTAGTGGTTTCAAAAAAAAAAAAAAAAAAAAAAAAAAAAAAGTAACAGAGTTGATTATAAATCGGGCTGAGATAGGCTAAAACTAGAACTATATAATAAGTGGTTTTATACCTTGAGAAACTGACATAATGAAGTTGTGACTTGATGTATGTTTATTGCATAGCGTATGCCAAATAAATTGGTTTATTTCATCAAGTTGAGCAAGCGAAGCTAACTAGATAGTTTTAGAGGCAGAAATCATTGTATAATCTTTCATAATAGTACTCCTTAAGAGAAATATGTATATGTGATTCATGTTTAAAACTACAATTAACTAAACTCATCGTATAATATTAGTGTTACTAATGTAAATTATCAGACACTATATTAATGGTTTAGATTCATGTATTGACATTTGTGCATGGTCAAATTGTGTTTATTATTCTCTTTATTTTATTTATTTGAATTTTTTTTATAAGTCCAAAAAAATAAAGTTGAGAAGCACAAAAAGAACTAGAGAGAAATATGAAAATTGGCATCTCTTGGTCCGCATTATGGATGTGGTACAATTCTCTTGGTTGTCCAGGCTCCGCTGTTATTAGTATGCTGCAAGACTTTATTGGTATTTTCGTTTTCTTCGTTTTTCCTCCAATGTTAAGTGGCAAGCCCAGTATGAGGGTTTGCTTAGGCATGTTGCCTTAGCTTCTTTACACAAGGTTGTCCTTTTGCGGTTCATTTGTTTAGTAGTGTGTTATGTTGTTTTTTGTTTCTTTAAGCTCTCTTAGGTTGTAATTATGCTTTTATTTATAAAGTTCTCTTTAGAAAAAAAATAAAAATAAATCAAAGTTTAAAAGATTTGCACTTAAAGTGAAAAAAATTAAGGGGCGTCCGGTATAAAAAAGCCCAATGATCGAGGCCCAGTGGTTGTAATAAGACTCATAAGAGGGATAGATCCATCGGATATTAGTCATTTAGCCATTAAGGTTGCATGATCATTTCACCATGTGTCACAAATTTAATATCAAGATTAAGGGCTTATTAAGGCTATGTTTATTTCACCTTATTTTTGTATATTTAATCTGATTTGAATTTACTACGTATATTTTTGTATTTGATTAGCTTTGATTTAATTAAACTCTGACCTTATATCTGAAATTTTGAACTAATTTATAAGGATAAAATGTATGAAATGAGATCTTCTATATTTGTATTAATATATAATTTCCAAATATGAAATTTCATTATTCATTTTACTACAAAATTAAACATCTAAAACGATAAAAAAAATCGCAATTAAAACGATAATATAATCTAACTTGTTTTCAATTGGGCATTGGTGGAGTGTCTCCCTATGGTGAAGTCATCGTTAGTTTTTGTTATTTAGTTGTTTTTTTATTAGGATTTTTTTTTTTTTTTTGTGTTTGTGTGTGTGTGTGTGTGTGTGATGGTTTATTAAAAAGGTAATCATCTTTTGCCCTATTATTAGTTTGTTGGAAAAAATTATTCAGGATCGCAATTAGGGTTGTTCATCAGTCCAAGACCGGACCGAAGACCGAAATTGAATTTTAAGAACCGAAGATCAGCTGGAATCGAAAAAATTGGTCCGAAATCCGAACCGGACCGGTTTGGACTTATTTGGAAATTTTATAAAAAAATTCCTAAATTTTAAATAATTTATGATAAAATATAAAGGAAAAACAATATTTTAACGCTTTTTTATATGTTTAGTAAGACTAAAGTTTTCCTAATTAATCGGTTTAGGATCAAACCAGACCGAAGACAAAAAATTTCTCGACCCGGAGACCGAACCGATTAATTTGTCCGGCCCGAGGTCGGTCCGGACCAATTTTTGAACACCCCTATTCGCAATGGTTGTCAAATTTTCAAAGACGTTCAAGTGAATCAGATGAAAATCATCCTTACGGTAACAACTAATCGTGAGACTATCTCTTCGAAAATGTTTTATATTCCAGCGATGTGAGCGAGAAATATATCACAGTGCAAGATCTATTTAATGATTGTATCTTGATGAAGGAAACTCTTATATGATTCAATTTTATGTATTTGTTGGTTTAGATTTTATTTGTAAATGTTATATGGCTTTTTATTAATGAATTGATTTGTTTCAAAAAAAATAATGGACATTGGCAAAATGGCAACTAATCCATGTTCGGATGGCGAATTGCTAAACATCGCCCGCAAATCTCCACATAAAGCCCACAAATTTCCATTGAGTTGACACTATTGCCCTTAATATAAAAAAAACCTCACACTTTCATCACCCAAAAAAAATATCTCACCCATCTTCTTTCTACATCTCTTTTAAAAAATTTTCAAACTACGGCAATGTCAAGGCAAGGAATTAGCGGCGGCGACAACGGAGGGAAGGAGGTCTCAGGGTGGAAAGGTAATTTTATTTTTTATTTTGAAAAAAAAACCGTCGAGAAGGCTGGGCGCCTAGCCAGAACCCCGTGCCCACAGCGGTGGCACCAAATTTTGATGCCATGACAACGGTGTTGGCGGCTAGGCTGGACGCCAAGGCCACGGTGGTGGCGTCTTGTGAGGGCGTCGCTACCGTAGCCCTAACGTCCAGCCTAGCCGCCTATGCCGTGGAGCTGGCGCCACCTCCTTTGTTTTTTTTTTCTTTTTTTGTTATATTTATTATTTTTTTTTATTTTCAGAACTTTTTTTTTGTTAATGTGTATATTTTTTTTTCAATTGTTTGTATATTTTGTTGTTTATGTTTATATTTTTTTTTTCAAATTTGTTGTATTTTTTTTATGTTTATATTTCCTTTACAATTATTTGTATGTTTTTTTGTAAATTTTTTATTTTTATTTTTTTATTACAATTTGTTAGTATTTTTTCAGTTAATTTGATTTTTTTTTTGGTTAGTTATTTTTTTAAATTTTTTTTATGTTTATATATATTTTGTATGTTTTGTTTTTTTTTTCTTTGTGTGTGTATTTTTGTTATATTTTATTTTAGTGTTCTGTTATTTTTTTATGTTAATTTGTTAGTATTTTTTTAGTTTATTTGATTTGTTTTTTGTTAGTAATTTTTTTTATAATTTTTTTAATGTTTATATATTTATTAATTTTTTTAAGGTATCGCATTTTTGCCCTGGTGTGGGGAAGAATATAGTCATTATTTAAAGTAGAAACTACTCAATGGAGAGCTCGGGAGCCAGACATGTTTGATCTCGTGGTATTTCGGCCTCGGCTCGTAGAGAACGGATTCACCATCCTGATGAGGATGAAGATGATGATGGTGAGGAGGAGGAGGACGCATATGAGGATATGGACGATCAGAGTGGACCATACGATGATTACGGTCCATTCAGTCAGAGGATTGATGATATGTATGAGACGCATAGGGTAGATGTGCATAAGGGTAGGGATGGTAGGTTTGTTAGTAGATCTGACACATCATCTGCGTCCACTGTGTCTGGTGTAAGCAGAAAACGGTCGAGGGCCGTTAATGATTCTTGGGTGGTGAGGGGTGAGGTGGCTGGGGGGCCTGTAGACGGGAGTGTGATTCTTAGCTTTCTAGGACACATAGCTACCCGTATCTGGGAGGACCAGGAGAATGCTTTGGTGACGGGCATTTTGAAATGCCAAACCCGGGAAAAGACTTGTAACTTTTTGAGTAGATGGGCTAAGGCTTGGCCGGTGGAGAGCGAGGTGTTCGGCCGATTGTAGGGCACTAGGGTGAATCACCTTCCTGCCACCATGCACGATAAGATTGACTCAACGCTGATCACGGCTTTCGTTGAGCTATGGCAGCCTGATACGAACTTTTTCCACCTTCCGTTCAGTGAGATGACGATCATGTTGCATGACGTCGAGGCCATTCTTGGGATTCGCACAGAGGGTAAACGACTTTATGTTGTGACTGATGCGGATCAGACAGATTTGTTGGCGAAGCTGTTGGCGGTGGACAGGGCTGCGCTGTACACCAAGGCGCTTGGTGTTTAGGATCACGTTTGTGTGAAGATCGCATATGTCTTGCAGCGTTGTTTGCACCCCAGTGCACGTAGGACGCATGATATGGCTGGCTACATATGTTTTTCTTCTCCTCGGGTATACCTTGTTTCCGAATAAGAGCGAAAACAAGCTCAGGCCACGTGGCTTAGTTGACGCGTGTGAGCGCGACAGAGTAGGCCAGTTTTCTTGGGGGTCGGTTTTGTTGGCGTATCTGTATCGTCGACTAGGATTTTCGAGTCGGGCTGACGCGACAGGTATCACTAGATGTCTGACTTTATTACAGACCTAGATATACGAGTATTTTCCTGCATTTCGACCACACCGTGACCCGGTTCCTATTGGGGATGGGATGCCACGTGCCTGTGTGTGGAGTCCCCGGTTAGAGAAGAAGTCCTTTTTGCACAAGTTGGAGTTGGAAAATTTTTCATTAGATGAATGTGTTCATTTTTCCAACCCCTTTAATTTTTTCAAATCTCATTATTAATTTATGTTTGGTTAAATTAATTGTGAGTATAGTCTTCAATTTTGTAGCATCAAGATGAACCTAAAATAATTTAAAGAACAGTTCTTGAGTTAATTTTGGTTTGTGCACTAAAATTGAATTTTTTTTTAAGTTGAACTTAATTTATTTTAATTTTTTTGCTCAAAATTGGTTCTAAAATAAATTTATAATTAATTTTTATATCACATATCAATCGGGATTAAATTTTGAGACAAGTGCACGCAAATCGAGGCA